GGGGACGAGATGGCAAAGGAGGTGGGCTGGAGATGCAGCGCGCCCAGGTGATGATGGCGGATCCCGATGATGTTGCAGCAGGCGTTGGTGCCTTTTTGGAGGCGCTGCCGGCCAGTCCGCGACGCCGCCGCGCTCTCAAGTCAGACCCTCACCACCACTCCCTCGCATCGCCTCGGTGGTCGCTAGCACCCGGGGCTGGCTGGCTGCTGCCACCACTCCGGACGTCCTATTACCGACCGCGAACGAGAACGGCCGCCTGCAACGAAATGGCTCACTCGCGCAGTCGCGGCACTCGGTCGAGCCACCACGACGCCCGCAGCGCTCGCCTACGATTTTTTTTCTTGGTTTTGGTTTGGCCTTGCAGACACGACACGACTGGCTGCTTTATGATGCCTGCAATTGTCAATCACGATTCGTCCCGTCAAACGTCGCCGCCGCCGCCAGCAGAGCCCTCCCTCTTCCTCCCGCTTGCTGCTCGGCAAAGCTGAACCTCCACATCATGCCTGCAGCCCTGCAACATGCGGGTGAGGCCACCCCCGGACGGCTGTGCGACCACGAACGCTGGACACGATCCCGCGCTCGCGGCCCTTGATTGGCCAGCCGCTCCCTCGCTCTGCCTCATGCCCAGAGCCGCGAGTCAATCCTGCGTGCCGTCCTCGATCGCCGCTACCAAGGCGAGACCTCCTGGCCGTCTCGCAGTCGATGCCGTGCACGCCGACAGATGCTTTGTGCCCGCCGGGTCCGCCGTGGCCTGACTCCCGAAAAAGTACTTTGCACCATTACGAGCGCCAATGAGTACGCGTTGAGTGAGGCCTTGCCTCGCCTTTGCCATTTTGGGTTTTCGGGATCCCGACCCCTGCATTAGCAATGCACGTGACTTGGTGATGGCAGCCGCGTGGACGCAGCTCGCCTACACTGCATCCGTCACCGACGATGCATTCACCAGCAGAATGTGCATGTTGCACAGCATCGAGCTCGTGGTCGTCGAAGAGAATGGCTGCGCACTCCTCTTATGAGGTACTCCGTAGACGATAGTCGCAGTGGTGCGATTTCTGACTATGCCGCTTGCCCATTCGCCGTGAACCACAGACTGCCTGGCGTCGCCCGCTCGCCAGCCCCTCAACCATCCCAAGCCCCCGCTGAGTCGCGTCCGCCGAACCCGTTTGCTAAATGCCATGCCCACGCCAGTGTTGTTGCTCTCTTGTTCCTGGGGCGGAAGATGACTTCGGAAGTGTGAGCATACATGCCTGCCCGCTTGAAGCCCACCGCATCGTGACCTGGGCGTGCAGGCCAAGTTTTGCAGCGGGGGTCCGCGCGCCCAGCTGGCGGGGGCGCCTGGCCAGCTGCGAACAGGTGGCGCCCAACGAAGAGAGCGTCCCCGCGCCTTGACAACTGGAGAACGCTCACCCATATCAGCTCATTTACGATATCCTCGGTGGTCACGGAAATATGTGCATTATATTCCGCGTGACGACGTATACAGTACAAACCACCCCTATTCTCGTCACTGAACAGCTCGGCGCCATGCGGCCTCACGACTTGGCCCGCCCCCCTCGCGACTCTTCTCCCCCAGCCCTCCGACATCCTTCTCTGCTGTCCCAGGATCGTCTTTACATAGTGAGACCACAGGCTAAGGAACCATTTTGCGTGTCGTCCGGGTCCTGACCGTCGGTAAGCGCCGAGCCAGGGGCTCTCTCCTGCGCCCCCTTCTCATCAAGTTTGCGGAAGAACTCATCCGAATTGTGCAACCAGTGTGGACTCTCCCTGGCTGCCGACAGCCAAGTATTGAAGCGTCGGATTTCTCTCTCAACCATTGGGTTCTTCGCCGTCCCATCCGGTTCGTTTCCGGTCAGCCCATATCGCAATTGAGTAGAAAAGCATGGTCGAGCGCTCTTTGCCGTCATGGCAAAGGTCCCAGTCGTTGTCGTCGAATGCCTTGTTGCCGGTATGGCGCGGATAGATGGGCTTGCCAAATGGGTCGAACTTCCTCATGACGTCGAGTTCACCGTCGAGCCGCAATCACACCGCCGCAAAGAGCTGGTATCCGTCTCGCCCCACGTCATCGTCCCAGACGGGCTGGCCATCCTTCCCGGGCGTGAACGTCACAATGGGCAATTACAAGGACATGACGTCCCAGAGACGAAACTTGTGTTTCGGGTCGGCGCGTAGTCGAATCATGACGATGTTTGGTCGGTTGTTGAAGGCGTACGAACGGCAATCAGCATGGTCGGTCGACTCGAACTCGTCGAGCATGACGCCCAGGAGGGTGAGTTGGGGAAAGCCATCAACAGCCCTAATCTGCGTCGCCAACATGGCAGTCATCACATCCGTCACATTGTACTTGAGCCTGGTGAGGTCGTAATTCGGTGGTCCCATGACCCAAGAGTCGTCGTGCATGTACTTGATTTGGTCTCCGCGCAGTCGAAATCGGTCGCCGTCCCTGACGTCCATCATCAAACTGGAGCACATCAACACCTCAAACGAGAGGTCGATCTGTAGAGGGAAGATTGGCCTTCTGCGTAGAGACATGATGACGGCCTGCTTCGCCTTTGCTCGTCCAAGGAGATCGTCGTCGGTGGCCGCATCGTTCTCGATATCGTCGATCCGCTGCTACGCGTAGGCTAGTAGAGGGTTGGATGCTGCATCCCTTTCGATTCCAGCTGGGTCGGTCAGGCCGGGCACGCCGATCAGAAAACCCAAGCAATGGCGGAGCACGGCGGTCAGACAGTCGATCCCGCTGGTGTCGGTCCCGATGAGACCTCACGGTACCTGTCTTGGAAAAGAGAACACGAGCTGATCCGACAATACTCCAAATGGCAACTGCTCACCACGCATGTCGTTGGCTGGATCCATGCTGGTTTCGAGTTGCAAAGGACCCGTGTGTGCGTGATGTCTGCGGAGGTTGTGCGTGTTTGCTGTGGAAGATGGATCATGGTGCGAGGGGACCTCTTCGTTCAGCATAAATACACTGCAACCTCAGGCAAACACACCGCCGAGCTAGCCCAACGCATTCACGGGTCTGGCTGCCATTGCGCTCTGCTTTCGTCTCATGTGAGCACCAGCTCGCTTGTCAGTGCAAACGTACTGTGGTGGCGTACAAGGCTGTCTCTCATCTGGTCCAAGACAGCCACAAGCCCTTAAGAGCATGGCGATAGTAGACATGCAACTGATGGCTTGAATTAATTGCCTGTGGCTCGTGTCTGATATGATGGTCTGGACCCCTGGAGTGTGGGGAGATGAGCGTCGTAAGTAGGTCACGCCAGTACACTCGGTCGTCGTCCATGAAAGCGCTTAGTGCTGGCAAAGACTCTGCTTGCAAGCCATACGCACAGCCCTATAGCTATATTATTGCAATAGATGCAGAGGGAAGACATATGACGAGAACCCACGGGTATGCCACCCTCATGTTTATATGCGAATGACGACAGAAAAGGACAATAGCAGGAAGAAGAAGATCTCATTAGTTGTAGTTGCATGATAAGGTAGTCAGGCTTGCGGTGCTTCCACATCATAATTCAACATTGACGCTTTCCAGCGGCACCCCCTTTGCAGTCTCTCGTGCAGTACTCTCCATGCCCATTGGCGTCCTTATCCTCAAGACTGGATCGCGTATTGAGCGGGCCCGCATCCTATCACCTCAATGGCGCTCCCCTTCGAGGTGAGAGTTATACTTTCGCTTCTTGCTTCTCTCTTGTGGCTGAGAATACCTTCTACCAGCGCCAGCCTGGCCACGCCTGTTGATGGCACATTGCTCCCGCCATTCGCGGGGGCCTCTGGGAGGTGGTCTCGGCCTATCGGCTGCCGTGGCACTTCCTCCCGGGGAGACACCATGGTTGCTCCCAACGGTAGATGGCCATGTTGGTACCCCTTCGCTCCGCAGGATGCTTCCGGACGGTGGCTTGGGCGGCTGGGAGTTGTTCGCTGCCGGTGCTGTACGCCGCGAACTTGGCAGGGTGAGGGCTTGATACGTGGGGCGGGACAGAGCCACGCTGTCCTGCCCTGATTGTGGCCGCGGGTGTCCCTGCCCATGCTGAATCAACCTGGGCTCATCCAGAACCTGAGACTGCCGATGGCCAGGTTCTTGCTCGTGCCTCCACTTCTCTCGCAGCTCAATCAGCCACGACTGTGTGTACAGCTCGCGAATCCGGGCCACGCCTAGATCCGGCTGCGAGTCGTGGCTCGCGAGGTAACCTTGGTATATAGCCGCCGGAGGGGTGCATGGAGGCCCAAACGGTGTAAACGTGTTGATAGCTTTGACGATGTTTTCGAGGTCCTGCTCCTGAACGCGCAGACGTACGTCGTCTCCCAGCGCGTCGGACAAATCTTGGCTAGACACAGAGACGGTGGCGGCTAGATGCTTGATGAAAGCAAACTCAGTGGTAGTTGTCATCCGTGTTCTGGCAGTTCCATGTGCCCTGCGGAGGCTGTTGCAGATTTCGGCCATGGATCGTCCGTTCGTGTTGTGCGCTACCTCCCTAGCAAGACAGTTGACAATGGCGGACTCGCCGCCTGGCATGCGAAACGGCCGGTGCTCTTCTGTGCGACAGGTAACAGCGACTTGAATGGCCCGTATCAGAGAGTGTTTGTCTTCGTTCCAGATTGGGTGAATCATGATCATGCCCAAGGTGCTGGAGAACTTGCGGCTCCAAAGGCACGTCTCCCTATTGTCGTTGTCGTAGTAAAGCCCCCATGCCGGGGAGATTATGGCAATCGGGGAGCAGCGAAGTAAGTGGACGCTAATACGCCAGGCGTCGCGCGTCTCCGTCCTGATGTCGGGCGCAATCCGCATAGCCAAGCATTCTCTGGAAGTCTCCCATTCCGCTTGCACCATCCCCATCACTTCCTTGTCATTCGTGACGGAGCCGGGGACACGAGTCTGGAGCAGACGCAGGAGAGTGTCGTCGTCGAGGGCCACTGTTGGTATGTCGTTCTTGATGCGGTTGATGCATCTTCTGACATCCTCTTGGTGTGCCGGCCTTGCCGACTGAATCCTTGCGGTGCGCGCCATGGTGTGCTGCTCCATGTCCGCCTCCTCCTGCCCTCCCTCGAAGTTCGTTGGCACCTGCGTGCTGCCTCGGTCGCAATCTCTGTAGTGGTCGAGGCCGGGAGACGTCTGCGGCAACCGTGAACCGCTTGGTGTTTGGGGACATTGTGGCTCGGCCTCTGATTCGTGCCCGTTCGTTCCATCTTCGCTGGCATGGCCGGCGACCTCCTCTGTGCCTCCTAGCACTGGAGTTTCGGACATGGCGACCGAAACACTGTTCTTTCGAGGCCGACCGCGAGGGCGCTTGGGAGCGCCGGGCGGAGGGGTGGGCTTCTTTGGACGGATTCGCGGACGTCCCACAGGATTCCTGGGTTTGCCGTCTTGAGCCGCCGGCTTCTCTCTGTTGCGTGAGCCCGGTGGCCTACCGGGCCCACGATTTACAGGCGTGGCATCTGCAGAGTTGTCGAGTTGGAAGCGGCGTTCATCGAATGGCGGGCACGGTGACTCTTCTTGCAGGTCGCGATGTCGTTCGGCCCGTGGCCCAGGCCCTCTTTCCGCGTTGCCATGGCGCTTCCGGGTTCTGTGGTGCTGGATGGACCCTGACGAAGCGTACTCTCCCGATTCTGGCGGGGACGGGGTCTCATGGGCGTCGTCTGAGTCAAGGCTGGACTCTCTCTCGCTGGTATCAACAGTCACGGACATTGTGACTGATGGAATTGCTGTCGTGCGAGGGAATGGGTTAAATATCAACACAAATCAAGTACAGACCCATATCACATCATGCTTCAGCAGGGTGCAGCATAGATGAAGAACAACAAGTGCAGGCAATTCCCTGACAGGGCGGGGTGCACTGTACGACCAAGGTACATGACTTCCAGGCTGGATAGACGATTCACAGGCCCATCAAGAAGCGACGTTTGTCCATGTCGTCCGATCCCCTCGCTATCTACCCACCGAATGGTGCGTGCTCTCAAGGAGGATCCAGATGAAACCGATAGTTTCGGTGTAAGAACAAGTTGGAACGTGAGTGAAAGATGGTTGTATACGCAAAATGCAAATTTGTCGTCGCCCACCTCGCCCAAAGAGCCTACGGGCTAATGGGAATACCTTGTTGTGATAGTTGGGCTGACGGCCCCAATGTGTCCCACATTCGCCTCTCTTCTGGATCGCGGACCCAGACAGCCCCCATCATTCCAGCTCCGTTGGCGATACGGCTTCCAGGCGCAGCACGACGTCTCGGAATGACACAAAGCCAACTGTCCGTCATGACGACGTTGTATGCGTCGCCGGTCCGGGCTTGTCTCTGAGCCACTCGACAGCTTTCGACCAGACGAACGAGCTTGGCGTGCACTTGGCCAGAGTTTGCCGACGGTGGTACTCGGAGGACAAAATGTTTGTACGGTATGTTGGGGATATTGCAGGCCATCTCTGCGCGGTTCGTGAGTCAGGCTGGTTCACAGGTTGTGCGCGGGGTCCAGTCTCTAAGCTCACCCTCTGTCGAATCTGCGAGCTCGGGATAGAGCTTAAACGACGACGGCAGCGGGACAATCTGCATGTGCTTGTGCCCTTGGGACGCGCCAGCGTCCACGCCACAGTTGTAGAGCATCATCTGCGGACCTGACCCTCCCTGCAAGCTCGCCATGACATTTCGCGCTGCACTCACATCGTCGACATCCAGGTCGTCGGTCTGCGGGGCAAACTCGCGAGTATGCAGCACAAACATCGGCCGAAACATACTGTACATGTTCAACTCTAGTACATGGTGATGCCCGATCGTCGCAACGACAAAGTCGGGGTCCGGGTTCAGGAATGGGCCGCCGTTGCCGGACCGTTCCTTGGCGTCCCGGGGCAGGATGGGTTTCTTGGTGAGAACTGGGCTCTGGCGGAACTCAAACTGTCGTGAACAGTTCTCAGTCTCGAGCCCTTGGTAGCAAGACTTGCAGCGACTCACTAGAAACCCCTCATGCTGTACGATCTCAGGTCTTGACTCCGCGTAGAAGAGCTTACGGCGACTGAGCAGCTCATCGAACATTCGGAGGGCCTTTGCGGTCAAATCGACCAGGTCGCTGGCGCCCCAATTTTCCATCACGCCATTCGGATCGCTGTAGTGACTGTTTTTTGTCATGCTGCAGGGGGGTTTCTGTGAGAGAATGTGAGGCGACACGCCGTAGCTCACAATGTCGATGATGCAGGTGCAGAGCCAGTGTTTGCTTCTTAAATCTTACCCCTCACTCGGCCCAGGACTCCATAGCACATACCGAAACTGAGTAAGGCAACTTTCGCTGACAGACCGAGCGCACAGAGAGGTTCGGAATCTCACCTAGCCAGTATCAGCAAGATGGCACAAAACCAGATGGTATCACGCCAACCACACAACGGCCAATCGTTACTGCCCGTTTGTAGGATAAGCACGCATCACAATGGCAGGGCAGTTCTACGCCGCTTAACTTATTCGGCCGTTGCAACGGCGGCGCGACTTGTCACAATGGAACGTGAAGCCAGGCATTTGGGATCAACACGAAGCTATGTTTCGTCGCCTCAACTACAGAAGTGGAATGACGGCGTTCGTTCAGTATAAGGCTGCGATCTCTCGCCAGAGCGAAACAACGAAGAGCGAGGCATCTCCCGCCTGCTCACTCGTGCACACTCAGCATGTCCAGTGATGCACAATACTCCTTACCCCTATTCTCCATTTCATACTTCTGCAGCTTATATTCTTCAAATGTGTGCCTTGTCCTCCTCACTACTTCGCTCCAACGCCAAGGCCACTACCCTCCTCCACTCTTGTAGACCTTTGGCCCTCGCGTCGGAATGGAGCCATGGACATTTTTCCTTGCCATGAGGCAGCGGGATCGCGTTGCTGCCCGTGGCCTGGTATCTTGAGCCCCTTGGGGGTTGGCGCGTGAGGCCTGGGGTCACGACATTGCGGCCGGGCCCAGACATGCTCGTGGTCGCCGTGGCCGTATCATGGCGGTCTTCCTGTGCCGGGCGCGTCGAGACACTAGGTGCCAAAACGCCCGCTGCTGACTTTGACGTCTGCTGTTGGGGCGCCTGCGCTGGTTTATCGTTGGCCGGGGCGAGCTTCTTGGGCGCTGTCACCGGTGTGTGCCGACCGCCCTCCAGCGTCTCTTGGTCGACATCCCCCCTGCACCTCTCGAGGTTGCGCTCGTTGGCCCTTGGTGGGGGTAAGGACCTCCATCTCGCGACGCCCTGGGCACCGTCCAATTCTTCCCTCTGCCTGGCCTTGTCGCGATCCTGCATCATCGCGCGCTCCTTATCCCGTGCCTCTGCGCGGCCCACCAATCTCTCCATTGCAGCTTGGAAGCAGTAGAAAATAATGTACTCGCGAGGCTTTCCGTCGTCGCAAATGTCCCACTCCGTGTTACTGAACGCAGCGTTGTCCGTGTGGCGAGGGCGAAGCTCCTTCCCATCCATACGGAACCTCCTGACCGCATCCGACGACTCGCCTTCCTGACGCAGCCGTACGATAGCCATGATGTTGTACTGGATACGCCAGACGTCCTCCCGAAAGGTATTTCCGTTGTAAGGGTCGAAAACGTCGCATGGCGACTTGAACGTCATGAGGTGCCGCACGCTAAAGCCGTGCTCCGGACTAGCGATGAGTCGGATCATGGTGATATGCGGGCGGCCGTTACGCATGTAGATATCGAGCTCTTGAATGTAGCCGAACTTGCTAAGTATCATGGACGCGAGCGCGCCATCGGGCCCTCCGTGCTGGGCAACCAGCGATGAGGTCGTCACTAAGAGAACGTTGGACTTGATGATGACGTTCATTGGCAAGGGCTTCGACTCCTTGAAGACGCCATGAGTGTTCTTCGTCAGAGGGTTTCTGAGCCGTCGTTAAAAGCCTTTGGACCACACCGCTTGCTGCATGAGACGACAGTCCATCAGCGCTTCAAAGGAGAGACTCTTGACCTGTAGGCCCTTGTCAGCCGCCATTAATGCTTTAATGACGTCTGCTTTGACGTCGGCCCTCTGCTTCAAGACGGCCTCCGAGACACTATCTCCCTCGTAGTCGTCAAAGCGCTGCCAGGCGTACTGCAGCAACGGGTTTGATTTTTCCTCGGGCCGTTCGCCGAACTCGTCGGCCAAGATCATGGTCATGTGAGTCATTCGAAGGACGGCCGCCATGCAATCAAGTCCCGTCGTGTCATGGCCCGTTAAGCATCGAGGGGAATCGCGTGGCAGAGCACCATGGAGGAGCTCCCGTCTCATGAGGGCGAAGTCGCCACTAATCGACTTGTCGTTTCGTAGGTCGTTGGACGGCTCCATGGCAACGTAACGCAAGGCTTTTACTAATACGCCGTGAAGCAATCAGCGTAGTGGTTGAGCTAGCATTGAGGGGTCGGGCCTGTCAACATGATACCAAGGGGGCGAGGGGGAACATGCAGCGAGTGGAAGGCATTTGGCTTCCCGTCCCGGACTTCAAAACTCAAAGTCTACATGATCTGCCCGAGTGCTCGTAAATCAGATTCGGCAAAGGCAGTGCTCACAGAGTGTGCCTCAGGCATCTTGCGCCCAGCCCGTCCCGGGCCCTTTCTTCAGAGCACGGTGCGACTGGGTGGGGTCTCGGACCTGTGAATCAAACGGCGTGCTCCATTTCATCGGAAGACTGCCGGGGACACTACGGCAGCCACAGGTACCGGAACGGCCGTATATACACCGATGGGGGTATTCATCAGAGCTTGACTCGTTGCATTTGACTTCTTGGTAGTTTGCTTCGACAATATATAGATCCATACGGGCTAGGAACCAGCGCCGACGGGGGTCGCATTCGACGGCCGAGTTGGTTATTAACGCATGGTATGATACCTGGATGCCTTCCGGTGCCGCCTGAAGACCTCGTTGTAGAGATGAAATGCTGGTGCAGCCACCCTTGGGCGTGCAGAGGCTGTTACACGCCCGTACCTGTGGCTTGATGGGTGACAGGCAGGCCCTGTTCAAGTCACTCAGTGCACCGCGCCCACAGAACCCGCCTGTGCCCGTCTGTCAAGCTATCCTGGCCGCAAATGGGCACTTTGAGTGCTCGTTCACCACTCAACTCCAATCACCAAACTCCGCCGGCGCAACGTCGCACGCTCGCACAACGCGCCACTCCAAACTAATATCTAGAACTTGTCTTCTGTCATCGCCTTGTTTCTTCGTTGAAAAAGCAAAACACACGACAATGAACAAGAAAAGTCGCGAAGTGTTTGCATCCGGTGGTCGCGGTGGACGTAAGAAACCTCGGAACCCAGTGCAAGCCCACCCAGAGCACCAGCAGACAGTGGCGCGCCTTCGGGGACGGGACCGGCTGCATGCTCAGCAGCAGCAGCCGCCGCAGGCTGCTGGCCCTACTGTTTGTTGCGTGTGCCTGTCGGAAAAGCACCGGGCCAAGCAGTGCATCCGGGCGAACACAGTCACAGGCCAACTGATGGCGTGCACCGTCTGCAACAGTCGCAGCCATCCCCTGGACAGGTGCCTAAACTTCCGACAGATGGGCTTCGACGACAAGTTCCGCGTCTTAGTGACTGAGCGCATTCGACTGCCCAGCATCTATACAGAGAACCGATCCGTTCTCCGGCAGGTTCTCTCGGAGGCTTTGTGTAGAGACCTTCCCATACTTGGCATGCCGTGGCTTCCCGACGCCGTAAGGCGTGACATGGACAAGGCCAGGTGGCATCCCGTGGCACGGAAGTACGAAGCCACTCTTGACGCCAGCGGCCACAAAGACGACGACGAGGCCGACCAGCTGGTAGAGGTTCTGTCCGGCCTGGCTGTGATGAAAAGGCAGGACGACGCTCAGAGAAGGGCCAGAGATGGAGCTGTACCGGCCGGTCGACAAGGCGATGGCTTTGGTCCGAGCGATGCCCAGAGTGCCAGGACCAACGCGGGCCATGAGGAAGACGAAGTGGACGAAGAGACTAAACGGATCATCGATAAGGTCCTGTATATTTCAGGTTACGGAACGGACAGGTCGTGAGTTTTCAGGCTTGATGGGAGAAATGTTTGTACGGGAAATAGACCTTGTATTAAGGGTTCATTGACATCCTGTCCAAATGCGCGTGTCAAGCGAGGCTCATCCCAGGTCCTGGATCTGCTGAACGAGGTTCAGACGAGCCTCTGTGAATCGTCAACCTCAGTCGGCACCAGGTCCTCGGGTGATCCTGCCGCTGCTGTCGCCAAAGACAGCGCCGATACAGCCTTATACGGCTAGCAATATTCACCTAAGTTTGCAAAGACCCCAAGGGGTACTCAAGCACGTGGAGGAGATCGTCCAGGACTCAGGACTCAGGAGAAGTGGCCGCGGAGTGGAGCCCGCTCCAGCGGCCGCCAAAAACCCGGTCGACCACTCAACAACGTCAAGCGCGCCTAATTGGGCAAGAGGAGATCGGCCACATATAAGTCCGCAAATGCGCCGTTCCTTCCACACCAACATCCGGGGAAGCAGGGGCTCTCGCAAACCCCGCAACGTCGGGGACCAGAACAAACTCCGAGATCAGCACCAGATCAGCAAATGCTCCGAGTACAAAGCTAGGCGCTGCGACACAGTCAGCCGGTGCGATAACCAGTGAATCCCGTACTCCTGCTGTCATGAAGCTGACTTTGGTCCTCCTTCCAGCCGTTGCGGCTGTCAAGCCGCTGGTCGACCTTGGATACGCCAAGTATACCGGCACGGACAATGGCGACGTGAGCCAATGGCTGGGGATCAGATACGCGGCGCCGCCAGTTGGGCGACTGCGGTTCACCAAGCCGGCGGACCCGATCCCTGAGAAAAAAATCCAACCGGCAGACAAGGTGCGTGATCGTGACCCTGTCGGGTGACCGGGTCCCATGCTGACCAGGCAGCACGGCTTGATTTGCCTCGGAACGGGCCAGCCGCCAACAGACGACACGTTCAAGGCACAATCAGAGGATTGCCTTTTTCTCGACGTGTACGCGCCCTCGAACGCGACTACAAACTCCAAACTGCCCGTCTACTTCTTCATCCAGGGCGGCGGCTTCGTGTCCAACAGCAACAGTAACTATAACGGTAGCGGGCTGGTGGCGGCCGGTGACCACGGCCTCATAGTCGTCACCTTCAACTATCGTGTCGGCGCCTACGGGTTCCTGACCGATGGCGACCGTGCAACACCAAACAATGGGCTCTGGGATCAGGTCAAGGCATTGGAGTGGGTGCATAAGCACATTGCCAAGTTTGGCGGCGATCCAAAGCATGTAGTCATTGGGGGAGACTCAGCGGGCGCGGCGAGTGTCTCATACCACTTGACTCGGGGCGGCGGTCGAAACTACGGCCTCTTCATCGGGGCGGCCGCGGAGTCGGTATCGTTCTCGACAGTCCTGACGACCAAAGAATCGCAATACCTGTACGATGGGTTCGCGGTGCGGGCTGGGTGTGCCACAAAGGATAGTCTGCAGTGCCTGCGGAGCAAGTCGACCAAGGAGCTTCAGGAAGCCAACGTCAACGTCCAACCCCTCCCTGGCGCACAGAACCCTCAGCTGTTCGCATGGAACCCAGTCATTGACGGTGATTGCATCACAGAGCTCCCGTACGATGCTTACAAGAAGGGGCACTTTGTACGGGTCCCAGTCATCGTCGGCGACGACACAAACGGCGGGACTAGCTTTGCGCCCCAAGACACGACGACTCTGCCGGAGATGAACACGTTTCTCCGCGACCAATTTCCGCTGCTTACGCCGTCTGACCTCGAGACAATCGACGCCCTGTATCCGAATGCGAACGACACCTGTCCTCACGTTGGCTGCCGCTGGAGGCAGGTCAGTGACGCCTACGGTCAAATGCGGTACATGTGTCCCGGTCTCTACATCAGCCAGCAGTACGTGTCTCGACGTTCGCCATCGTGGGCGTATCGCTGGAACGTAGAAGATCCAGCACAGATCGCCCAGGGCTTGGGCGTGCCGCATACGGTCGAAGTGCACGCCATCTTTGGGCCTACAAACACCAAGGGCGCACCAGCAAGCTACAATGGCAGCAACGCGCATGCCGTCACGGTCGCCCAGGGATACTGGACGAGCTTCATCCGCACGCTGAACCCCAACACCCATCGTGCCCCGGGATCAGCTGCGTGGACGTCGCGCGGTCGGCTTGTGGTAAATACTGGTGGACGCACGCAGATGGAGGACATCTCTGGGAATTTGCGACGGGCTTGCCAGTTCTTTGCCGATATTGGATCAAGGATCAAGCAGTGACCTACATGCCTTCCCTCGATAGTAGATGCTCACTATAAATCTATAAAGAAGCTAGTGATAAGTGTTATTGCCAATAGTCACCAGTCCCTGCGATCTCAGCGCGAGGGGTGGCCGCAGGAGGGAAAGTGTAAAGTTGAGGCGCTCAACATGGACCTGTCCAAGAAGATGCTCAAGTCCGTCGACCAGGCGCTCAAGGACGCCCATCTTCCTGCATGCAGGCTGCCGCATGTGCTGTACATTGCCCAACGCCCACCGTTTCCAGCTGGCCAGCCTGACGGCCTCAGAGCGCATTCGGTCACCGTCGGACGCAACGCTTCGATCAGCACTCGCGGGCTTCTAACCGCATCCACGGCAGTCACCGTCCCGCAGGTAGCCCCCCGCCATGTTGTGGCGACTAGGTTCAGGCACACTGAAGAGGACAGACCATCAATACCTAAACACAGCGGACGCGCCTCTCCCGGACGCCACGCGCGACAATAGCCACGAGGCCCAAACAATGGCCGAAATGCTGCTGCCTCGACGTCCCTTACTCGCGGCCTCTGCCATGTGACGACGACGAGCCGGAAGCAGCCGCCCGTTGCGGCGGACACGGCAGACAATAGAGTTGCGTACCGAGTACATTTGCGTTTGTGATTTATTCAAATTTTTTTCTCGAATTAATCTACATTTTTTTAGTCGGGCAAAACGGTGTCCAGGTCCGTTTGCACCGTTACGGGCATCAACCCGGCCCCAGCCGCTTGTACTTGCGCGGGTCCTTTCTGCTCATCATGCGCTGGTCCCTGGTGCCCTTGCCGCCCTCCCAGAACCCCCTTCCACGCTTGCCGATGACGCTGCGGCCGCAAAAGGTGCACGAGTCGACGGCATAGTTTTGCTCGCGGCTGCAGAAGCCGCAGATCATGCGGTTGGCCCATTCGTTCATGTGGTCCTCAGCGGCGTCGTGGCAGCGGTCGCAGGGGTGGACGCGGCTGCAGCACGAGAAGCGGAACCAGCGAAACGACTTGCGGTAGTGGGCGCAGGCACCCCGGTCCGGCAGCGGCTCCCCCGCGTGGAGGCCGAGCTTCTCCACGCGGCGCCGGGGCCCCATGGTCGGCGGGGCCTGCGACCCGGGGGTGATGAAGAGGAATTTGATCTCGGGCACTTTGAAGGTGAACTTGCCGTGGCACTCGCGGCAGACGTTGGTCGTGGTCTCGCCGCGGACGGAGACGAGCCCCTGGCAGGGCGTCGAGCAGCGCGAGCACGTCGGCACAAAGGTGCTGGGCAGCATGTCGGCGACGCGGCAGCCCGACAGGTCGATGAAGCCGGCGCGCGTCGAGTTTTGGTGGACGAGCTGCTGGCGGAAGAGGGCCGTCAGCTGGGTGCCGCACTTTTTGCAGCTGCCCTTTTTCTCGACGCCGGGCTTGAGGCCCGTCATGTCGTTGGGGGTCCTGCAGCGGTCGCACTTGACGGTAAGGCTCAGTATGGAGATTTGGAGGACCTCGATGCCGTGGAGCTCAATGTATGGGAACGAAATCATGGTGCCGCGCTCGGGGGTATCGGTGGGCGCCTCGGTAGGCGTCTCCGCGGGTTGGTCGGACTGGAGTACGGCACCGCCGTCGTCCGACGACTCCTCCGTGTCCTCGTCCGAGTCCGTGTCCCTGTCCCATTCCGGCGGCCGCTGTATGACCTTGATGTGGCTGTGCTCCGTCTCCGGAGGCTTATCCTGTGCCTTTTCCTGTGCCTTCTGCGCCGCTTCTCGCTCGGCCAGCTTCTCTGCCTCGGCCTCCTGGGCCTTCTTGGCCAGCCTGGCCTGCTTGTCGAGGGTGTGCAGGTTCTGGGCGAGGTAGTTGACATGGCTCATGAGGGACATGCTCTTTTGCGAGGCGGCGCGCTGCGTAAATAGCTCCTCCACGGGTTCCGCGTCGGCGGCATCTGCCTCGTTGAGTTGCACGCGCAGGTCCTGCAGCGGGTAGAGAAGCGGCACGATGAGATGCAGGCTATTGACCGAGTGCAGGCCGGGCGGGAGCTCGTCGCGGCGCTTGGGCTCGATGGGGAGCGTAAAGACGACGCCGTCGGGGGATCGGCGGAACCGGGGCAGCCTGCCCATGCGGGCCTCGAGCTGGCGCACCTCTTGCGCGCGGCGGGCCTTGGCCTCGGCGGTCTGTTCCCTGGTGTACGACGGCTCCGGGTTGTAGGGGGGCGGTCTCGGCTTCGCGGCCGGTTGTGGTTGCGCTTGTGCGGCCGAGGGGGCTGGCGAGTCTCGAGTGTCGAGCTGAGTGTCGAGGTGGCGCGTGTCCTTGACGGGCACGAGCTTGACCGTCTCGGCCTTTTGCTCCGACAAAAAGGTCTCGAGGTTCTTGTCGAGCGCGTTGACGAGGGCCAGCAGCGTGGACGTCTTCTTCTCGGCCAGCCGCTCCCACCCGCGCTCGACGTTGATAGCGAAGCCGCGGGGCATGTCGCTGTTCCGGACGCGCAGCTGGGGTCGCGCGTCAGGGTAGGCGTCCGGCACGCGCAGGTCGCACTCGAGGTGCGCCAGCTCAAAGGGAAAGTCGGGGTCCGACGGGACCAGCTTGAAGACGAGCGAGGTGGCGCCGTCGACGGCGGTCTCGCGGGGCGAGAAGCGGCGGCGCAGCTGGGCGAGCTGGTACCCGCGCGGATCCTGGGCGTGCGATTCGGGGACTGGGCGTGGGACGACGCGGGACGACGACGGCTCCGGGACCACCTGCCCGGTGCGCCCGGGGTGCTTTAGGGAGATCATTACTTCGTTCGAGTGCGCTGTGTGAATGCAAACAATTGCTGTGTCAATAATACAAGGTCGAATGAGATTCGAAAGGGGCGCTGAATGAGAGTCGCGATGGATGAGATGAGCTGAGGAACCGACGAGCTGAGAGGCCATGTCGTTGGTTTTGAGTGACGTCGTGGCAACGACCCCGTTGGTGGGGCAGGCGCTATTCTGTTCTGGGCGCGATGGCTCATAATTGCTACCAGTGACTCAGAAGCACAGTCATCGACAGAAATTGCCCCTCCAGTTCTCCTTGCAATTCGCGGCAGGTGCTCTTTGAAGTTGGAACTTGACGGCGATGTAATTTGCGCGGCGGGCGCGGGTGCAGTAGCGAGAAGTCGGCTCGACTCATCGCCTGTCATGGTGCGGTTGCCCACTAACGGCCCCAGGGCGAAGCTGTCGTGAGACACGGCAGTGATGGCACACTGTATCGAACCCACACGGGGCAACGCACCCGACCCCATACTCATAGCAATGGCTCTGCAAACTTCCGATGAAGGCATCGCGCGTGCAAGTGGCTTGTGTTGACACGCTCAGAAGCAGTGCTTATTCTGGCCGGTAGCACATAATACCGCACGTGGTCTCAACCGCCGAGTCTGTTTACACGCCCCCAAATGGTAGCCGATAACCACCGGCATGCCCGAGATGTGTACTGACGAGTTTGCTGGCGGTTGATCACGGATTCGCAATATCGTGTCTGCGCTTGCACGCTGTGATGACGGCTTGCCATTATCGGCCATGCATCGAGCCTCGTTGGGTTGCCTATTTAGGCGACCGCCTGTTGGCAGGCTTGCAAGCACGATGGGAAATCGCCCGACTAGTTCGTACTTGGCACGCTGCCGCGAGTGCGGCTCGGGTGGCAGGGCAGCGGTCTCGGGTCGCACGACAGCGGTTCTGAGCCGCGAGACGACGGGCCAGCCAGTGACGCTCGCGGTGAATGAATCGCGGCGCCGATTTCGTAGCACGCGCTCGAGCTGGACCGGCTGTCGCATGCGTGTCTCTACCGTATGCAGAGTGGACGACTTCCGAGCGGTGATGGCGGACAGCGGTGCCAACGCAGGTCCGTGATTGGCATGTCATCGGTGCGTCGAACCGCGCTCGTGAGGCCGACGGGAGCTGAGGCGGCAATACGCAGAGTCGTTGCAGCGATGCAGACTCTCGCGACATGCCGAGCGGTCAGCGGCGCCGCATCGTGACGGGCAACCCGAGCTGTTCCAGGGCGTCTTTCCGTGTCTGGGCGTGGGGATGGGCGGCGCGGGCGCTAATGCCGCGTCGCGGTTCCGGCAGCAGGCCGTCGACCTCCGCATCGACGGGGTGCCCACATGTCAAATCCAGTTCGTGTCGTGCATCGATGCATAGGCTAGCGGATGCCACGTATGCGGCCATGCTTGACGTTAGTAGATGGCGGAGGCTCGATGGGCGAGGCGCGATGGTCGACTCGGTGGCCGCGAGGTCGTCGTCTGCTAAAAGACGGCGCGTCGCAAAGATGCTCGGCGAGCGTCGACGCCGCCTCGCAATCCATCTGGACGCATCTGGTGAGCTCCCGAGGTGACGAGCGACGTGCCAATGTGATGGCCCGGCAGCGAGCGCGGTGCCACGGGACGCTGCGAGGGGCGACGCCTCACCGTCGCCAGGGCACGGGACGCGGGACGGGAGGCGGCCCGTTTGGCGGCCGGGGCGTGGCTGCGCAGCCAGCGCGACACGACAGACGGTCAGCTCGAGGCGGGTGTCTGCCACGGCGTGCGTGCCGCATGCAGGAGGAGGGTGGGAGACGAGTGCCAGCTCAGCAACCATCTGGCAGATGACCACGCAGATGCAGCCGGCGGGGCGGTGAGCGTCGAGCGCGGGCGAGGCGACTTGGATCGGCCGGGGGAATAAAGCGATAAAATGAATTGTATTTTTGAATTCCTGCAGCGTCGTATTTGCTGCGAATCCGGCACCGTTTCAGACGGCCGAGTCGGCGCTGAAGGTGTTGGCGATGATCATGTTGGCGTCGAGGCTCGAGAGTCGCGACTGCCTCGTTAGTTGTAAATTGTAAGTTGTAACCTCGTCTGACAGAGGCAGTCGCGAATGCCTCCTGCCAACTCGCTCCGTCGCAACACCTGACCTCTTCGCATCGCCATCCCTCGCATCACCGACGCCCAACTCGTTCCCAATCGCTGCCAGCGCGCGCCGCACTCACTCTCAACAGCCCATCAAGCCCAGCCAGCGACCTTCACGCCGCCAGCTGCCTCCGCTGGGCGTCTCCCTGGTCGACATCCGCGTCAACAGCGCCGTCAACCGCAGTCAACCTCCGGTCAGCCCGACGGCTTCCATCTGCATGCAACCCGCTCAGCGAGGTGAGCGTGACTCGGGCGACCCTTTAGTAATCCTGCAGCTGCGCCTCGATGCGTCTCGACGGTGCCGCGCGCTGACTGGTGACCCGGGTCGGGTTGCTTCGTCGAGTCGCAGTCCCAGGATACCCCGGCTACCCTATACGCACCGCACCTCAATGAGTCTTGCTGTCGAGCTTCACATGTCTCGATGCATCTTCCGGCACGGAGCATGTTCGCCGCTGGGTTGATCAACGTCGGTGCCTCGACTCCTGCCCGCAGACCTGCGTCGACGGCCCCCAAGGCCGCCCGTGGCTTCAGCCCTATCAGCCGCAATACGGGCGGACCGGCCGACGCAGGCAATACGCAATGCAGCGTCAGCGGTCGGCGAGTGTCCGAGTCGGCGCATAAGCGGTGCGTTGCATCGATTGCTGACCCGTCGTTCATGTGGGCTCGTTTTCCCCTTCGGCGCCGGTCTCGCGTCGAGGCAGACCGGGATGCGGCGTTCCACGCTGGTGTGCGCCTAGCCGACCACATTCGAGATTGATAATCTCAGAATTGGACAGTCGGCAGATGCACGTGCTCGGGCAGCCAGGTCTTTTCGAGCCCTCCAGCTTCGTTCGACTGATGCTCAGGGGTACGACGCGCGTCATTCCGCGCTGTCGAGTTTGTCGCCATCGTGGACTCGCTCATTGGCCCGTCGCATCCATCGGATTCACCGCGTCACGGACCCGCGCCATGCCGAAACAGGTAAACGGGCTGGCTTCACTTTGCCAGCGTCTCTGGTTTCAGAGGCTTGATGGCGGTCGCGGCTGTGCTGGCGCGCGGCTCGCATTGAACCCGACCGGGTCGAACACGAAATAGGTAAACGACTTCGTCTTTGCAGGAATCGTCGACAATGGCCGCGAGGCAGAGGAGTTGGTATAAAGCTGGGCGACGGGATTGTCGCAGTCAACGACTCAACGGCATCACTTCAATTGACTGCCAGCTACGACCCAACTGACCAAAATGTCTACCGACGTCTGGATGTACAACCCCTCGCTCGCGCTCGCCATCCTCGGCAGCGTGGTGTACGGGGTCATCTTCATCGCCATCACCTACCTGACGTGGGTGCGCTACCGCTCGTGGTACTTTTCCGTCGTGGTCGTTGGCGCCGCCATCGAGGTGGCCGGCTACATCCTGCGCGCCTACTCGGCGAGCCACCGCTCCGAGCTGGTACGTCTACGGCCTCGCGACGACGAGCCTCGCTGACCATGCAGCCCCCGTTTGTCATGACGCTCACGTTTACGGTTCTCGCGCCTGTCCTGATCGCGGCCGGCAACTACCTGCTCATCAGCCGCCTCATCCGCGCCGTCCTCCCTCCTGCGCGCCACCGCGTGCTCGGCGTGCCGGGCCGGCGACTCACGCCCATCTTCGTTGCGTGCGACGTGGTCGCCTTCCTCGTCCAGGGCAACGGGTCCGGCATTGCCAGCAGCGACAACTGGACGGGGTCGACGGAACGCATCGGCCGGTACGTGCTCATCGGCGGGCTCGCGTTCCAGCTCGTCTCCTTTGGCCTCTTCCTCTGCGTGTTCCGCCGCTTCCACGTGCTGGCCAACCGGGAGACGGTGCCGGACGCGCCGCAAGGGTGGAGGCACGTCGTGCGCGCCGTCTATGTGTCGAGCGCTCTCATCATGGTACGCCGCCTGTCCGATCCGTCGAGCGAGCCTGACTAACATTGACAGATCCGGACCATCTACCGCGTGTGCGAGTTCGCCGAGGGCATGAACGGCTACGCCTTCCGGACCGAGTGGCTGTTCTGGGTCTTTGAGGCGCTGCCCATGGTCGGGGCCATCGGCGTCTTCTGCATCTGGCACCCGAGCCGGTACCTGGGCAAGGACGGCGCGGCTCCCAAGAAGGTGGCGTCGGACGAGGAGGTTGAGCTGACGGGCCGGCGCTGGTTTCGTCGTTCTTAAGGGGCGGACGGCACAAGTAGACATAGAGGCCAAGCCAGCCGATGGCCAGTATCTAGCTGTTGGAATTATTATAGTGTTGGTTATTGTACAAACTGCTCCGCGCACTCTAGGCGCGGCATCTTGGCTCCTCCCTCCCGCCAGAAGCTCGTGTCGACGTCAAAGAGGCTCGTCAGGTTGCGCGCGAACTGCGCCGGCCACTCGGCGTAAGACCGCAGCTCCGGGGGCAGGCTCGCGTAAATGTCGCCGACCCAGACGCACACCATGACGTTGCGCGAGTCGTAGCGGTGCAGTCCCGCCGCCTCGGGCCGCCGCTCGTCGGTCCCTTCGACGCGTCCGGACATGATGCAGTCCAGCACCAGCATGTGCGCGATGACGAGGCGAGCCGTGTCGTTGCGCGGGTCCACAAACGAGGCGTACTCCTCCGCCGTCAGGTGGCCCAGCCGCTCGTACAGGAACGTGTGCTGGCGATAGCCTGGATCTGTCAGCTAGGCTCTCACCGTGCGGCACAACACTTACTCTCAGTCACATCGGTGTTGAAGGACCTGGCAATCTGCCGCATCATGGCCAGGTACTGCACCTCGGCGACGCTCTGGCACATGCGGCCCAGCCGCTCGAGGCTCGCGCAGAAGCCGTCCACCAGGTCCCCGTCGAGAAAGTGGTGCGGCTCGCGCGTGACGACCTCGACGGCGCGCTCGACGTACGACTCGCGCTCAAACGTGCGAAAGGCCGAAGAGCGAAACTCGTCGCCCACGAGGGACCCGACGAGGAAGCCTGCTGGTCAGCGGGCGAACACAGACGGTCAACACTAGGCACTTACACCCCCGCGTCATGGTGAGAAAGTCGTACAGCCCGTCAGGCATGTGCGCGGCCTGGTACGTCAGCGACAGGATGGCGGCGAACGCGGCGTCGACGTTGGCCGTCGTGTGCGGGCCCCGCGCGAGGAACTCGTTGAGCAGCTTGATGGCGGCGACGCGGTGCCGCAGCGCGTCCTTGACGTAGCCCGCCGGCGTGAGCAGGCTGAGGTGCGAGGCGCCGAGGCCCAGCATGGCGTGCACCAGAAATTCGTACTGCGGGCTCACGTTAGACGTGGTCGGCAGCTGCATGCTGGGGACGCCGCTCACCTCGTGGGACATTTGCGAGACGAGCTGCCAGACGGACCAGCCGCCGATGGGCAGCGGCGGGTACGCACAGAGGAGAAAATGCTGGAAGAAGCGCAGGTCGGACATGTCGAACGGGCCGGTGGACGTCGGCGCGGCGGCCGCGGACGGGAGGGGAGCCGGCGCCGGGGGCGTCACGGCGACGACGGGCCCGGCCCTGCCTCCGGCGTACTCGCATCCGAGGCCGAGGCGTCGGCACGGGCCGCACTCCGGGGCGACCTCGTCGCACTTGACCTTGCGGCGCTTGCAGTTGGGGCAGCCGGCGCGCGACTTGGTGTGGCCCTTGCGGGGGATCGGGCGGCGGCGGGACGTCGCCGCGTGGTCCGGCGTCGATGCGGAGCTGTTGCTGTCGGGCATGTTGATGCTGGTGATTGTCACGGTTGCAGCCAAATGCGCCTGGATGCGCTGCGTAGGGCTGATGTAGTCGGGCTCGGACCCATCACTCCGTCTTACGCCGCAGTGCCGACGCGGCACTGACGACGCTCACCGTGGCTCCAGCCAACCGGCTTCAATGGCGCTTCATTGGCATGACGTTCTATTTTCAACTCTAAAAGTCATTCTCGTCTACGCCCGACACAATGACATTGTTCACCTTGAGCACCATCCTGCACAGCTGCGTCGCCAGCTGCAGCTGCTGCTTCTTGCCAATCAGCGGGTCAATGACAAACGCCTCCTTCATGTCGTTGCTCCCCCGGCCCATGCAGTCGACGCCCAGCCTGCCGCGGCCGCCCTTGACCTGCTGGCTCTTGACCTCGGCCAGCGTCGAGATTGGGTTGAGGCCGCTGTTCTCGGCCAGCGCCATCGGCACGGCATCGAGCGCCTCGGAGAAGGCGCGCATCGCGTACTGCTCCAGGCCGGGTGTCTGCACAGCCGCGTCCTCGACGGCCAGCGAGCAGGCAATCTCGGCCGCGCCGCCGCCGTAGACGACGCGGTTGTCGCGGACCAGGTTGCGCACCACGCACAGCGCGTCGTGCAGCGACCGCTTCGCCTCGTCGATGATCTGACTGGTTAGCGAGGGTCGAAAGCCAAAGGGCGAAAGCCAAGGACGTAGGACTCACCATCTTGTTGCTGCCGCGGACAAACACGGTGACGGCGCGCGTGTTGGCGCACTCCTCGATGACGAGCATCTTCTCGCGCGTCGTGCCAAACGTCATCTCCCGGACCACGCCCGCGGAGCCCAGCTTCTCGGCCTTGAGGTCCTCGAAGCGCGGCACGATGCGGCCGTTGGTGGCGATGGCGATGAGCTCAATCTCCGGGCCGCCCACCCACCGCACAGCCGGCAGCTTGTTCTGCAGCAGCAGGTGGTTGGCCTCGTCGTCGAAGCCCCACTGGCAGATGGCCAGGTTGGCGCCCGTGTCCTTGATCTGCTGGATCATCTCGATGAACTTTTCCCGCTCGTAGTTTTGCAGCTTCTTGAACTCTTCGACGCTCGTAATGTCCAGGTGGTGCTTGGTCTTGGGCTTGGGCGGCTCGAACGCGCACGTCAGGATGGCAATCTTGGCGTCGCGGATCTCGGACGGCATCTGCGGGTGCGAAAAGTCCTTGTCGACGATGACGCCCTTGACCAGCAGCGAGTCCTCGAGCGCGCCGCCGACCTTGCCGTCGACCTTGATGAGCTCAAAGTCGACGTCCCGCCTCTCCAGGTCCGCGACCGACAGCACGGCGTCGACGGCAATGTTGGCGAACTGGTCGTGCGACTTGGACACAATCTTGCTGCCCAGGCTGGTCCGCGCCACCTTGACGAGGTTGGCCGTCTCCTCGCGCGAAAAGTCTATCGTGTCGGAGATCTTGTCGAGCTCGGCAATGGCGATGTCGCAGGCCTGGTCGTAGCCGTCGGCGATGCGGATGGGGTGGATGCCCTTGTCGATGAGGTCGGCGGCCTGCTCGAGCATGGCGCCGGCCAGGACGACGACGCCCGTGGTGCCGTCACCGATCTCGTCGTCCTGCGACTTGGACAGCTCCACGAGCAGCTTGGCCACGTGGTTGCTGACCTCCATTTGCTGCATGATGGTCGCGCCGTCGTTGGTCACCGTGATGTCGCCGTCGGAGGAGATGAGGATCTTGTCGAGGCCGCGCGGGCCAAGCGACGACTTGACCAGGTTGGCCACCGTCCGCGCGGCGAGGATGTGCGACTTGACGGCCTCATTTCCAAACTGCCGCTTCTTCTTCCCTTGGCTGTTTGCGGTCAGCGGTGAGCGGCGGCCGGGTTGGCCCTCTGAGGCGTCGGGAGGCACCTACTCTCTGACCACGATGAACGGGCGGCCCTGCTCGTCCTTGAGCACCTGGGCTGCTTCCTGTTAGCTGCGCACGCGAGACGGGGCGAGACACGCGGGGCCGTGCGTACCGTTCGACACGTCCAGATCTATAGAGTCAGCGCAGCCTTCATCAGCGGCGCGGGGGACTTACTGAGCGACATTATGGCGGTGCGTAGAGATGCGGTGCTGAGAGAACATCGTGGAGCTGATTTTGATAGGGGCCCCTGCTGGCCCTGCCTGGGAGCTTGTGCGGCGGGAACATCTAAAGTCCGTGCCCCGCCAGCCCCTCCAAGCCCAAGCTGCCCCTCGTCGTCATCCGCCACCGAGCTACTGAACCACGTCAAGCTCTCGCCCAAGCACAACTGCCGACCGGTAGCTTTTGCCGTCGGTAAACCTTGTCCGGTGCGATCAACTGCGTATAAATTGATCTTGTTTCTGATCTTCCGACTTTTCGTCGGTCCAGGCAATTCGTCTGTCACTCGTTCTACTCATCCACCGGCACCATCGACCGACGACTCCACCGCTTCACATTCACCACCGTTAGTCATTCGAGCAGCTCGACTCACGAGCGTGCGTCAGGCAAGATGCCTGTCACCACGTACACCGAGGACGACCTCGTCGACCAGTACGACGAGTTCGAGGGCGACGACGACGAGCTGAGCCCCGAGGACAAGGTGGCCATGAGCGAGGCCACCGCCGCGGTGCAGCAGGTCCTCGGCGACCAGGTCACGGTCGCGCAGATCCAGGAGGCGCTATGGCACTACTACTACGACGTCGACAAGTCGGTCGCATACCTGCGGCGGACGTTCATCTCGCCCCCGAAGCCGGCACCCAAGAAGGTGGAAGCACCCAAGAAGCCAGAGGCCGCACCCAAAAAGGCAGAGGCCGCACCCAAGAAGCCAGAGGGTAAGTCGGGCGAATTCTCCTTTTCTGACGCACTCGGCCTGTTTGTGCGCGCCGGACGGGGGCGGGACACGGGCGACGCGCTGCGCGACTTCGACGACATGCCCTGGATGAACGTGCCGCGGCACCGCTTGGCGACCATGGTCCCGCCGCCGCGACTGGGCGGCCTGCTCGGCGGCGGCGAGCCCAAAATGTCCAAGCTGCAGGCACTGGCCGCGGCGCGCAAGAAGAAGACGGAGACGGCGCAGGCGGAGAGCGGCATGAAGCGGCTGTCCATTACGGACACGGAGCCGTCCAAGCGGCAAAAGAACTGGCCGCTACCTCGACCGCCGCTTGAGCAGCCGGCCCAGGCATCACCAGCTCAAGAATCGGAGACCCAAGCAGCAGAAGAAACATTGGAAGCCCAAGCACCGGCCGCCCAAACGCCAGACGCGCAAGCACCGTCATTAACGGCGCAGTCCCCGGCATCTCGGCCCGAGTTCGCAGCGCCGCCCGCCCCCCAGCCGTCCGCGTTTGCGCGCGCGCTCTTCGGACCGCCACCGCGCAGCAGGCCCGAGGTGTTTGCCATGCCCTACGCGTCTGCCCTTTCAGCCGAGGCGTTTGCCCAGCCGAGCCCCGACGACGTCGTGCTGGCCGCCCAGGCAAAAGGTAACTTGGCGAGACAAAGTAACGCGCTAATCTAATCGTGTCCAGCGGGCAAGCCGAAAAAGGAGCCGGCCAAGGCCAAGGACGTCGCCGAGGGCGTCGCCAAGCTCCAGGTCGACGTCCCTCCGCCCAAGAGCAAGGGGCTCGACGTGGTTAAGGAGTTTGAGAGCAGCGACAGCAAGCGGAGCACGAGCTTCGTGGTCGTTGGTGAGTCGTGACTGCCGACGCGTAATAGAGTCTCGACTGACCAAGCAGGACACGTCGACGCCGGCAAGAGCACGCTCATGGGCCGGTTGCTGGTGGAGCTCAAGTACGTGGAGCAGCGGACCGTCGACAAGTACCGGCGGCAGGCGGAAAAGTCGGGCAAGCAGTCGTTTGCGCTGGCGTGGGTCATGGACCAGGGCAGCGAGGAGCGCGACCGCGGCGTGACGATTGACATTGCGACGAACCACTTTGAGACGGAGAGGACCAAGTTTACGATACTGGATGCGCCGGGCCACCGCGACTTTGTGCCCAACATGATTGCCGGCGCCAGTCAGGCCGACTTTGCCATCCTCGTCATCGACGCCAACACGGGGGCCTACGAAAAGGGGCTCAAGGGCCAGACCAAGGAGCACGTGCTGCTGCTGCGGAGCCTGGGCGTGCAGCGGCTGATTGTCGCCGTCAACAAGCTCGACATGGTGGGGTGGTCGCGGGACCGCTTCAACGAGATTGCCGAGCAGGTCGGCGGCTTCCTGACGGGGTTGGGGTTCCAGGAAAAGTCCGTCACATTTGTGCCGATATCCGGGCTCAGCGGCGACAACGTCGGGCGCAAGATCGAGGACCCGGCGGCGTCATGGTACGGCGGGGCGACGCTGATGGAGGCGCTGGAGGAGGCGGTGCCGACGTCGACGCGGGCGCTGCGGAAGCCGTTCCGGATGGGCATCTCGGAGGTGTTCCGGTCGGCGCAGGGCACGGCGACGCTGGCGGGCCGGGTGGACTCGGGGACGGTGCAAGTGGGCGACTCGGTGCTGGTGCAGCCGAGCGGCGAGGCCGGCTACGTCAAGTCCATCATGGCGGATACGGAGGGCCGGGAGTGGGCGGTGGCCGGGCAGAGCGTCACGGTGGCGCTGACGAGCATCGACCCGGTGCACATCCGCGTGGGAGACATCCTGTGCGAGGCCAAGAACCCGATCCCCTGCGACGACACGTTTACGATGAAGGCTATGGCCTTTGAGCACGTCATGGTGATGCCGGTGGACCTACACCGCGGGCGGCTGCACGCGCCGGGGCAGGTGCAGACAATCCTGGCGACGCTGGACAAGGCGACGGGCGCCGTGATCAAGAAGAAGCCCAAGGTCGTGCAGCCGGGGGCAGTCGCGCGCCTGGTGATTAAGCTGGCGGCCAAGGTGCCGCTGGAGGCCGGGCAGCGGGTGGTGATTCGCAGCGGCGGCGAGACGATAGCCGCGGGGCTGCTGGAGTAGCGGATGTCGCTTAGATGAGATCCACGGACGCAATAGACGCCTCCAGGGTTCCTAGCAGCATCAAGCGGCGCATGAGCACCGACATTAACACGGTAGCGACATTGACACCGTCATGACCGACAAGCCAGCTGTCCATTTGCTGCGCTGGAATATTCCAGTGGCTGCCCTCCAGCGACCCTTGACCCGCAGTGACTCAATCAGTGGCGACTGGAGCGACCGTCCCCGGGCGAAATGCCGGCGCGCGAACCCCCGTGGCCAGTGCCGGCGGCGGCGCACAGTGCCAGGCACTGCCGATATAAATATGCACGCGCGGGCGGGCCGCCGGCCGCACAGTGCGCAGAGCAAGCGCCGTCACGTGGGGCGCCTACCGGTGGCGCGCCAGGCACCATACCTGAAATCTGGCCTTTTGTGCGCTCTGGACACCTCGACATTTCGACGCGACCCTTCATAAGCGCGGCCCCGTCTCCCTCCTCCCCCAACCATCCCAGATACCCTTCGTGAAAGCGAGGAAGCTCGCCCGGACGATTGCCTTTCCTTCTCCCCTGTCATTGCATTCCTTTTCCTTTCACAGAGTGATCGCCATGGCTCGATCACGGAGCTCGCTGGCCCTGGGCCTCGGGCTGCTCTGCTGGATTACCATGCTCTTTGCGCCCCTGGCCTTTGTCGGACAGGCGCAGGCGGACGACTCTGAAAACTACGGCACCGTTATTGGCATTGTGAGCGCCCCCGGCTGTGCGCGGATACAGGCCGCCTGCTAACCTACTCAGGATCTGGGAACTACATACAGCTGCGTCGGTGTGATGCAAAAAGGCAAGGTCGAGATTCTCGTCAACGACCAGGGCAACCGAATTACCCCCTCATACGTCGCCTTTACCGACGAGGAGCGTCTTGTCGGCGACTCGGCCAAGAACCAGGCCGCCGCCAACCCCACGAACACCATCTACGACATCAAGTGAGCCTCTCCCCTCTCATGCCATCGTGACTTGACTGACCGCCTAGGCGCCTGATTGGCCGCAAGTTCAACGAGAAGGAGGTGCAGGCCGACGTCAAGCACTTCCCCTACAAGGTTCTCTCCAAGGAGGGCAAGCCCATCGTCTCCGTCAAGGTCAATGGCGAGGACAAGAAGTTCACCCCCGAGGAGATTTCGGCCATGGTCCTGGGCAAGATGAAGGAGGTTGCCGAGTCGTACCTCGGCAAGAAGGTGACGCACGCCGTCGTGACGGTGCCCGCCTACTTCAACGTAAGTCTTGCGCTTCAAGAATGGAGAGCGTTGCTGACCCTCGCAGGACAACCAGAGACAGGCCACCAAGGACGCCGGCATCATCGCCGGCCTCAACGTCCTGCGCATCGTCAACGAGCCCACGGCCGCCGCCATCGCGTACGGCTTGGACAAGACGTCGGGCGAGCGCCAGATCATCGTTTACGACTTGGGCGGTGGTACCTTTGACGTGTCACTTCTGTCCATCGATAACGGCGTGTTCGAGGTGCTGGCCACGGCCGGTGACACCCACCTGGGTGGCGAGGACTTTGACCAGCGCGTCATCAACCACTTTGCCAAGTCTTACAACAAGAAGAACGGCGTGGACATCACCAAGGACCTCAAGGCCATGGGCAAGCTCAAGCGCGAGGCTGAAAAGGCCAAGCGCACGCTGTCGTCGCAGATGAGCACGCGCATCGAGATCGAGGCCTTCTTCGAGGGCAAGGACTTCTCCGAGACGCTGACGCGCGCCAAGTTTGAGGAGCTCAACATGGACCTCTTCAAGAAGACGCTCAAGCCCGTCGAGCAGGTGCTCAAGGACGCCAACGTCAAGAAGGCCGAGATCGACGACATTGTGCTCGTCGGCGGCTCCACGCGTATCCCCAAGGTGCAGTCCCTGATCGAGGAGTACTTTAGCGGCAAGAAGGCGTCCAAGGGCATCAACCCCGACGAGGCCGTCGCGTTCGGCGCCGCCGTCCAGGCCGGTGTTCTGTCTGGCGAGGAGGGCACCGAGGAGATTGTGCTCATGGACGTGAACCCGCTGACCCTGGGCATCGAGACCACGGGCGGCGTCATGACCAAGCTGATCCCCCGCAACACCCCCATCCCCACGCGCAAGAGCCAGATCTTCTCCACGGCCGCCGACAACCAGCCCGTGGTCCTGATCCAGGTCTACGAGGGCGAGCGCTCGCTGACCAAGGACAACAACCTCCTCGGCAAGTTTGAGCTGACCGGCATTCCCCCGGCCCCCCGCGGCGTCCCCCAGATCGAGGTGTCGTTCGAGCTCGACGCCAACGGCATCCTCAAGGTCTCGGCCCACGACAAGGGCACCGGCAAGCAGGAGTCAATCACCATCACCAACGACAAGGGCCGACTCACCCAGGAGGAGATCGACCGCATGGTCGCCGAGGCCGAGAAGTACGCCGAGGAGGACAAGGCCACGCGCGAGCGCATCGAGGCCCGCAACGGACTGGAGAACTACGCCTTTAGCCTCAAGAACCAGGTCAACGACGCCGAGGGTCTTGGCGGCAAGATTAGCGACGAGGAGAAGGAGACTGTGAGTACTCGTGCAACCGTTGATAATTATGAACACTGCTGACCACTAGCCAGATCCTGGACGCCGTTAAGGAGGCCACTGAGTGGCTCGAGGAGAGCGGTGCCGAGGCTACGGCCGAGGACTTTGAGGAGCAAAAGGAGAAGCTGTCCAACGTGGCGTACCCCATCACCTCCAAGATGTACCAGGGCGCCGGCGGCGAGAAGGGCGAGGACGACCAGGACTTCCATGACGAACTGTAAATGATAGAATGCGTGCGGCGGCAGCCGTGTACAGTAGCAATAGAGCTGCGGTGTGAAAGTAAATGACCTATCTGACACGTCTGACCCTTGCGTGAGACGCTCACGTGACAGCGCGGCAACGTGGCATCGCGCACGGTGAGCGACGCGCCCCGACTCGATGACGCACCTGCGTTGCTCGCTGCCCACCGTGAACATTTTCCATTGCCCGCCAATTGTGCGCCAATTGCAACGGCCATGGCACGAAAGCGCGCGGCGCCGGACAGCGAGCGGCGGCGCTCGGGGCGCATCGCCAGCACGCCCAAGAAGAGCTCGTACTTTGAGGACTCGGACGAGATGCCGCCGAGGAAGCGCGGGCGCCCCAGCAAGTCCAGAGCGAAGCAGGAGAGCGACGAGGAGGAGAGCGAAGCTCAATTCGAGGAACAGGAAGACGACGACGAAGAGGAAGAGGAGGACGATGATGACGCCCCGCGCAAGGTGCAAATCATTCCCCTCGAAAAGATGCGCGGCACCGGGGGCGTCGAGTACGAGGACCACAAGCTGCACCGCAACACGCTGCTGTTTCTACGCGACCTCAAGGCCAACAACAAGCGCACCTGGCTCAAGAGTACGTCTTTTCAATTATTCCTTGGCCATGCGCGCCCATTCTGACAATGCCAGGCCACGACGACGAATACCGGCGCGCGCTCAAGGACTGGAACTCGTTTGTAGAAGCCTCGACGGCGACGCTGGTGGGCATCGACGAGACGGTGCCCGACCTGCCGGTCAAGGACGTGGTGTTCCGGATCCACCGCGACGTGCGCTTCAGCAAGGACCCGACGCCGTACAAGCCGCACTTCAGCGCGGCGTGGTCGCGGACGGGGCGCAAGGGCCCGTACGCGTGCTACTACGTGCACTGCGAGCCGGGGGCGTCGTTTGTGGGCGGCGGGCTGTGGCACCCGGAGACGGGCGCCGTGGCGAGGCTGCGGCGGAGCATCGACGCGCACCCGCGGCGGTGGCGGGCGGCGCTGGGCGAGGGCGAGTTCCGGCGCGTCTTCTTTCCGCGCGTGCAGCAGGGCAAGGGCAAGGGCGGCGACGAGGCAATGGTCAAGGCGTTTGCGGCGCGCAACCAGGAGAATGCGCTCAAGAAGCGGCCGATGGTGGGTGCTCTTGTGTTCCCGGATGTCGCCTTGTGTGGGTGAGGGACGCTGACTGACGGACGCAGGGCTATGAGGTCACGCACCCGGACATTGAGCTGCTCAAGCTGCGCAACTTTACGGTGGGGAGCAAGATTGACGCCGAGACGCTGACGCGCGACGACGCGCAGGAGAAGCTGGGGGAACTGCTGGGCGGGCTACACTCGTTTGTGCGTGCTCGATGGCGATGTGATGCGTGCGTGGTGCTGACGTGCGCAGGTTACGTTTCTGAACAGCATAGTGATGCCGGATGCGCGGCTGGGCGATGACGACAGTGATGATAGCGAGTCTGATGAGGACGGCGAGCAAGGGCACGACGACGGGGAGGAACAGCAGGAGGACGGCGAGGAGGACGAGGACGATGACGAAGGCGAAGACGGAGAGCAATAACGGCCGCATTCACATTACGCATCGCGAATAGCTAGCTACGCACAGCCGCACACATTCAGCAGCGCCACGCTCGGGTCGTGGTCGCTCGTCTGCCCCTTGAAGTTCTGCCAAGTGTTGACGTGCAGGTGCTCGACGCGGGCGCCGCGGCCGAGCGCGGGGCTCACGTACATGTGGTCGAGGGCCTGGCTGTTCATGTCAAAGAGGTAGGTGTAGCGCTCCTCGGGGGCCAGGCCGGCCAGCTCGTCGAGGTCGCGCAGCCCGGAGCGCTCGGCGAAGACGCGCATGGGCTGCACCTGCGTGAACTCGTTGAAGTCGCCGGCGGCGATGACCCGGGCGCGCGGGTCCTGCTTGAGGATGGCGGCGATGAAGTCCTGCGCCGTGTTAGCTGCGTGGTCGGCTGCCAGACAGAGTCAGCCAAGTGGGTGTTCTCACCGCGGTAATGGTCGCCTGCTCGGTGCGCTTCTCGACGCCCTTGTTGACGGGCGGGCGGGCGTCGCCGTGCAGCGTCGTGGACCCGCCCTTGCTGCCGAAGTGCACGTTGACGGTGAAGAAGGTCTTGTGGGTGCCCTTGACGGTGCGCCAGGCGGCGGCGACGGGCTTGCGGCTGTCGTCAAAGGCGGCGTTGGCGGGCTGGATGCGGCCCGGGTTGAACTTGAGGGCGGGCCCGGGCAGCACCTCGTTGGCGTCGAGGCTGCCGCCCTGGCGCGGCTCGTGCAGCTCGACGACGTCCGGGCGGTAGAGGTAGGCGCAGCGGATGTTGCCGCCGGGCTGGCCGCCGTCCTTGCCGTCCTGGGGCTCGACCTCTGCAAAGGCGTAGGCGACGCCCGAGGCGGCCTCGATGCCGCGGGTGAGGGTCGAGAGCGTCAGGTTGGCCGAGACGACGCCGTCGTTGGCGGCGCCCGAGTTGTCCTGCACCTCCTGCAGGAAGACGAGGTCCGGGAGGCGCAGCTCGTTGACGATCTGGTCGACGACGCGGGGCAGGTGCGCCGAGTCCGGCGCCAGGTTCTCGGCGTTGTAGTCGGCGACGGTGATGCCCCTGCAGGAGCCGCGGCTGGCGAGCGACGTGTCGGGGAACTCGGCCGAGGCGTTGCGCTGGGGGACGAGGCGCGTCAGCGGCAGGATGCGGTAGAAGCCAAACGCGTTGGACACGACGCCCGTCACGTCGCCGACGAAGTCGCCCATCTTGGTGTCCGTCGGGTTGGCGGAGCCGTCGAGCGGCGTGCCGACGACAATGGTCTCAGGGTTGGCGTCTGCGCGTTGGGCGGCTCGTCAGCTGTTGATGCTCGGGCCGAGAGGGCTTCAATGCTCGACTTCAAGCGCTTCCTCGCTTTGCCGACAGCAGCTCGGATAGCTAAGCCTGCAACAAAGGGCCGACAAGACAAAAAAACTCACCGCCATCGAGCATTGTGACGCCGCCGTGGCCGTTGACGCCCGTGACGGCCCAGTCGCCGCGCACCCAGACGTCGCCGTACTGGTTCGGGCGGCTGGTAAGGTAGGCATCCTTCACGGTAACGAGCTCGCCGACGAGGCTCTCCCAAAAGTCGAGCCCGTAGGCGGTCGGGTCGAGCTTGGGGTTGGCGCCCGAGACGGTGCTCGCGGCGTTGGGCACGCCAAAGACGCCGCCCGCGTCGAGGCTCGAGAAGTCGCGCGTCGGCGGCGGCAGCGTGTCCTTGCCGACGACGAGCGGCGCGACGGCGTTGCCCGACGAGACGACGACGACGTTGGTCGGGTTGGTGAGCTCGGTGAGGTAGATGTAGTCCTTGTTGGACCTGGATGAGTGTCAGCTGGAGTGATGCCTGGCTGCGCGATCCAAGAGACACAATGCCCGCCCGTGTGTAGAGCCACGCACCTGTACTCCTTGACGAGCCCGCTGAGCGTCACCACGTCGCCGACCTTGGCCGTCTTGACGACGGAGCTGCTAAACACAAACAGACCCTCCGAGGTGGCCGGGCTGTCGTCCGGGGCGGTGCTGCGCAGGTAGATGCCCGTCTTGGAGGTGGCCGTCACCAGGCCCGTCACGTTGGCCACGTCCTTGTCCTGAAAGGGCGAGAGGAAGCGGTCGCCGTTGATCTCGGCAATGGTGACGGCGGCGACGGCAGCGGGGGCCGCGAGGGCCGCGAGGGCGAGCATGGGCGACTTCATGGCGGAGGCTCGACGCGACGTGCCGCTTGTCGATTGACGCGGCGACGAGGCCGTCCGCGGGCGGGCTCATCCTTTTGTGTCCGCCGCGCACCGGCCGAGGCCGCCCATCGCGGTCGGCGTCGATATCCACGTCAATCGATAACCGCGTCGGCCTGCAGGTCGCTTCGGGCGGCCTGCCTGTAGGCGGCGGCGCTGAGTGCACGTTGAAGCCGTCGCCAAGCCCCCGCCAGGCCGGATTCTGCAGGTCCCACGGCGGGCTCATTGGCCTGGGACCGCACGTGCTGCACAGGCGAGGTCTAGACACCACCCGCGGCCATCCATGCAGCCAAAAGGGCAGCGTAGCCTACGATGCAATGTGCGCGGCCGAGCAGTCGGCCTGCTTGCCGGATTGGCTACCGACGCCCCGGACACCACGTGTTGACGGACACTCCTTGGGAACCATGCGCAGCGTCTATAAATGCTGACAAGGGGGCCTCGCAGCTCTCCCATCCCTTGCGTCGGGCTCTACAGCTGCGGCTCCACCGGTACAGAGTGTCCAACTCGCCTCTCTCTCACGCTTCGCTCGGAGAATAAACAGAATGCAACGCAACCAGTCCAAATCAAAACGCCGATTCGCCCGGCCTGCCTCTATCGGCTCGGCCCCGCCACCGCCTTCTCCTTGCCCTTGCCGTTGCCAGCGGGCAAGTCTAGGTCCCTGTACAAATTCCACTCATAAATGTAGTTGATGACGTCGTCGGGTATTCTGAGAGAGAGTCAGCACCAGACGATGAAGAGTTGGGGGTCAATGCACGCACAGGTAATCGATGCTCATGTCGCGCTTCAGTAGCAGGCGCACCTTGGTGCTGCTTATGTCGTTGGTCACGACCTGGCGGATGACGTGAATGTTCTTCTCCCACTGCTTCAGGCTGGCCAGGGCCGAGTCGAGCTCGGTGCCGGTGCGCTCCAGCACAAAGACGCCAAAGTTACCGAGGATGTGGTCGACGTCGCGCGCGTCCCACACCTCGGGCGTGCTGATGGTCTGGATCAGGTCGGCGCCCGCCAGCAGCACAATCTTGGCCGGCTTGCGCGTGCCGTCGGAGCACTCGACGCCGCCCATGACGTGGTTGATCTCGTAGTCAAAGTGGTCGAGCACCCGGGCCGTGGGGATGTATGTCGGATTCTCCGCCTCCCACGGGTCCACCATGAGCCACTTGGACGTGTTCTCCGTCGCCAGCTCGCACATGCGCACGCGGTGGTGCGCCGGCGCGAGGCCCTTTTTCTTGTAGGCGTCGGACACGGGCGACAGGTAGCCGCCGATGACGTCGAAGCCTGGGTGGTTGTCGTCTCGTGTCAGCTTGTATTTGCGTGTACGGGGGAGCGGACCGGGGGTTGGCTGCCTACCTTCGTTGCGGCAATGGTCGCGGGCCATGGGGAACATGCGCAGGTGCAAAAACGTTATTGGGGAGACTGCGGGCGTGTCAGTTTGCGGGAGCTCCGCTGCGGGAAGCGGCCGGTGCCTACATGATCCGCAGGCGACGAGGACGAGCGGCACGCGGCCGGGGTCGCAGGTGCGTCGCAGCCGGTGCGAGGGAAACGTGTAGCCGGCGGGCGTCATGCGCCTGACAAAGTCAAAGTCGGCCATTGCGTTCGGTCGATCGGTCGGCGGACGGGATGGGGAGGGTGATGCTGGGCGCTGCAGCGGCGGCGGCGGGCGGATGACGACTACGGCATGGGGCCGCGGGCGAGGGGTAAAACTGAGGTGGGCGGTTCCGGCGGCCGGTGTCGCTGCGGCGGGCGGTTCCAGTGGACGGTGGTGACGCGGGGCGCTTGGGCGGAGGGACCGCGGCCGGGTCGGGTCGGGTCGGGATGGGTCAAGGCTCAATTGCAGGCGAGCGCGGCTCAGCTGCGTCGGCCTCGGCGACGACCAAAGGGATGGCGGCGTCGATGAGGCGATTGATGGGCGCTGGGGGGGGACGACGATGATGGAGGAGGCAGGTTTGAAGAGTCTCGCGGTGCGGATCTGCCGCTCTGGGCGACTAAATGGAATGGATGGGTCCGGCCCAGGCAGGCGGGCGAGCACCTCATTCATGCAAGCGGGCAGGCCTTGTCGCCTGCGCCTTGGGGCCTGGGGCCTCTGGGGCCTGGAGGCTGCCTGCGGCGTTCGCTGCGGGTGGGGCGGGGCCAGCGTGGTGCGGCGAGCTTCCCGGGCGGCATTGATGCCCTGATTGGCAACGGATGTATTATGTATGAGCAGTTGATCCCCCGCTTTCCCTAATCAGGCAGTACTACGGCCATTAAAGCGTGACGGTACACTTTAAAAGGAGGACCGAGCTGTGTTTACGAGCACCTACTTAGGTATTCCCTTGACTATTCAACGATGATAGTAATGATTCCCTTGATGCCATCCTTCGCGAAGACGATGGCCAGTGCCAACTGCTGCGTCAATCCTCAACTATAGCAACGGCGTGCTCGGTGGATGTGGCAGCTTGCTTTGTGTGAATAGCCTCACAGCCAACGGCCCTGCATTGTGCCAGCAAGCCAAGTCAGCCACCTATTTTGAGCGGCAGAACCAACAAGCAGCGCGACAACGTGCGAGCCGGCGGCCACTTGCAGCAGACCGGTCAACCGCAGCCCGGTAGCACAGCGCAGCCGGCTCTGCAAGTGAGGTCGCGCATCAACCACCCGGGCTCTGCAGCTGAAACGTCGACGACCACCGACGTGCCTGCCGAACTTGCCCGCTGCTGAACGTGACACCGCTTGAATTGACGTCGTGCCGAGCAGCTATTCGCTGGCGGGGCGCGTCGGCGCCGCTGGATGCGTCGCCTCATGTCCGCGACATATACTTGGTACACAAGTGTAGAGACGTCTTGCATCGGCCTATAAGGCAGCCGCAGTGTGAGAGCACCCTCAGCTCACTTGCCCGGCAGGCCGGTTGGGACAGACGGAAAATACCCCGGCTGAGAGGCTCGCTCGCGATCTCGCTTCGCCGCTTCAGCCTGGCGCTTCTTGAGCTGGCGTTGCTGATAGAATGCGCTGAACCTCTTGTCAGCGGCAACTGCGTGGCATGTGCGAGGGGCATACCTCTTGAGCTCAAACACTCGCGGCTCCTCCTCCTGGGGAGTTGATGTGCCTTCATCCTTCTATCATGCCTCTTATCAGCATCGCTCATATGAGGATGGGGTTGGCTTGGGTTCACTCACCTCTTTGCCGTCCTTGTCCTTATCCGTGGCCTTGTCGTCCTTGTCCTTGTCGTCTTTACTGTCCTTGTCTTTGTCCTTTTCCTTGTCCTTGTCCTTGTCTTCCTTCTTCTTCGCCTCCTTGTCCTTCTTCCTTTGCTGCCTCTCCTCGTACTCCTTCTTCAGCTTCTCCGTCTCCTCGGCCAATTCCTTCTCCCGCTTGGCCTTGACGGCCTCCTCGTCAATCTTGGGCGTGGCAAAGTTCCTGTCCTTGAGGTGCACCGGACACACGTAAAAGAAGTCCTGGTGGGCAGAGATGAAGCGTCAGGCCGCGATCGTGAGGCCGCCCGAGACTATGCGTACCTTCTTATCGGGCGTGATGAGCACCGACGTGCTCGGCTTGTAGCAAATGTCGCATGCCCTGGCCGACGCCTCTGCGACCTTGCGATGGGTATACACGTTTGGGAATGCCGCGGCCATTTTCGCTCACTTGCCTGTGCTCGATCGCCTGCGGCGGCAAAGGCCGTGCTGTAGCTCCTCGTCGTCGTCGAGACGGGGGCGCGGGGTCCGCTGGGCGAGTCGCAGCGAGGCGTCAAAGCCAAAGGCCAGCGAAATTGAGAGCCTGTTGGTTCAGCGGTGACGTTCAATTGGAGCTGCGCCGATGACTCAGCATGCCGTCACGTCTGTCAAAGCCCAGCTCAGCGCGTCTGAGCTTTTACGAGCAACGCCATCACCAGGCACCCATCCAATTCTGCGCAACCGGATTCCGCTTGCGACCGGGAGGGAGACGCTTCGGCTCCGAAGGGACACACGGCAATCCAGCGACAATGGCTGCGGCGCTCGACTCGCAGCGCCTGGGCGCCATCTTCCAGGCCCGCCCCGACATCCTCGACGGCATCAAGCGGGCCGCAGGTGCGTCGTGGCCGTTGATATGGTTCAGGCCGAGGAGCCGACCTGCTGACTTGCCCCTGCAGACTCCCCGGGCCGAATTGCCCTCTTCAACGAGATTGCGAGCCACGTATACGACCAGCTGCACGACGCGGGCGAACCCGCCCAGAAGCGACGGCGCTTAGACGCCAGCCAGGCCAACGGGGCGAATGGAGCTGCCACGCCGATCAAAGGCAACGCGGCTGACGAGGACGTGCTACTGGTGGTCAAGGAGATCTCCGTCTCTGCGCCCCAGCGGAAAAAGTTTGAACTGTGCCTGACGCCCAACTTTCTCTACGCCCGCGCCCCAGGCACCACGGCCCCTATTCCGAGCATCACATATGCGTGGACAGACATTGGTCCGTAGCCCGTCATCGTACAACAGATCCATCTGCTAATATCCCACAGAGTATGCTTTTTACCTTCCTGTCCCGGACAAGGCGCAGGTCCAGCACAATTACGTCTTCTTCCCCAAGGACACGTGCCTGCCATCCAAGACGAACCCGCCCACGGCTGAGCCCCTGGTATTCACCGTCCCTGCGACGCCACCCAAGGAGGGCACCATCGGCGGCAGCGAGGCTGGTCAGGCGGCCGCCGTGTCGGACACGTACCGGTCGCTCTTCCACTGGGCCTTTGGCCGACGGCTCAGGGCTGCGGGCAGCTCCGTCGAGGTCGTGTCCGCGGACCCCAACAAGTTCCACAGCGTGATCCGGCAGGCGCAGCGGCCCAACGAGCGGGCCGTGCACGTGGCCGGCTTCCGCGGCTCCAAGGACGGCTTCCTCTTCTTCCTCGAGAACGGCATCCTGTGGGGTTTCAAGAAGCCGCTCATCTTCATCCCGCTCAACCGTATCGCCGCCATCAGCTACACCAACATCCTCCAAATCACCTTCAACATCGTCGTCGAGGTCTTTTCCAGCGAGGGCGAGGCCGACGAGGAGCTCGAGTTTGGCATGCTCGATCAGCAGGACTACGGCGGCATCGACGACTATATCAAGCGTAACCGTCTGCAGGACCGCAGCATGGCCGAGCAGCGAAAGGGCAAGCTGCAGCTGGCCGAGAACCGCGCCGCGAAGAAGGAGGGCGGTGACGCTGCGGCGGCGGAGAACGGCATGACGGAGCTCGAGCGCGCGCAGGTCGAGGCCGAGGGGGAACTTCAGGACGACGAGGACGAGGATGAGGAAGACTACGACCCGGGCAGCGACGGAGAAAGCGAGGGGTCAGGGTCCAGCGACGACGACGATGATGACGACGACGACGACGATGAAGATGACGAAGATGATGAAGGAGACGGAGACGAGGGTGGTGAGGAGGAAGAGGGCGAGGAGGAGGAGCAGCAAGGCGAAGACGCCGAGGAAGAGGAAGAGGAGGAAGAGCAGCCGCCAGAGCCCCCGAAGCCCCAAAAGCCCACCAAAAAGGAAAAGCCAGCACCGCCGGCAGCCGCGTCGCAAGTGCCCGTCCGGCAGGGCTGGGCGACGGTCAGGAACCCGCCCGCGCGGCACGCCGACGACCTGGACATGGACGAGGAGTTTGACGTGGTGGGGTGAAGGGGAGCAGCCGCCGTCAATGTACATCCGGGGCGCGTGTCACGATAAAGGGGCGTATGGGGTTCGTGGAGTCGATGTGCTTGCTTCTTTGTTAGGTAGTTTGTTACATGTCCGTTACATGTCTGTCGAATAATAGACAAGATGCAAAGACAAGCCGTCTGTCCGACTCGAGACTCGCCGTGATGCCTCATATTTGACTACATCCCTGCCTGCCTAGTTGCCAACTGGGCTCTCGCTCCACGGTGGAACCATCACATTTCACAGAGGGCCAGAGTGTCTTGATTCTCATGTCATTACTATATACTTGCGTGTAGACGCTTCCGTCTTGTGCGGCGCAATAAATAAAAAAAAGAGAGAAAGGGGAACAATGAACCATTTTTGGCTGTACAAGACATGATGAGCGCCAGAGCAGTATGCAAAACCGGGCCTCGCCTTGGACCTTTGCCCTCCCTTCAACGCCCGCTAAATAGCCAGATATAATCAATCAATTATTCATGAATCCATCACAGCTCAAAGACGCTTCGCGGCCCCGGACCCGCCGCCGTCTTGCCGTCCAGGGACGTCCGCACGGGCGAGACGGGGCTCGCGCTCCCGCTGCCGTGCTTCCTCCTGCGGACCAGGTCCGCGTCGCCGCGCCAGCCATCCTGCGGCGCCGAGGCGCTCAGCGGGCTGACGTCGCCCGCCGCCTCGGGGATCATGCCGATGGCGCCCGCCGCGCCGGGGGGGCTCACCGCCATGTCGCGTGGGAAGGGCGACTCGCTGCGGCCGGGCGACGACTTGTCGGCCCCGCGCAGGTTCACGCGGTGGCGCATCAGGCCGCCGACGCGGGCGCCAAAGTCGCGCATGCTGCCTGTGCTGACCTCGCGCCGGTGCTGGCCGCCGTGCTTGCGCGAGGCGGCCATCTTTCCAATGAGGCCTTGGCCGCCACTGCTGGTAGTGTTGGTATTGTTGTTGGTGGTGTTGTTGCTGCTGCTGCCGGTGGCGCTTCCAAGCAGCGCAGCGGCGAGACCGCTCGTCGTCTGGCGGCGTGCCATCTTGGCGAGCTTCGCGGTGATGCCCAGGTCACGCATCTTGCGGACCAAGAGGTCCATCTGCGAGTTGAGGGTCGGGTTGTTGATCATCTCTTCGGGCGTGACGTGCACCATTTCCATGCCCTGGACCTCGAGACGCTGCAGGCCGCGGTTGAGGCGGTCCGCGTACAGGTAGGCCGGCATGAGGGAGCCCGAGATGTCGTAGAAGCGCGACAGATGGATGGCTTCCTCGGACTGGCCGACGCTGGCGGGGTTGAGAATCTCGTTCCACGTCGACGTGAGGTACCCCTGGATGAGGTTGCGGTGCTCGGCAGGGAGCCAGCTGTTGGCATCGAGGAGCGTGGAGCCCGTGAGGATCGAGGCGCCGTCGTCGTGCTTCTCGAGCAGGACCCGCGGCACGGAGCCTTGGTAGTCGCAGGCCGGCGGCAGGATTGGCTGGCTGACCGTGTCGTAGCACGCCAGGCTCTTGACCGCACCGATGAGCAGCTCCATGGCCGCCGTGGCGTAGTCGACGGGCACGCGGCCGGGCGAAAAGGTCAGCGCGAGCGAGACCTTGCCCGGGCCGATCATGGTTGACGCGGCAAAGAGGTCGGGTACGCTGCGGGCCTCGCCCTCCATGACGTTGTACGTAAAGGTGGTGTTTTCGATGTTGAGCGTCGTGTAGCCGTCGACGGGCACCTGCGATCGGTGTCGCACAATGGTGCTGAACTGGCTCCAGTTGGGCCACTCGGTGCACTCCTTGACAATGGCCTGCGCGCCGAGGGCCTCGTACGGCAGGGAGGCGATGCATTCGCGCTGGACGTGCTGCATCGTCTGCAGCGGCGAGGTGTGCGTGATGGGGAACCTGATGCGCACGGGGACCGTGTTCTCCATCGGACCGACAATGTGCGAGACGTCGATGCTGGTCTCGAGCTTCATGCGGCGGCCCTCGACCAGCTCGCCAAAGACGACGTCCGTCTGGCCGGTCAGCGTGGCCAGGACCATGGACCAGGCCGTCTTGAGCACCGTGTCGAAGCCGATGCCAAAGTCGCTCAGCGGCGACACGTCCACGGTCTCGCGCAGCGTCGTGCAGTCGCGGACGGGAGGGCAGGGGCGCGAGTGAGGCACAACCTGCGTCATCTGCGAGCCCTCGAGGCGCTTGCGCCAGTGCCGCACGCTGTCGTCGAAGCGGGCGCCCGAGACGGCGCGCGAGTAATCGAGGAAGCTGGGCCGGCGGGGAATCGTGGCCGGGTCCGTGTACAGCTTGATGAGGTCCTGGACGAGCTGCGGGACGGCCGCCTCGGCGACCTGCGCGGTGCTGTAGCGGATGACGAGCTTGCAGCCCTGCTGGCCGGCGTCGATAAAGGTAAACTTGGTGGCTGGCTTGCCCAGCTGGAGCTCGAGGCTCTGGCTGTCGCGGACGGCCTTCTCCGTCTCCTGGACGAGGCTGCGCGCGTTGCACGTCTTGTGCTCAAACTCGGCCTTGAAGGTCTCGATGACGACCTGGAAGACGCGCCACTCGTGGATGGCGAAGCCGGTACGTAGGATGGGATGGAGGTCCGTGAGCGCTTCGCAGGCGCTCTCCAGCCTCTGGGGTCGGACAGACCCGTTAAAGTCGAGCAAGAGGCAGTTGATGTCGCCGCGGGGCCTGTACAGACTGGGCTCCAGGTAGTAGACCTGCTGCGACGAGGCCTCTGTGGCGTCGAGGATATCATGCCAGTTGACCTCAATCTGAGGCGCCAGTACCAGCTTGACGAGGCCGTGGTGCGGTCCCAGGTTCCTCTTGGAGACGGACGTCTTCTTGGCGTGCTTCTTGCCTCGCGCCTTGGTCTTGACCTCCTCGGCCGCCGAGATGAAGCGGCAGACTTCCGTCAGCGTGGCGCCCTTGAGAATGTCCTGGATGGAGACGTCGAAGCCGCTCTTGCGGCACGCAATGATGAGCTTGGTGGCCATGAGCCTGTCGCCGCCGGCATCGAAAAAGTTGTCCGAGGGGCGGATCTCGGCCGTCGATGCGCCCAGCACTGACGCCCAGACCGAGCGCATCGACTCCTCAGAGTGCGTGAGGGGAAGGGGCTTGTGCTCGAGGACATCAGGCGACTGCTGACCGGGTTGTTGACCCCCGGCATACTGTCCGTCGGCCAGGCCCGCGAGCTGCGAGTACGACCGGGACGAGATGAGCTTTTGCAGCCGGCGTCGGTTGACCTTGAGCGACGCAGACAGGGGAAAGCCCCTGACGGGCACGAAGACGCGAGGGATGCTCTGCCAGGGAAGCTTCTTGCCGTCCTGGTCGGGCTTGGCCAGCGCTTCCTCGACTGCTCGTCGCGCAGAGAAAAGGCGCAGCTTCATGTCGGGGCCGAGGCAGTTGAGGTCGTAGGCACCACGGTTTGGGTCCTCGCCAAAGTCGAGAAAGGCGGCCAGCAGGTTGATGGAGTCGCTCGTGGTGATGGTCTCCACCGCCACGTCCACCCCGCGGGTCAGGCAACCCCGGATGCGACGCTCAAGGTTCGACAGGAACGCCGGAGACCCGTTCACCAGTGCCTCGTCTCTCATGCTCGAGAGGAAGCGCACGTGGCCACTGTCCAGGTACCGCGCGCGGTGGCCCGTTCGAAGATAGCGCCACTTGCCCTTCCTCGACGGATCGTTGAGGCAGGCCGGGTCGACGAGGGGCTGGCCCGGAATGAAGCGATGGGGAGTCACGAGAGGGCTGTCAATGGCCAGCTCGCCAACGGCGCCGGTGGGGACGAGCTTCTTGGGATCCTCTGGGTTGAGGATGAGGAAGCGGCCCATGAGCGGCGGCGCGATGACGCTCGTCTCCCGCGGGCCCGTGATCTTGAGGACGGAAATGGCCATGGGACAGACGTCGGGTGCGCCATACGCGAGGAGGACGTCGCGGTTGGGCAGCCAAGGGGTATAAGTGTCCTCGTCCAGGCTCCTGGTGCGGAAGCAGATGGTCTTGAGGTTGGGCACCATGGAGGGGTCAATCTTGCGCGCCAGCACCGAGGTCATGTACGTCCAGGTGACATCCATGCGCGCGATGACGCCTTCGAGATCGTTGGTCCGCTCCAAGATGGACGGGATGCATACGCAGCCGCCATGCAGGAGGGTCCCGAGCACCTCCACAAGGGCAATGTCGACATTAAACGCCGACAGCTGCAACACCCGGCTCCGGTCGTTCAGCTTCAGCGCCGGGCCCTGGACGGAGAGGATGGAGCAGAGGCTCTGGTGGGTAAAGAACATGCCGCGAGGGCCGTTCTGGCCGGGCGAGAGGAAGGCGACGGCGGCCTGCGCGGGGAGCGGCTTCTCGACCTTGAGCATCACCTGAGGTGGGAGCGCGCTCATGAGGGCCTGGTTGACGAGGATGCAGCTGCGCACGATGGGGTTCACGTATCGCCACCCCGACTCCGTGACGAGAACGAGCGGGGGCTCGAGCTGGCGGATGGTGGCCTCGACTATCTGCGGCTCCTGGATGTCCAGGCTGACGAAGCACGCGCCGGCCTGGAGGACGGCGAGCATGATGATTGGGGCCCAGCGGCACTTTTCGAGCACGACGGGGACGAGAGCGCCCGGGCCGACGCCGAGGTTGACGAGGTACGTGGACAGCTTCGTCGCAAAAGCCTCGACTTGCTGGTACGAGAGGTCGCCGTCCCACGAGGACACGGCCGTGGCGTAGGGGCGGTCGCGGGCTTGGTGCATGACGAGCTCGTTGATGCAGGCCGAGACCTTGACGTCTGTTCGCGCGGGGTCCCAGTCAGGGGCCACGACCTGGTCGTAGTCGCGATCTGTAAAGAGGTCGACCTGCTGGACGGTCATGGTGGGGAAGCACAGGAGGTACTGGAGAGCCCGCTCAAACGAGTTCACCACGTTGTGCGCCTGGTCGTATGCGAGGTGCAGGTACGTAATGTCGACGTTGAAGCGCTCGCCCTTGACGAGTGTCACCGCGAGGGAAACCTCGCAGCCGGCATCCTGAGACGAGGTGAGCACGGTCGGCTGCCACGAGATGCCGTCGCCGGCAAACAGCTCAGTCGTGTCCGCGTACGAGACGGAAGTGTTGAAGAGGGGCTCGCCGCAGATGTCGAGAGCGTGCTCCAGCTCCATCATGCTCGGCAGCTCGCCCGTGGCGGCGCTGTCCAGGTTGCTCTGCAACTGCAGAAGCAAGTCGAGCAGGTTCTGCTCACCACGGCAGTGGATCATGCAGGGCAGCAACGAGGTCAGGCTGCCCACTGCCTGCGCCAAGTCTGGCAGCATGGCGTGCCGCCGCCGGCTGAGCTGGTGCCCGAGGATAATGTTGTCATCGCCGATGAAGGTGCGCAAGACGAGCGCCCATGCGAGCTGCACCACGGCCGCGGGGTCAACGGCGTACTTGGCGCAAAACTGCGACATGTGCTTGGTGCTGACGTTGAGGTTGAACCCGCGCGTCTCCAGACGGCCACTATTCTGGAGCGCGAGACGAGGAAACAGGCAGGGGACGGCGCCTTCGAGAGTATGCTTCCACTTGGAGAGGCCGGTGATGTCCTGGGTCGAGGTCCGACGCGGCGATGGAGGATCGTCTGGGTAAATCTCCTGGCCGGCGTAAAGCTGCTGCAGCTGGGACATGAGATTGTGCACGCTCGAGGGCTGCGAGAGGTTAGCCTGCCTTGTTCATTGACGAGTTCACAGTAGAGATGGGGACTTACATCGCAAATGGCCTGGATGGCGTCGAAGCGCAGATACGTCTTGCCGTCAGACTTGCAGACGGTGAGCCTGTGTCTCGGCTGCGACAGCGGCGCCTTGAGGCCGGGCACATCGGCCAGTGTCTTGACCGGATCCGACGAGTCGAGGAAAAGCATGGCAGGGGACACCTTGCGGAGCACGACCTGGTCGTAGAGCCCCTTGTCGGACACGCTGTCGATGAAGATGCTGCGGAGCGACCCGTGCATTCCCACCAGCGCCTCCCACGCCTGGCACAGGCGCCCCTGATCGACAGTCCCGTGGGAGTCGCCGGGCAGGACAAGCTCATACGTGCTGCTCACGTGGAACGAGCCCGCGTCTTGACCCTGCGCCACGATGATTTCCTGCTGCACCGCATCCACAGGACGGATCGTCTCAATGTTCTTGACGCCGTCGAGGCCCACGGTTGCGAGCCGGCTCAGCGCCAGCTTGGACATCCCGTCGTACGAAGCCTCGAGGAAGGGCGCGTCTGCGAGGGTAAGCTGCGGCTCCATGTCCGCCAGCCTAGCAACCGCCTCGAGCGTCGACCGCTCAAAGCCACGCACCCAGGCCGCGATGCGGTCGGCGTGCGTGGACGAGCCGTTGAAGAGAAACTCGACCCGCGCACCACAGTCGTGGTCGTCGACGACAATCGAAACCTCGAACAAGGCGATGCGACCGACCGCAGAGCCCACGTCGCTTGCGAGAGAGCTGACCTCGCGATCCGGAGGGCAGACAGGCTCGAGGACACCATTGTTGTGCCGCCCGAGGTTGTGAAGGGCCTCGACGCAGTTGAACATGATTTCCACGGGGAGATTGGCCTGCTGCGACGATGCGGAGGGGGCGGAGGACTCGGTCGAAAACTTGGAGGTGAAAAAGGGGGTGCCGCTCCGGGGAATGGCCCGCCGCGTGTCCTTGAGCTGCTTGATCAGCTCAATGACGTCCGACACGGAGTCGGAGCCCACGCTGAGAGGGCACAGCGTCGTGAACCACCCGACCGTCTGCTCGATGTTGAAGTTTTGGTTGCTCGCGTCTCGGCCGTGCTCCTGCTTCCATACAGTTGGCATCATGCCGGCCCGCTCCGGGAACGTCTGGCGAAACGAGTGGAGCAGCGCGGCGAGGAAGATGTCGGCCGACTCGGTCCTGAACACTTGGTTGCACGTCGTCTGCAGCGCATGCGCAATGTCGGTACCCAGCACAAAGACCATCTGCTGCGTGTCGCCGTAGCAGTTGGACCGGCCTTGGAGCCCCCAGAACTCCAAGTCGGCGGGCCGCACGTCAAACGGCAGCGCCGGTTCGACGAGGCGCTGGCTGTTCTCGTAGCTCTGGTAGTCCGTCCAGTAGGTAAAGGGCATCGACTCGGCCGCGGACGAGGCGAGGGTGCCTTCTCGCAGGAGCTCGTCCAGGTCGTGCAGCAGAATGCGCCACGAGGCAAGGTCGACGACGAGGTGGTGCGCGACCAGATACAGCAGCTGGCGGTTGTCGCGGGTGCGGACGTGCTCGGCGGCGAAGACGGGTCCCGTAAAGACGTTGAGGCTCGCCTGCGCCTGCTCCATGACGTCGAGCAGCTCGCGCTGCTTGCCCTGGCCCAGGCCGGCATCGTAGTCGATGTACTTGTGCTCGAAGCGGTAGGCGCTCGTGGAGGCGGGCGCGATGACCTGCGCCCAGCCGTCACCAGTCATGCGGAACCGCGCCCGCAGCATCGCGTGCCGCGAGGTGAGGACGTCGATGGCGGCCTCGATGTCGGCCACCTCGGCGCCGCCGGTGACCTGGAGAAGAATGCTCTGGCTGAAGCGGAACCCCGAGCCCGCAACGGCGGCAAACTCGATGCTGCGGTTCATGGTGGTGCGGAAAAAGAGCTGCTGCATCACGGAAAGGGGGAAGAAGTCTGGCTCCAGGTGCGTCGACATCGGGCCCTCGACGGGGCTGGCCAGGTCCGGGAGCTCTCCCGACTGAGCTCCCGCGGTCAAAAACTCGGGTTTGAAGGGTGATTTCGGTGCGGCTGGCCTCAGAGGCATCGCCTGTCTCGACGTGCCCTGCTCGTGCTGTAGTTGATGCTGCTCCTGCTCCTGGAGCTGGCGTCGCAGGCCACGCCTCGCGGTGCGAAACACCTGCATGCCCATGATCTGCTCCTCGATTTCTTCGGGGATGTTTTGCACCCAGGTCTGCAGGCGGCGGGCGTCGGGCTCACCGTCGGCGTTGAGGGCCATGTGCCTGAGGACGATGAAGACGTCAGGCCGCGGCGCGTCACCTCCCCACTCGAGCACGGCGGTGCGGAGCTCATGGACGAGCCTGCGGGCCGCCTCCTGCTCGGGGGGAGGTATCAGCAGGGTTTCCTGGCTGGCGTCGCTGCCCTCGGCTGGCTGGCCGGGCCGCAGGAGTGAGGTGGCATCGGTGAGGAGGGCGACGAATTGCCCTTCGAATGGCCCTGCACGCGGTGCGACCAGACACACCCGCTCGACCCTCGACGTCGACTGCAGCAGATTCTGCAGGTGCCCGCGGCTGGAGTCGTCGGCGGGCGGTGCGGTGGTGCTGGGCATCCGCCTGGGGGCGGAGCCGGAGTTTGCAGCGGTGGTGGTGGAGGTGGTTGCGGTGGTATTCATGTTGGCGTTGGCGCCGTTTTCGAGGAACATGGCTGCGCCCAGGTCGATGGCAGCAAACATGTCCTCGTTGTTGCCGTCCTCGTCGCCGTCCTCGTCGTCAAACGAGTCGCTCGACGGCGAGAGCTTGGCCTCGTCGCCCGGCGGGCTCGAGGTGCCCGAGCTGGCGAGCTCCGGCGTCGACGAGGGCGTGCTGCCTGGGGCGTAGGGGTCCCAGTCGGTCCAGGGCAGCGGCTGGTGGTCGTCTCGGGCGCTGTCGTCTCGTCTTCGCTCGTCTCCGCCTTGGTTTCGGCCGTGGTCCTCGTCGTCGTCGTCGTTGTCGCTGCTGCGGTCGCTGTCGTCGCCGCGCAGCTGTCGCGCGGAAAAGGGCAGAGGCGGGGCAGCGGGCAGGACGGTGGAGGGATACCGCGAGAGGCACGAGGTGGTCGTCCTCACGCTGGCGACGCTCCTGCGCGAGACGTGGGTGCGGCGGCGGAGGTACTCGTCGAGCTCCTTGTGGTGGGTGCTCAGGTCGGCAAACAGGTCGGATTCCTGACTCGGCCTGCGCAGCTGCGGCTGGGAATGTGGTTGTGGTTGCAATACCTGCGCGGGTTGGTGGCGCGGGTCAGCAGCAGCGGCTACGCCCAGCAGCTGGACGCTCCGGCGCCAGCTGTCGATGCTGTCGGCCCTGCTGGCGGCGCTTATGCCGCTGCCGCTGCCGGTACCGCTGCCGCTGGAGCGCTGCAGCTTGGCGAGGGCTGAGCTGGGGTTGGGGGCGATGTGGAGTGGGCTCGGGGCGTCGACACCGCTGTAGTAGTCGTCCATGCCGATCTCGTCCAGGCCCAGCGGAGGCAGCTGGTCGTACTCCATGGCCGCCCTGCTGTTGCGTGTAAGCCGTGCGACGCAGCACAACGTCGGTCGACGGCCCGGATTCGTGCCTCGACGGGGTGGTATATCGGAGAGTGTGGTGGTGCTGTACTCGTCGCCGGCGGCGGCCGACGCGGTTTTCGTTCGTTCGTTCCGGAGTCGAGTCGCACTGGCGTTGGCTCTCGCGCTGCCTGACGCCGTCTTCGTCTTATACCGGCAGCATGGACCAAGGCTCTCTCGCCCGGGGTGAAGCAGAGGCAGGGACGTGCGCCTCGGGTGCGTGGGCGTAAAACAACGGGGCTGCCCGGCCAGATAATACGATATGGCTTGATGCGTGGTACTTTGCACAATAGGCGACGGGCTCGACAGAGATGAAGGGTCCGTTTCTCCCCAGGCTGCGAGATTAGCGAGGCCCACGGCTCATATGTAGATTGTCTATTCGCAGTCGACGGGTCTGCCACGAGGACCCGCGCATCTATTCCGGTCCGCCACTAGACCCTCTTGCTGCTCGATATTCATCCAGAGAGCCTGGGCTAGCAGAGACAAAGCCGTCGACTTGGTGTGTAAGAACGAGTCCGGCCAGGGGCGGCATGACGTCGAGCCAGGGGCCGTCCCCCGTCGCCATCGGCGTCGCCTCAGCCGCACCCCTGCGCTCGCCGCACCTCGGAGCAGTGACAGCCCCTGCGCCGGGAGAGCGGGCAGGTTCCAAGGATGTTTCGCTGTGCGCTGCGGCGACGAGGAGCCCAACACTTGGACGCACGAGGCCCGGCCCCAGCCCTGAACGTCAACGTCCGGCATCTGTCAAAAGCGGCAGCTTGGCCCCCGAGCGTGCTACTGCATGGGGGCCGTGGGAGACGCAAAACACGCCGGCATGGTTTTTGCAGGCACGTTCGTTGCACCATACACTTTGCGCGCTGTTCATCTGGATGAGGTCCAACGCAGCCGTTGCAGACCCCGTCCCGCTTCAACAACAGCAGCACGTTCCCTCCCCCGTCGCACAGGCAGAGCCGCCGCCGGGCTCATCTCGCGAAGCTCGTCAATCGGTCAAGATTTGCGAGGCGATCTGCCCTGGCTGCCAGGGCTGGTTGCTCTGTTTGGACAAGGTCGCCCAGGATCGGATCTCTGGTCGGCCGAGCTGACGGTTTCTATATTTGCGCTCTCTGAGACCCTGGAGGGACGACTGCCGATCTTGCGGCGAGTGCCGCCTCTGAGCAGCGCCGACAGTCGCCTGGGACTGCGGCTGCTGCTTCTGCTGCTGCATTGGTTCAGTGGATGGATGGGAGTGCCCAGGGACTGGTCCGCCTGGCGAGCGGATGGACCAATGGAGACGAGCGGTGGGGGAGGCGGTGCACTGTCCACCACCCGCGACTAGCCCTGTTAGACGCTGGCGTGCATCGCGCAGGGGGGCGGCAGCAGCGCTGGCATTGGCCCGTTGCCGACCTGTTCGCCTCTTGCAGGCATCCACGGATCTCCCAATCTGCCCCCCGGCCCAGCCCAGCCCAGCGGAGCCTGTTGAGCCCTCCAGCGGTGTTTTACAGCGCGCGACAGCGAGCAGCACAACCTTACACAACGCCGGCTTGACAGGCTGCCTGGGCTGTGGCGCTGGGACCCGGACCAGTTCAACCCAGCCCAGAGTCCATGAGTACCCTGGCCCGTCGTCCCCAGTCATATTTTGATTGACGGCATTCAAGCTTCGCGCTGTTGGCCCAAGACGGTTCGCCTCCCGCACCGGCAATCTGCCCAATTGCTTAATCTCCTCCCCAACAGGGTTCGCAGGCCGATCAACCCATGTCGGAATTTTCAGTCAGCAACAACCCGCTGCCCTGCACACAGATGCCCCCCGGCCAGAAACGTCCAAGAGCGGCCCCCGCGGCGGTAATCCTCCCGATCGCTGACAATGCTCAATTGTTTTCTACTGCAGCCAAAGACGGCCCGCCAGAACCTTTCCAGGGCAGTCGAGAATGCCGGCCCTTGGCTGGCTGGCTGGTTGGGCCGTTGCCAGACCCGCGTCCCCACAGCCGCGCCGTTGGCACGCGCACTGGGCTGTTCTATTTTCGTCCCCCAGCCGTTCAACAGTATTTCCCCTTTCGGTGCCAAAACAGCCACCTGCAAAGGCACGCATAACGACAACGGACAGCCCGCGTGATTGAGCAGCAGAGAGGCGGCTTGCAAGGACCACGTCAAGCCGGCGGGCCTCGTCCTTTCGGCTTTCTGGTCGCTGTGAGATATTGCCAGGCTCTGCGGCAATTTGTAACATCAGCGAAAGACCCAAGTCGTCGCCTGTGCTGGCCCCGACGCAGGGGGCGAGCGAATCCGTCGGCCGCCCGGCCCCCAGCGCGAAATGGCGAACGATACGGCAATGGGAGCGCGAACCTGGTCGTTTGACGGCCTCATCGGCCATGCCCTATATGGGCTGATGCCATTGTTCCCGCCTTTGTGTTCTCTGTTCAGGCTCGATCACGCGACTCTAAAAGCTGACGGGGCTACGTATCGCTTCAACGGCATGTAGCACCACGGCTCGGCACTGCGTGTCACGACCGACCCGCAGCCAACAAACCCATTACAACATCAGCATCGCCCCCATCCGCCGTTGACGCCCCAGACGGCTTCATGCCCTCATGCGAACAGGCCACGCCCTGTCCCGGGCTGCGTCTTTGAAACGGCCTCCTTTGTGCCAGGAGCGCGTATGGAGCAGGCCGCTCCGCAGCGGCGGCACCACGCGGTCCCAACCAACAGGCGAACAAACGACGATCCTCCCGCACCACAACGTCGACGCCGTTGTGCGACGCCGAGTGATAACCACAGGATCTCCTCCCGTCTTCGAAGAACCCTATCCCCAAGTGCCGTGCGGTGGATCTCCATTGAGCACGACCCCCCTTCCCTCGTGATGGAAGTACGTACTGGACCGCCGCGTATCTCCGCCGCTCCCCGCATCCCGCTCTCCATCGCAGAAGCCATCCCGAGCCCTCATGACTTGCACGCGGTGCCATGGCCCAACAAGACCCTCATCACGCGGTGGCAGCCACCTCTTCCAGAAGGAATCGGCTGGCCCTTTTTGTAAACACGCCCATGTCGGGAACCGGCGCTTGCTGTAATGGCACCCATGCCGCAGACGCCGGCCCCCGGCATGGCGCGGCATGAGACTGCGTTCGTTCGCAGGATGACTTGCATACTCCGCCTTCCTTCCACCATGTGGCGGAAGCATCCTCCTACCCGCCGCCCCCGAACGCTATGCGATAAACAGCGACATTCCGTGCGGTTCAAGCCAATACATGATGTCGCCGCCGGATCCTGCCCGTCGGCGCTTGCCCACAAGATGCTAGCCGCGTGTCCAAGCCTCGTAGAGCCATCATCAATTCTCTCAAGACTCTGTAGGGTAGTTTCAGGGTCCCCTGAGTTGCGTGTACAGCACAGCATTCCAGCATCCGCATATGCGTTGATGGTGCTGCGCCTGATATCCAGGTTCCCCCTCTCGGCGCACGACTCGACCTTGGCCCGCACATACCACAGGCGTGAAACAATGCAGTTTGTAAAAGCTTCAGATAAGCGTTATCCCGCTCTTTGAGCAAAACGTGTAGCACAGAACAAAACAGCCCCCGTTACGCGGCCGAATCCGTCAGCACCACAAACGGCAGAGTGTGCCGCTGCTGCGCTTGGGGGCGATGCGCAACGTCATGCTCACGTCCAGATCTCGACCGCGTGTCGCGGTGCCTGCTTCCGCTACACCCGTCCCTTGCATTGAACAGGCCATCGCCGGAGTAGAGGAGCCAAACTCACTCGTTTGAACGTCGTGCGTCCAGGTGGAATAGGGTCGCACACGACGTGGCCATCAACATGCGTCACAAGAGGGCCTCATACCTGCGTGCTTGAATCGTACCGACATCTCATGGCACGTCGCTCGTTCCCCGTAGATTGTAATTTACAAAAATGACACGGCCTACTCAGAACAAGAAGCACCCCGTAGAAGTACACATCGCCCGGCCCTACTGGCACACGGCAGACCTCGCTCAGATCCAGGCATGGCGTGCCATGTCTTCCGCTGCCCCCCAATTCGCCACATCTTTGCCTCTGCACATCTATTTGGATGCGCCGCTCGTCGACTCCTCTCCTCGAACGACCTCGTCCTCGTCGTCATCCGGTTCTTCAATGCTCATCCTGTTCGCAGCCTCCTTGACCTCCACCGCGCTCTGGTCTTCGTCGGTCTTCTCTCTTGACGCGGGTACCGTGACCTCACCCTTGGAGTCTTCTCTACCGCCGTCTTGCTTGCTCTTGTCCTTGTCGCTCCTCGAGCCAAACGGCCACAGTCCGCTCAGGCCCCTGCTGCTTTCTTTGGCCGGATGGACTGCCAGCGGTCGCAGCAGCACCTTGGGAGCCCCTTCGTCGTCACCCTTGTCCTCTTCCGCCATGGCAAAGTCCCCAAACTCCTCATCGTCGTCATCGGCGTCAGAGTCGTCGTCTGCCTTGAACTTGCTCCGGACCACGTCTCTCCACCAGGAGCCGCGGCCGCTGTCCCGGTGTCCGTCGCCTTCCAGGTCGTCGTCGATCTCGTCCTCGCCGTCCCTAAACGGGTCCATGTTGTCGTCGTCGTCGTCATCGTCGTGATGCAAGGTGCCTGAAGACGGCTGCGCCGCCTGGTTGTTCTTCTGGTGCATGGCCAGTCTCGCCGCCAGCTGCAGCCTCGCCCGGGACGGCGGGATATTCAGCGGCGGTGGCGGCGGCGGAGGCGGCGGAGGGATGGACGGAGGTGCCATCGAGCCGCCCGAGTTGTTCAGCGGATCCGTGTAGGCCCGAAACTAGAGACTCCCAGTCAGTATCACGCCTCCACATGCGGTGCAAGTTCAGACAGAAAGAAAGGTCATGGGCAGCACCGGCGCCGACAACAAGCGACATGAACCCCCGAGTTCCACGTTCCCATTCGTTCTCCGTATTTTGTCTTGTTTCCACAGTATACACCCTAATGCTGTCCCACAAATGACCCTATCCATCAATCGTCTATCGCGGTACAAGACTCGCCAGGTATCATAAAAAGTCCGTCAAGACTCGGCAGACATGTTCGACTCATACCCTTGCCGCGGTAAGGAGTCGTGCCAGCTCGTCTAGATCAATGCCCTCAAAATCCTCCGTGTCATCAAGGGACAAGGCATCTTGTCCATGCGCGTTACTCGTGGGTCGATGAAAAGTGGCGCTTGCCCGACGGTTGAGTCCATCTCGAAACGTCCCGTTCTAGGGGAGCGGTCTCTGCGCCTGCTGCTCTTCCTCCATGTGCTCGTCCGAGTCGTCCAGGTCCCGCAACTTAACGGGCTGGCCCAGAGCGGTGGCGGGCAGGTCGGGCGAGACATCCGGCGACGCCTCCCTGAGCGGCTCTGGGGACCTCATGATGACGTCCTCCGGCGAGTCTGCAGCATCCCTCGGCTCGGGAGACTCCGCGCCACGATCTTCATAAGAATCACCACTCACCTCTGAATTGACGTCCTCTTCGTCGCCATCCCCCTCCTCGTCCTCTTCGTCGCTGCTGCTGCCGAAGCCCGACATCAGGGTTCCGGCGCTGATGGCAAAGGGTCCGATGCCGTTGCCGCTGCCCTCGTTGAGCTCGATGCCCCCGTTCAGGCCGGCTTCGGCCAGCGCGTTGGACGCGCCGCCGGACGCCCCTCCGAGACCCGAAAGGCCGACGCCGCCCATGCCGTTGTTACCGAGGCTGCCGCGATGTCCGAGCGCGACTTCAGGCCGCACGCCACCCAAGATGGCGTTGTCTCGCTCGCGCGTCTCGGCGAGCGCGCCCTCGACGTAGTTGATCCAGTCCTGGCTCATGACCTTGTCGAGGACCATCTCGGACAGCAGCTCCGGTGGGTGTCGCTCCGTAAACTTGACAACCTCCTCGGCGATGAGCGTGAGGTGGCCCATGTAGCCCATGCGCGTCTTGGTCTTCGCCTGAGACTCGTCGCTCGCCTGTTGGCCGCTGATAATGGCAACAGTGATGTCGGCCGCCTCAAACAGAGACACGGCGAGCGTCGGATTGTAGCCCCTGTCCATGGGTCCGTTAAACACCTGCTGGACAATATCGTAGACGACATTGTGTAAGAAGTTGTTCCAGGGATAGGAGAAGAAAAAGGACTGCGGGCTGTCAGTTGTCGAGCTCAGGGACAAGGGGTCCGACGGTCAACTCACCAGAATCGCCGGTACGACGCGGTGCTCCACGAACTGCGTCTTGAGGTAGTCTCCAACCACGGGCTCCACAGGACCCGTTTCTTCGTTTTGCTGAGCTTCGGGTGCAGCCGTGCTGTCGTCTTTTGCGGCGCTCGCCTCATTGGCTTCTGCCTTGCTGGACTCAAAGGACGCGCCTGTTGTGGCGGCCGGGGCCTGCTCCGCCGTCGCCTTGCCAGGAGCCGACGCCGAAGATGAAGCAGAGAAAAGCGGAGCGGGGAGGTCTTCCGGATGAGGCGACAACGCGCCATCTGTCGAGCTTAATGGGCCTTGTGGGACCACTCCGCTGGAGTCGGCCTTGACCTCCGGCTCGAGAGACGAAGGGACGTTCAGCGACACCTCTGGCTTCGTCGCCTCGTCTGCAGCTTTGCCGGCGGAAACGTCCGCCTGCTCAGGCGGGGGTTCCGTCGCAGACTGCTGAGCCGTCTCGGCCGGCTTGTTCTTCGCAGGAGACAGCGGGGCAACCACGAGATCGGGGTCTTCAAACTGCTGCTCAGTCATCTTGTCCGCGGCCACGGTGAGGCGCGGTGAGCTCAATGGTTCATCCACAAAATCGTCCTCGTCCTTTTCCAGGAAAGAAACGGCCGGCGGTGCGGCCATGTCGACTTCGGCCTTGACAAACTCGTGCGAAGTGTCCTCGCTCATCTCCTTGCTGGGCTCCACCTCCTCGAAGCCATCCTCGTCGGCGTTGGTGACCTCGAGGCGTCGTCCCTCATCCGTGGAGGTATGGGGCATGCGCATGGTGAGGTCGTCGGTTGAATGCTCCTCTTCTCGCTGAGGGCCGAGCTTGCCTTCGATTCTCAGGCGTTGACGCTCGGCATCTCGCGCCTCGATGAGCTGCTCCGAGCCGACTTCGTTGAGCAGGCCCATGTTGCTGCAGTGCAGGAGCTCCGCCATGAGTTCGCACGTCTTGAACCGATCAAAGCCGAGCGGCTCGAGCTTTTCGCCAAAGGTGGAGGCTAGGCCCTGCTTCCGCGAGGGGCCGTCCATGATGAGGCTCATGAAGTTGGGCACGTTGTCGGCGAAGTGTCGCAAGAGCGTGCCGAGGTAGATTGGATCGCGGCTGGAAGGGACGGCGTTGGACTCGGCGCCCACGTCGGGATCGTAGTCAGAGTTGTTCTTGCGAATCACCTCGATGACGATGCCAACGCCGACCGTCAGCGGGTTGCCTCCGCCGAGCATGTAGCCGACGAGCTGCTCGACGCAGGGCTTCGACACGAGCTGACGCGTCAGTTCGTTGGGGCCGATGCACTGCTGCTCGTTCTGGGAGGCGTTGGCGGAGATGGTTATGATGGCTTTGATGAAGTCACCGGCAGCCGTCTGGACGAGCCAGCTGTGCTTGGGGTCGAGACAGGAAAGCAGGGTCGGGATGATGTCTCTGGCATAAAGCCACTGTTGGACGACGTTAGCGGGCGAATTGGGGGTTCGCGGCCAGGACATCCTACCTCGACAATGCCTTGGCCGCCCTCGCTGCGATCGAGAGCGATAATCTTGAGAAGCAAGTCCATGATCATGGGGCATTCCACGTGACGGAGCAGGTCCGAGACGACGTTGGGCAGGCCGCGAAACAAGTCCATCATCTCCTCCGTCTTCTTCTCAAACAGCGACTCGTTGACCTTGGTAAAGTAGCTCGCTTGGAGCGGATCGAGGGGGGCATCGCGGGAGAGGAACGTCCAAAAATTGCGAATCAGGTCGCGGTTCTCCATGAGCGACTCGTAGATGGACCACGTGTCGGAGCTCAGGACCTCACACGCGACGAGGGCATACCTGTTGCGCCGCCTCTCCTGCTCCTCCTCGTCGGTCTCGGTGACATCGGTAGCGCGAGAAGAGGCGCGCGGGCGAGCAAAGGGCAGGAGGCGAGGCTTGCCCTTTGTGTCTTCCTCGGGAAGCTCGCCGGGGCTCTCGACAATCTCGAGCTTGGGGGCGACGACATACTCGAGGAGCTTCTCGAGGATCTTATCCTCGCGGAGGTACTCGATGAGCTTGGAGTTGTGCTGCTTAAGCTCCTGGATCAGGTCGCTCTCATCGAGCAGCTCTTCGAGGGTGAACTCGGGCTTGTCGAGGATGGTATCGATGGTGGAGATGTTGGCGTAGCCGCCAAATCTCCAAAACATGGTGGCGGTCCTATCTCAGGGCGCCAGGCGTCGGGCAGGCAGCACCGGCGGCGGGCGAGGCGAATGAGACGGTCTGGGTCGCGCGGTGGGCGAGGGGCCGGCGGGAGGCATGCACGGCCGTGCTATCACGGCGATGACTGATCAAGAGCGCGAGCAGCGGCGTGGCTGGGCATTCGGCAGAAGCGACGGGGGCGTTGAAATCGGCGGAATTCGTCGTCGCACCGAATCGGAGAGCTCTGTGCGCGGCGAGATATTGGACGCGACCGGGGGGCAAAGGAGCGATTCGAGGCGTCGGTTAGTTGGTCTACTTCATGCCGCGGACGGCGATGGGAAAGATGGGCCCAGAGAGGGTGTAGGGATTCGTCGGTGGACGACGTTGAGGGATCGTAGATGCGAGCGAACGCTGTCGAGGGACGGCGGATGGAGGGCTCGATGGACGGGCCAAGGGGGTCGGGCCGTGATTGGGCCACGCCTTCAGGCTGTGGTTCCACGGGGTTGCGCTGGCTGCTCAGTCAGCAGAGAAGGAGAACCGGGGCGGGTTGGGGCGCTGAACGGCCCGCCGCCTCGAGGGCTGCCTAGCCAGGTGGCTCTCACATGCGTACAGTGCAGACAGGTGCCCGGGTAGCGCCTACAGCATTCTCGTCGGTCGGTTTGGGCGCTAATCAGCTCTGTGGCTGGCGGCGTCAGTCAGCCTGCCCAGTGGTTACGGGACGCCTCTCGGGTTGCAATGGGTGGGTGGTCCGCATGCGCCGCCCGCCAGGATCATCACCATCTCGCGGGAGGTGCATGCATCTTCACATGGAGTGTAAGGCTGTCGACGCCAATGCGATGACAGCCAAACTGCATGTGCAGGCAACTCACCTCCAGACGACCCTGCTGCGCTGTGGCGCGCCCTCCGACGATTTAGCAGGCGACAAGGGCTTGATGGCGAGCCGTGCGATGCGACATCAGGATTCAAGACGAGAGGTTGCTTGCGCTGTTGCACGAGAATCGCCAGCACTGAGCAGGGAAGCCGCCGTGCCCAACGAGGAGAGGTAAGCCTCAACGGCGGTAACGGCTGGATGACTAGCTGCGACCGTTGATGCGCCGTAGGGACGGTAGACGCCGTGGGATATGAGATGGCTGATGAGGGAGACGGGGCTCACGGCATGGGCACGTGCAACAAATGCTACAAGGGTTGTAATGGGGTACGTTTGTCGTAGGTACGGTTACGCTGCAGGGAGTTCAAGGGCAAAGGGAGCTTGGACCGGCACAGAGACGCATTCCCGTGTTTGACCAGGTGACGGCAGCTGTTGTCGTTGATACGGCGGGCTCGAAGAGGGCCACATGCTCTGCGGCCGAGGCTGTCTCACACGCTGGTGCTGGCACCGCTGGCTGTCACCGGCCCTGGAGGCGACCCGGCCATTGCATGGAGTGTCGAACGGCGCACGGGACCAAACACGACTGAATATTTACTACGGCCGGTCTTGTCCGTACAGTATGATACTGTACAGACGAACAGCAATCCGAATGAAATGGGGCCAGAATGAAGCACCGTCAAGTCGTAACAGGGCGCCGTGTCTTGCCTGTTCCAGGTTCGGATGAGCAGCCGCCCCCGGGACGAGACTCCCGTCTCCAGGGGACCCCGACCCTATCAAGCCTATGGCGCGCCTGGAGCCCCTTCAGACCACCCGGGCAGTGACCCGCAGACAGCGATCCACCTGCTGCTGTCACCCAAACCGTCTCAGATGCACATCCATGTTTCGTTTTGTCGGCGACCCCAACTCTGCCCCCCAAATTTGCCAAGCACAGTACGCACGACAGTGAAACGCGGGTGCCCATGGGATTCCGTCGGCGCAAATCTCGATTCCGCGTGCCCGTGGTGCTGGAATGCCAGCTAGAGTGGGCGAGCGTGCGGCAGTCCCCAAAGCCAGCCCCCCCCGCTGTCCGCTTGCCGGGCTGCCACGTTTTCCACCCCTCCCGCCCCTCCATCTCGCTGCCCTTGCTCTCGTCCCGCCCTGCGACCCGTCTGTCAGAGCCCTGGAGTTGTCTCACCCGGCCTGCCCTGCCCAGCCCTGCGCCGGACCAAACGCGACGTGCCCAGGCAAGCAGACGAGCCAACGTCTCAGCGGACAGCAAGTGCCGAGACCAACGTTTCCAACGCTACGAGTGGTCACCAGTGCAAATCAACATGTCAAATGAATCGCCAAACGTCTCCGTCGGCGGAAATGTAGTAGCTTGTGCTCGCCGTCTATCTCGCGTCGTGTCGTTACACCAAGTTCATTATCTGCAACCCCTTGTCCAACTCCGTGCTCACGCCCTCGACTTCTGCCAAGTCTTGCAGCAGAGATCCCCTCCACCACGCGTACCACTCGGCAACCTCGCCCAGGTCCGCATCGTCCAACGCCAGCCACTCGCGCAGCTTGGCATACCACATCGGGAGCACGCCCTGTGCGAGCACCTCGCCTATCACCGCGCCGCCGAGCAAGCGTTGCCACTTCAAAACGCCCGTCAGAATGGGTAGGTACGGCTCCTGGTCCGCCGGATCCACGCGGAAGTTGATGCGGAGATAGCGGCCCATCGACGGGAGCACGTGCGACATGATCAGCGGCCGCCACTGGTCTCCCATGACATCCTCCCACTGCCGCAGGCCCGGAACCACGCCTCGCTCAAACTCCCACGCATCGATCAGGTGTCGGAACTTTCTCCTCACGTCAGCCACCAGGCCGGTGCCCTTGGGGTTGAGGTGGTACGGCGGCAGGTATTGCAGCCACGGGAAGAGCCACGTATGCGGTAGGTGGTGCGTCTGGCGCTTCTTCTTCGGGTTCCAGTCCGAGAGTGCCGCCTCGAGCTTGCGTGCAATGTTGTCCATGAGCTGCGCCCGGACAAAGGGCGGTAGCAGGTCGTTCCAACTCTCAACCACCTCGAGCATGGAACCCGGCGTGAGGGGATCCCACTCGCGGATCGCAGCGAGCACCTGTGGCAGCCAACATTTGTACATCATGCTTTCGTAGGGCGTAGTAGCTTTGTGATGTCGCCGGTAGACGCCGTCCGTATGTGCCGCCGAGGCGTCCCATTTGCTGACCGGCCGGCCGTCGTTGTTCAAGCCGGATTTCATGAACAGGCCGGATAGCTGCTTGAGGTCTGACGCGAAGCGAGTCGGGTTCGCCAGAGGATCCCAGTCGGTGCCCCTCAGAAACGGATGAATGGCCGCCACTGCAATGTCTGCCGTTTCCGTGTTGATTGAGCCCAGTTCAACGGCCTTTTGGAGACAGCCGATGACCTGAGCCCAGTCGGAATTTTGCGCCAGCTGCTCCGAAACAAGGGTCGAGAAGCCTTGCAACCGTTCAAAGTCGGACCGGAGGTCGTCCATCTCTTGCTCTCTCTCTTTCAGCTCCAGATCTAGCCACTTCTTTCGCTCCTCCAGGCTCTTCCACTCCTCCGAAAACGCCAACAAGTCGGCTTGCGCTCGCTTGACCAGTTTCCTGGCCTCGATGACTTCGGCGCTTTCCGGGACGCCCGAGGTCGGTGTCATGACGCCGCTCGTCGATGTGAGCATCTTGCCTTCAGGGCCCGTCATGTCCAGTATCGGGGCAAAGGCCTCGGGAATGTTGAGTCCCGGCGCTGCCGCCTTGAACTCTTCCGCTGTCAAGTACTTTTTCTTTTGCCGCCTGGGCGTGCTGCCGGCACTGCTGCCAGCGGTTCCAAGGGCCTTTTTCTTCGCTCTCCTTTTCTTCTTCTCTTCCTCGTCCGAGTCGACGACTTCCTCGCCGCGCAGACGGGCTTGCCTCTTTTCTTCTTGGCGTTCCTGCTCCGATTTCTCCTTGACGGCGCCCAGGCCCACGCCCTGCGGCCGCAGGTTGGCCTCGATGACAATGTTTCGTCCTTGCCCTTCCTTTCCAAGACCTTTGCCTTCGACGTATCCCATCTTCGCCATCATCCGGGCGCCAAAGGACTTTGGGTTGATCTTGCCCTTGGCTCCGAATGCGCTGGGCGCTGGTTTGTTCTGTGGTGGGGGCGTTCCCCCATCCGCCGGCTCGTTGAGCACCGGTACGGACGCCGAGGACGGCACAAAGCCTCGACCAAGCACGTTGGTGCCATCGAATTTGGTCTTGGGCTTAGATGGCGGGCGCGTCGGCTGCGAGGTGTTGCCTTGGTCGGGCTGCGTCTCCCGCGCACTCCAACCTAAACCATGGGCGGCGCCTGCGAATCCCAGGCCCACACCGCCACCGGCTTCGTCGTCCTCGTCGTCCTCGTCGTCCTCATCATCTTCATCGTCCTGGGCCGGGGCGGCGTGGCCATTGCCGAGAACGGGCTTGTAGTCGTCCGAGTCCTCGTCGTCTTGATCGTCGTCGCCGTTGGCGTCCGTGCCTTGTGCTGACTGCGCTGTCGATGAGACAAAATTCATGCCCTTGTTCCTCAAAGTCTTTCGCTTCCACCGGTGGCCCGGTCCATCGTCCTCGCTGTCGGAGCCAAAGATGCCGAGCGCAGCCTTCTCTTTGTTGTTTCCCCCGACGCGACGCCGCTTCCGAGGGTTGAAGTCGCCAAAGTCGTTGTCTTCGGCGCCGCCCGGCAAGGCATAGTCGTCGTCGTCTTCGGAGGCGGACGAAGAGAACTCTGCGGCAGAGGCCTTGGTCAGGCGGGACGGGTCGAACGAGGAACCGTCCATCGCTGCGATCTTCAGCGGTCCCAGGGATGCTTGCGAAAGGGTGCGAGACCCATTACGGATGGCTGCGCAGAGCTGCAGTGCCTTTCGACAACTGTCGAGTAGCTGCGACAAGCGGAGCGCTGCGAAAAAGAAGACGCGAGAGATGCGCAAGTGACGAAAGAGGCAACCGGAAAATGTGTAGTACGGGAGCCTGGAGGTGGCCACAGGCCGGTGTAAGCTCGTGAGAGCAGGCTTGGCTGTTATCTTATCGTCACGTGACTATCTCTTCCAGTGTCACTGGGACGACCCCTACCCGGTGGCAGCGACATGCACAATACCGCGACGTTTCGGCCGACTTACACACCAGTCTTGCACGTGGACGTTGAAGAGAGCCGTGCTTCAATTTATGAAGGGCTGCTTGCGAGACCCATAATGCCAAAGGTATCCAACCCCCAAACCACCGTCTTTCAGACCGCATCGATGCTCCCAACCATAACGCCAAAATGTCCAAATCCAAAGCCGTTGTTCAGTTGTTCTTCCACCACATGTTGGTGCTCATGATCCCCAACGCCAGAGTACCCAAAAGGGGGCCACAATCCTTTCAGGCCGTGTCGATGCTCCCAACCCGTAACGCCAAAAATAGTTCAAAATCCAGAGTCGTCGTCCTTTCGCGACATGCCGATGCCCGTGAATCCGCAAGGCCAGAGTCCTTAAAACCGAAACCACAATCCCTGCAGGCCGTGTCGATGCTCCTTGACCTGTAGCGCCAGAGATGTCCAGGGTCCAGGGTCCAGAGTCCAGAGTCTAGACCAAGAGCCACTGCCAACTCCAGCATGTCGATGCTCCTGAATCCGAACGCCAGATATGCCCAAACACAGAGGCTCCGTCTCTCCGATCGTGTTCGCCTTTTCCACGGGGTATGGCTCCGTCGGGTGTGCTTTACGCGCATTGCACATAGCCCGAACTGCTCATCGAGCCAGCTTCAGTAACGCAAGCTATCTCGTGAAGCATGGTGGCCTCACCAGGCGCAGATCGGCTTATCCATCAAGGTCGCAGTGTCCCGCCATCACACAAGTCGTCCATTGGGGATCGATCGCCAAAGACCATGGCCAGTACGGCGTCCATCAAGATCGGTATCTGGTCAGGTTTTCACAATCCCTTCACCGTCTACGTTGCCAAGTTACGGTTCTTTGTCCTCTCTGTGATGTGTTAGCAGACGGTGGCTCCAGGGTCTTTCCGTGTTGGTTGGGTTGACTTACCCTGCTGTTCATGCTGGCACGCGTCGACTGTGGCCTAGGCGCTTCTCGGGCCATGCCATTTGGTCTGGATTGATGCCACTCGCTTATGCTCTGCGGTGGCCGCCTCCAGTTGGTCGTCTCGGACCCCGCGCCGGTCTTCGAGGCACCGTTTTGGAACCCGTAGTTTCCTTTGTTAGTCGCCGCAGGCAACTCGTACCTCGGGATGTGACAGGTTGTGAAGGGTACGTCGCCGCCGGTGTTGGGGTCCCATGTATAGTACAGGACCGTGATGTGCTCTGCGGCATCTTTGTCTGTGCCTCCAGTGTGCCAGGCCGCGCCTCCGTCTGTTTTCCTGTGGACTTGTAAGCGAAACGAAGTGATCAAGGAATCGTGAGAAGGGATGGACGTACGCTGTTCCTGGCACGCAGTTCACACGGGCTCTTGAGATCTTGTGACACGAGAAATTTGTCATCGCGTACTGTCGGCACCTTTGGTCGATCTCTAGAGTCCGCGATCTCTCGTGCGTGTATGTAACCGGGAAGTGGCCAAACTCGGGCATGGTAGCCATGGCGCGTTCTCTGTCGGCGATTTTGCGGCGGAACCACGTCGAGATATCGTTGAGTGGGCGCTGTTGCGCAGATTGACAATATGAAGCTGGCAGAAGCATTGCGGCGTGATAGTCGATTCGCATTCTTATAGTATGGATGAGGGCGCTGGGGACACACAATGTCTTTGCACAGAGTAGATGAGAAAGAAGCCAGGACAAGGAGAGCATAATTACGGCCTTGATTAAATGCCCTTTGGTTCTATTTACAAAGCTTGTTCACGACGCGTAAAGCCGTCTTGACGCGTCAACGCCCCGGCGATTTTGACCTCAACGGTTCCTTTGCGAAGCTTCACGATGACGCATTGAAGTTCCGAGCCTCTACGCAACTAGAAAAGCCCTTGTGCTGCGCGCCGTGGCCGACACTTACACGGTGCCGGAGCAAAGAAACATGGAGTGGGCATTCGCTTTGTCGTCAGGCGACTCAAGCCCGTTCGCAGGATGACGCTCACCCGCTTGCATGCGTTGCAAGCAAACAAAGGGACCCAACCAAGAACAACCATCGACAAAGCCAAATCGCCAGGGCTTAAAATAGACTGTGAGCTAGACGAAAGCTTTAAAGGATGCGGTCGATTCAATCTAGCACTCTCGTTCCAGCGTACATCCGTCTACGTCTTTCTATAGCATTCTCTCGTGCGGCCACTGATTCATCGCAATGTGTAACCCATCTATGCGAGGAATCTCGCGCATCACCTCCGTCCTCGGTATGAGGCAACGGGCCAAGGGTCTGCTGCGCAGGCTGGCGCGCTGGCTCGTTGCTTCAATCACAGGTCCGGTTCTGACCATCGACCGCGGAACGCAAACCGCCTGCCACGGGAGTGACGGGATCAAAGGGAAAGAGCCACGGCCAATCGCCAGCAACGACTTTTCCCAGAGGCCCGGAACATCTGAGTGTTTGCTCGAGTACGCCGCCACTCCACTCGCCGAAGAGCTCGCCATGGAAGACCTGCGAACCACGTTTGCCCCCGCCCACGAGCTTGACGAGCTCCAGACCACAAGCGCGAGCAGCAGCATGAAGGTCATGGCGTCCGCCGGCACGCTCGCATGCGATCTCGGCGAGATGGCTCTATGTGATGATGCGGGCCGAGATACGAGCAACATCCTTTGCGCTTGGGGACTGGCTCTGGCTTCCAATGAAAGCAGCCCCGGCGTCGTGGAGGACGACACAACGGACATAGCTTCGACCGATGATGAAGCGATGCCCGAATCAGGATCCGCCGGTTTCGATGACGGCACCACCATGAACGAGGCAGAGTCAGACGACGCGGATGAAGCACCAGCAGCGCGAGCGTACGACTGGCGCGACGACGAAGAGCCTATTGCAAAATATCGGCCCGGTGGCTTCCACCCTGTCTGTGTGGATCAGGTCTACAACAACCGTTACCGCGTCCGTCGCAAGCTTGGCAGCGGAGCTTACTCGACGGTGTGGCTTGTGAGAGACCTTAAGGAGGGGGTGTTTCGTGCCATGAAGGTTCTCGCCGCGGACTCGTACGGCGAGGAGGAGCACATCTTTGAAATAGAAATTCTCAACCACCTCCGAACGGCCGATCCGAACCACAAGGGCTACTCGTACATCAACCATCTGCTCGACCAGTTTGAACACGAGGGGCCCAACGGGACGCACGTCTGCCTCGTCTTTGAGGCGATGGGCATGTCGCTTCAGGGGTACGCCGAGTATCTGCAGACCGAGTACGGTTTCGGGCCCGTTCTTCCTGACTACGCCGTCGCCTCCATCACAAAACAGCTGCTGATGGCCTTGTCCTACGCACACGAAAATGGGGTCATTCACACAGGTAAGACGCGCCTCCATCAGTAGGACTGTTCAGAGCAAAGGTAACCAAAATGGCAGACATCAAGCTTGACAATATATTCGTTCGGTTCTCTTCCGACATGAAGCTCAAGATCGAAGAGGGATTCCTTCCTGACACCTACGAGCTCGTGGACTACGTGGAGCCGAATGAGCCGTACAGAGTGATGCGGTCGATGCCAATGTACTGTTACTGGGCCGATGGCCTGGACCAGACGTTGGACGTCCAGGTTTGCCTGGGAGACTGGGGCGTTGCGTCCTGGACGGACCATCACCTGTGCGAGATGGTCCAGCCGGATGCAATGCGGGCGCCCGAGGTATTTCTCAGAGCCGGATGGGACGAGTCTGTTGATTTATGGAGCCTTGGACCGACTCTTCTCAGACTCCTCAACGACGAAGTCATGGTCATCACCGAAACCGCGGACGACAACGGCAACGTGGGTTACTCTGAGCCATTCATTCTGATGCAGATGCAGGAGCTGTTTGGCGGTGGCCGCTTTCCAGCGTCGCTGCTGGAGCGTGGACACCCCGAGTACGTCGAGAGCATGTTCAACGAGAAGGGTAGGGTCACGGACTACGACGATGAGGAGCCCGCATCGTTCCGCGAAGGCCGCTGGACCGAGAACATTCCGGAGAGCTTCCGTAAGGACGTCACTGACTGGTTCGAGTTTCTCATGAAGCTCGATCCTCGCGACCGGCCGAGCATCCAGCAGCTTCTCGACCATCCATGGCTGAGCACCGAGCGCCAGAAGCCACGGCTGGACGACTCGCCCGAGGAGCAGGATGAAGACGAGGGAGAAGAGCCGCGCGCAAAGCGCGAACAGGTCTAGCCGCATGGTTCTGAGCAAGTAGCTTTCTGTACGAACAGCGCCACCTAATAGATTATCAAAGCGAGATGCACGGCCGCTTCTGAGCTCTATGCTGTGAATTTGCTCCTCTGCAGCATCCGACGTGGGTGTCTCGTGAGGCTGCCCGCCGACATCAGGCGATGTCCGGCCACCGGGCACATCAGACTGCGGGCCTTTAGGTATTCCGGGCTGGCCTGCAGTGGAGGAGGACCCCAAGGACCCCTAGATATCAGCGGGCTCCGGGGCTCCACCTCATCCCGGGCCGTCGCTGTAGGAACGGTTGGGCGCCGATGATTGGCACTTCAACCTGACGGGCGGGCACTTGGGCGGGCGGACCCAGTGTTGACAGTGTGTTGACAGAGAGTGGCTGGCCGCCTCTAGTGGCTTGCCATACCTGCCCGAAGCTTGCATTGACTGCGTGCTCTGCCCCACCGACTTTTTCCCAGCCCAGGCGCTCTGCCGAGCCAGGGGCCGCCACCAGTGCCACCACCACCCTTCTGGGCCGCCGGAGCTCGACGTCCCGCCGGCTTGTCCCTGTGGCTGCCCAGGCGCTGTCGCTGTCCCTCCTGTCCCCTGTCCACCAACAAACAACACGTTCCGCGTCGCCGCCAGCGTCTCGACTCTTCTACCGACATCCATCCTTGCGGTTTTGCTTTCACCTACTTACGTCGTCGCCCAACTACGGCCGCCACCGACGTTCTACATTCTGCTCGACGCTCCCGCCCACGCGCGCTCGTGTCGCTCGCCGCCGCGCATCGACCGGTCAAAGCTCCCCCGCCCAGCTCGTCCATCGACCCGACGACCACCGCTGCCTCCATCGCGCCCAGCGCATACCCGCCACGACAGCCCTTTCCACCAGCGACAGCGCGACAAGGAAAGCGGCATCGCAACGCTTGCTTCTGTTGCCGCGATCCATCTCTCGGTTCGATCAGGCTGCGCCGCAACCCCCGCCTGAGTCGACGTGCCTGCTGGTACCCGTCGTGAGACCCATATTCGCGGTACGTCAATACCTGTTGTACACATTTTGCGTCATTGTTGGCCTTTGTCTGCGCTTCCAGCCCGCCGCCAGCAGCATCTCCCATGCTTTCGCCCTTGACCTCTGCCCTCCTGTGACCCCATGGACGCCCACCACAGCCTGCCGCGCCCGTCCATGCACAAGCTTATTGACAAAGTCGGTAGATTCGTCAGGCCGCAAAGGAGGCCCCGGCACGTCTGCCCTCGCCGCTCGAGCTCCACCGGACACGCAACAGACTACTACGCTGCCAACATGGCGGACAAGGAAGAGGACTTTAGCTCCCTTCCGCTACCAGACCGCTTCACTCACAAGGTCAGTTACGGACGTCCCGTCCGCTTGGCCTAGTCAAGTCGCTAATGTTGTCCTGCAGCTCTGGAAAGTGAGAAAAGAGGCCTACGAGGAGGCGGCAAAGCAGTTTTCCGTATCGCCGGACGAATCCGACCCGTGCTTCCGACCTTTCCTCAACGACCCAAACCTGTGGAAGGCCGCCGTGTCAGACTCCAACGTCGCCGCGCAACAAGAAGGCATCATCGCGCTCTGCGCATTTCTCAAGTATGGCGGACGCGACTGCGCGCTGCGGACGCGCGGGCTGACCATTACGCCAATGGTCGAGAAGAGCCTGTCGTCTACGAGGGCAGCCACCAAGCAGAATGCCCTCGAGGCGATCCTTCTCTACATTGAGCTGGATGTTGCCGCGCCAGTGCTGGAAGACGTGATGCCCGGCCTCTCCAACAAGGTGCCCAAAAACGTGGCAGCGACGCTCAACGCCTTGACGGCCATCTTTCACAACTACGGCTGCAAGACGGTCGACCCGAAACCCGTCCTCAAAGCGTTGCCAAAGGTGTTTGGTGCCGCTGACAAGAACGTTCGCGCCGAGGCGACCAACCTCACCGTGGAGCTGTACCGATGGTTGCGTGAGGCCATGAAGCCCATGTTCTGGGGGGAGCTGAAGCCGACGCAGCAGACTGACCTGGAATCGCAGTTTGAAAAGATCAAAGCAGAGCCGCCGCCAAAACAGGAGCGTCTCCTGCGGTCCCAGCAAGCCGCCGCGGAGACTGCCGCCGGTGGCGATGAGGACGACGGGGATGCGGCCGGGGAGGAGGCCGACGCTGCTGAAGAGATGGACGCTTTCTCCCTCGCAGAGCCCGTCGACATTACCAAGAAGATCCCGCCCAACTTTAGCGACATGCTGGCGTCGTCAAAGTGGAAGGATCGCAAAGAAGCGGTCGACGCACTCGGGCAAGCCCTCAACGTACCGCGCATCAAGGACAGCGACTTCAACGAGGTGACGCGGGGCCTGGCCAAGTGCATGAAGGACGCCAACGTCGCGGTCGTCACGCAAGCCGCGCAGTGCATCGAACTGCTGGCCAAGGGCCTGCGGCAGGCCTTTGCCAAGCATCGCCCGACCGTCATGCAGCCCATAATGGATCGCCTGAAGGAGAAGAAGCAGACGGTCGCCGATGCCCTTGGCGCCGCCCTTGATGCCGTCTTTTCGTCCACAAACCTGGCTGACTGTCTCGAGGACATTATCGCGTACCTCAGCAACAAGAATCCCCAGGTCAAAGAGGGAACGATGAAGTTTCTGATCCGCTGCCTGCGGACCACGCGAGACGTGCCGAGCAAGCCTGAAATCGCGTCCATCTGCGAAGCCGGCAAGAAGCTGCTATCCGAATCGAGTCCCGCGCTGCGTGACGGTGGCGCGGAGATACTGGGAACGGTCATGAAGATCATCGGAGAGCGTGCCATGACGCCGTACCTCGACGGCCTGGACGACATCCGAAAGACCAAGGTCAAGGAATTTTTCGAGACGGCCGAGGTCAAGGCCAAGGAGAAGCCCAAGCCTGCACCCGCCGCCAAGGCCCCGCCGGCGTCGGCGAAGAAGGTCCTAGGAGCGAAGAAGCCAGTTGCGAGGAAGGCCGCGCCGGCGGCGGCTGCACCGGCGGCAGAGTCAGCGCCGTCGTCACCACGGCCCACGTCCAAGGTCGGCCCCCCAGGAAGCAAGTTGGGGCTGCCCAAGTCGTCAGGCTTGGGCGGGCTCAAGGCACCGCAGAAGCGTACCATCGGAGCGCCCGGGACGGCCTCTCCCAGGCGCGCACCGAGCGGGCCGCCGGTCATGCCCGCCGACGACGAGCCCGCGGCAGCACCCCCACAGCCTCGCCTCGGACCGTCTCGGGGCTTAGCCGGCCGATCGCTGGCAAAGCCTGCGGCTGCGCCTCCGCAGATGCCGCCAGAATCGCACCACCCGTCTAGCGGCTTCACTGCCGTGGAGCGGGCTGAGCTGGAAGAGCTCCGTGCCGCCAACGACCGTCTGACTCGACAGATTGACGACTTGCGACAGGAGCGAAGCAAGTTCCTGTCCGAGATTCAGGAGCTCAAGAACCAGAACGCCGGTCTCATCGAGGACCACACGAGGGACGTCTTGAGCATCAAGGCCAAGGAGACGCAGCTTGTGCGGGCTCGCAGCGACGCCGAGGCTACCGAACAAGTCAACGAACGGCTGCGACGGGAGATGGACCGCTTGAAGAAGGCGCTCAACAATGCCGAGGGGCTCAATGCGGGCTCAGGAGTCATCAGCCCGAGGGTTGCCTCCCCAGGGACCGACGACGTGGGAATTTTCCGCGACCCTGGTTCAGCGGCTGCCAACCGCAACCGGATGAGCTTTGCAAGCACCATGTCCGAAGAAAAGGAGAACGGGGAGATGATGTATCCGAGGACCAAGCTGAGCCCAGACGTGAGGCACAACGGGAGCTCCGCGTCGTCGGGTCGGGGTTCACCTGCCCGGAACTTTAGGAACATGGCGGCGTATCGGGACGACGCCAGCGACTCCGGGGCCACGATGGCGAGGGACCGACCAGTGTCGTCTCTGCCGCAACCGTCGGGCGGTGGCGGAGTCGAGAGCTGGAGGCGAGCCGCGGAGGTGACGAGTCAGCTAAAGGCCCGGATCGAGCAGATGAAGGCGAGTTTGTCTGCCGCACAACCCTCGGACGAAAAGCTAACGGCGCGCAGGCCAAGCAGGGATTCAACCGGCCGTGAGTGAGTGAACGAACGAGTATGGTCAGGGGGATGATTTACTGTTACGTCCTAATGGCCGCTACGATGCTACGATGTGGGAGGTGACGCCGACATGGGTCTGAATCATGCTGGAGGGTTGTGCATTTTCATGGCGTTGGAACACATACCCCTTTCCTCCAGTTGATTGTTAGAGTATGGACATCAGTAGCGGAAGCATCTGTGCGCCTCGCAACGTCTGACGGTGCTGTACGAGTTTGCTCACGAGGCACCGTGACGCAAGCGAAGAGTGTTAGGGTCTGTCAATTGAGCAGTGTAAATGATTGCTGAAAGAACGCCATGACCGGCCGTAAACTCCGTGCAACGAACCTGCCATTGCTCACTTCTTGGCACCCTTGTCCGCCTTGCGGCCGTCTTTGGGCTTGTCGCCTTCCTTGTCCTTCTGTCCGCCCTTGTTCTCCTTGTCATCACCTTTGGCCTCATCATCACCTTCTTTCGCGTCTTTTCCGTCCTCGGCCTTCTTGGAATTGTCCTTGGCCTTTTCATCGCCGCCGTCGTCTTTCGTGCGGTTCTTCTCTTTCTTACCCGGTTCGGAGTCACCCTTGTTCTCTGCGCCCTTCTTCTCCTTGCCTTCCTTGGGCTCATCCTGTGCCTTGTCGTCACTTTGCTTCTCGTCCTTCTTGCTCTCGTCCTCGTCTGTCTTTGCATCGTCCTTGGCGCCGCTTGACTGCTTGTCCGCCTTGTCTTTCGTATCCTTTGCCTCGGCCGACTCTTTCTTGCCTTCCTCCTTGTTCGCGCCCTTGTCGGCCTTGTTCTTCTTGGCCTCCTTCTTGGCCTTCTTTTCGGCCTCCTCCTTCTTCTTGCGCAGCCTCTCCTTCTCCTCGGCCTCGAGCTTGGCCCAGTTTGTGCTTCGGTCCGCGATGCCGGCGCTCTCGATGGTGGAGCTGAGGCCTTGGCTGCTCAGGCGGCCGTGCTGGCTGATGGAGGCGCGGCCGACCAGGGACACGAGGATGGCGAGGCCTACCATGACGGTAAGCAGGAAGCGGTACATGCCGTACCACTGCGGGGCCCAGCCGCGGGAGGCGGCGCGCGAGTCGGCAAAGTACAGGGCAACAAAGGCCATGAACTGCGTCGTCAGGGCCGTCTCGAAGGGGAGGAATAGGGTGGGCCAGGCGACGATGGAGGCGGCCACGCCCATGCCGTAGCGGAAGCGGGTGCGATCGCGAAGAGGCTCCTTTTCGGCATACTCGAGACCCTGTGCCAGCTGTTAGCAGCTACCCTCGCTACCGGTCCGGTGTTGACTCACCCAATGGATCGCGCCGAGAAAGGAAATGATGACGGCGCCGTAGCCGAGCTGCAGTGGCTCAATGACGCTGAGCAGGTAATGCGCCGTGTCGTGGGGGATGAAGAGGGCGTCGTAGAGGCGGTTCCCTGTGGGGACCTGCTTGGTGAGGTCCCAGGCGAGGAAGACGGTCGAGAGGGATGTCGCGAGGTAGGGGATCGTGCCGGCGAGGCCCAGGACGTGAGACTCTTTGGGAACCCGCGTGAGGCGGAAGGTATCTCGTACAATGCCCTGCGGATGAGTGCCGTGTTAGCGGGAACGTGGTACACAGGTGTTGAACAGTCCAAGCAAGCCATTCTTTGGTTACGTACAATGTCGTGCTTCAAGCCGGTGCTCAAGCTCGCAGGCTCGGGCGTGTTGGACTGGCCGGACCCCTCCAAGACGTGGCGGACCGAGCTCTGGCTTGAGACTTCGTCTGGCCGGGGCTTGAGCTTCTCTTGGGCGACCTTCATCTCGTGCTCCCGGTCGATGGGCTGCTTGGGCGGCGGGGGGTTCTCCGGCTTGTCCTTGTCTTTTCCCCTGCTGTTGGAGTCGCTGCTTGCGAAGCGCACCACGGACCAGGTCACCGGCCGCGACGCCCGCCGGAGGAGCTTGGAAGCTGCCGCGGGAGCATTGCGACGCGAGAGCGAGCTCGCGAGGGAAGCTCCCGGGGAGAGGTGCAGGATTGGTCGCGCGGTTCGAAACATGGTGAGCTGGAGAGGAGCCCAGCTCAGGTCGAATCACCGCGATGGGCTCTCAAGGGTCAAGACGCGCAAGGAGACGCGTTCGATGGGCAGGCCGCCTCACGGTGGCAATAGACAGGCACGGCGGATATCAGGCAGGCCAATTGCTATACAGCGCCGGTATCGCCAATTGGAGGAATGGAGTAGAGGAAGCAGTCAACAATGACGACGGCCTCTGGCACGGCGGAAGAGGTGTCCGGACGGAGGCGCTTATAGCACGGGGGCTATGGCATCATGACGCACGTCGTGGCAGCTGCCGCACCTCTACTGTATCCAGGTAGCTCCAGCTCCCCGCAGGTACAAGGTCGCAGGCACCCGTGGCTGCCTTCTAATCAGGTTCCGGGAAAGCATAAAAGCCCAGAAGCGGGTGAGGTGGCTGGCCGCGCTGCTGCCCGTCCGCAAGTTTCGGGGCGGCATTGGCATTGGCATTGGGGGATCGAGAGGGATCGGGGAGGGAGGTTGAGCGGTCATGACGTAATTTTGGCGACAGATCGGGAGGTGCTGGACGGTTTGGTCCGGCAGTGGCTCCGGCGCCGAAGCTTTTAGTGGATGATTGGCGCTGGCCCGTGCAGGGCTCGGGAGGAACGAGACCAAGAAACGTAGCTCGAAATGCGAGCTTGGAGAAATGCTCCATCTCCTTGTCACTTTTACGATATTCGTGGGAGGTTTGGAGCTTCTATTGTGCTGCTTTTCCGATGATGATGGGCTCGGAGTCTGGTGCCCTGCCTGTAGGTGACTTTTAGACGCCGTGCTGGCGGAGACGACGCCCTGGAGGCAACCTCCGGTCTTGACCAGCAGCGGCCGCCAGAGAACGATTTCCACGTGACAAGGACGGGCAGAGGACGGGACCAGATAGCATGGGCTTCTCCACGCATAATGTGCTTCTCTTGCTCCTAGCTGCGCTCAAAATGTCCGATAAAATAAATAGAATGGACTGCTCTGCGATTGCAGTTTCAATTTCCTCAACATCTATGCCCGGGCGTCCTTGGGTGGCCGGCGTGAGCGTCCAGCAACGCACGTCGTCTACAAGTGTGCACGGGTGTGTGCCCACTGCAATTACAGCGCTCGCGTCAACTGGCCCCGCCGTCAAGGCACCAATTCCTCCAGCGGAGCCGCTACGTCACACACGGGCTGCCGCTCTGCCAGGGTCAGGTTCCCGTCCGCGCGGCGCTGGAGAAACGAGCTGGGCTTTGGCCCGAGGTGAGGTGAGCCCGCCGTCCGTCGTCGTCCGCTCAGGTCATCCATCCCTCCATCAGCCAGGAGGTGACGCGCACCCCAACGTCACGTCACGGCCAGTTTCCTGATTCGACCACGCGACGTCTCCCCAACCGTGGCTCGACACGTCCGCTGCTTTGCTGCCGAGCGGACGCCCTTTCTCTTCCCTCTGCAACCTCACCTACGAGCCCGAGCCCGAGCTCGAGAGGCCCCGCTAACGGCCTCGAGAGCCCCTCCACCTAAACGGCCGGGTCGAAGACGCCGACGGCGACGACAATTGCCCCACGACGACGACCAAAGCACCGACACGATACAGCAGACGGCCACGGCTCCTACCTACAACGGCTCTGCTCGGCCCTTCACAAATCGTCACGACACGCGGCACGCCGCCTCGCCTACCGATGTTGTCCATCTGATCCTCCGACTCCAACACTCTCCCTACCCAACGATTCCCCGGCCCGGGTTACGGCCCGCCCGCCGCCGCCATGTTGGAGGGTCTTGTCGCCGGGTTGCTTAACCGCTTCCTCGGCATGTACGTCAAGAACTTTGACCCAACGCAGCTCAAGGTCGGCATCTGGTCTGGCGATGTCAAGCTCCGCAACCTCGAGCTGCGCCGCGAGGCCCTCGACCAGCTCAAGCTGCCCATCAACGTCATGGAGGGCCACCTCGGCGAGCTGACCCTCGTCATCCCCTGGTCCAACCTTCGCGGCGCCCCCGTCAAGGTCTTCATCGAGGACGTCTACCTGCTCGCGAGCCCCAAGGAAGAGGCCGAGTACGACCAAGACGAAGAGGAGCGCCGGAAGCAGCGCCTCAAGATGGAGAAGCTCGACAGCGCCGAGCTGCTCAAGGAGCGCAACCGCGAAGGCATGAGCCAGGAGGAGCAGCAAAAGAACCAAAGCTTCACCCAGAGCCTCGTCACCAAGATTGTCGACAACCTCCAGGTCACCGTCAAGAACATCCACATCCGCTACGAGGACTCCATATCGGCCCCCGGGCACCCGTTCGCCCTCGGCTTCACGCTCGAGGAGTTTAGCGCCGTCAGCACCGACGGTCAGTGGAAGCCGACCTTTATCCAGGACAGCAGCAACGTCACGCACAAGCTGGCGACACTGGGTGCGCTCGCCGTATACTGGAACACCGACTCAGACCTGTTTGGCACCGGCCGCGAGGCAGAGTCTCCGGACGCGGAGCCCATGGAGCACCAAGAGATGGTGGAAAAGTTCCGCAGCATGGTCGGCAAGGCCAACGCCGCCACCTCGCACCACCAGTTCATCCTGAGGCCCGTCAGCGGCCAGGCCAAGATTGAGCTCGACAAGTCGGGCGACATTCACGTGCCCAAGTTCAAGGCCAATCTTCTGTTCGAGGAGATTGGCCTCGTGCTCGACGACGACCAGTATCGCGATGCCCTTATGATGGTGGATCTCTTCCACTACTTTATCCGGCACCAAGAGTACAAGGGCCTCCAGCCAAAGGGGGTCCGGCCCAAGGAGGACCCGAGAGCCTGGTTCCGGTTCGCCGGCAACGCGGTGCTGGGAAAGATACACGAGCGGAACCGCAAGTGGTCGTGGGATTACTTTCGCGAGCGACGAGACGACCGGAACCGGTACATTGAGCTGTTTAAAAAGAAGAAGCAACAGCAGAGCCTCTCGCCTCAAGAAAACGAAGACCTCGGCAACCTGGAGTGGAAGCTCGACTACGAGGATCTGCGGTTCTGGCGCTCCCTGGCCCGCAACCAGCTAAAGAAGGAGAACGCGGCGGCCCTGAAGAAGCAGTCTGCGCAGCCAGAGCAACAGGGATGGCTTTCGTGGATGTGGGGTTCCAAGCCGCAGGGCAAGATTGAAGAAAACGAAGAAAACACGCAGATGACCGAGGAGCAGCGCAAGGAGCTGTACGACATGATTGACTGGGACGAAAAGACGGCGTTGGCTGAGGCGGTCGACGTCCCGCGGGAGGCGGTCAAGCTGTGCATCGAGACGTCCCTGAGCACCGGAAGCTTTACGCTGAGGCAGAGCCCGCACGGAGACGCTCGCGATCTACTGAGCTTGCATTTCGACGTCTTCAAGGCCAAGGCGCTTCAAAGAAAGGACTCGCTGCTGGCCAACGTCAGCCTCGGAGGGCTGCGCGTCAACGATGGCACGACCCCCGACAGTCTGTACCCCGAGATTGTCCGTGTCAAGGACGCGCCGTCGACGAAGCAGCGCAAGCGACTGTCGCTGATGGAGCTGGAAAAGGACGACAACGAGCCCTTCTTCCAGTTCGAGGTAGAAAAGAACCCGATCGAGCGCGAAGGCGACATCGCCGTCGTCGGCAAGCTCAAGCCGCTCGAGGTGGTGTGGAACCCCAACTTTGTCGTCGGCATTGTCGACTTTTTCAGACCGCCCGAGCGGCACATGGAATCGATCACGGCCCTCATGGAGACGGCTGGCGCGACTGTCGAGGGCATCCGCGAGCAGACGAGGGCCGGGCTGGAGTTTGCGCTGGAGGAGCACAAGACGATCAATGCCGAGCTTGATCTGCAGGCCCCCCTGATCATTGTGCCGGTCAGCATTACGACCAAGGAATCGACCTGCCTGATTGTCGACGCTGGTCATATTCACGTCAACAGCCAGCTGGTCGACCATGATACCATGAAGGAGATTCAGTCCAAGCAACGCCAGTCCTACAGCGAGGAGGACTTCAAGAGGCTCGAGTCGGTCATGTACGACAAGTTCATCGTCAAGCTCACGTCGACCCAGGTCCTCATCGGCCCGTCCATCCAAGAGACCAAGCAGCAGCTTGACCGCACCACGGGCGGCTCGCAGCTCCACGTGGTCGAGCAGATCAATGTCGACTTTGTGGTGGAGACGTCGATCCTGCCAAAGGCACCCAACCTGACCAAGTTCAAGGTCTCTGGGCATCTACCAATGCTCCATGCGACCGTATCAGACTCCAAATACAAGAACCTGATGAGGATCATTGACGTGGCCATCCCGAAGCTCTCAAAGCAGGACCAGCTGGAGATCGCGGTCCAAGAGCAGTCGAAGCAGCCGCAGCGCCCTCGGCCCGTGAGCAGCGCATCGAATAGGTCTCGCAGAAAGTCACAGCGCGAGCGTCGGCAGTCGACCGCTTTCCCATTTATGCAGCCGCAGACTGCCGTCATCCTCGACGACATGGACGAGGACGAGGACGACTTCGAGGACGCCACGGACGGCGTGGACCCGCAGCACCTCAAGATTCACCAGCGCAGCTTCGAGTTCAACTTCAAGGTCGACACGCTCAAGGGCTCGCTTTATCGGAGCGACCCGGACAAGAAGAAGCCGGACACGCTGCTGGTTGAGCTGGTCGCCGAAAGATTCGACCTGGCCTTTTACACGCGGCCCTTTGACATGGCCGCCGAAGTGTCTCTCGGCTCCGTGACGGTGGAGGACTTTGTCGACAATCCTCCGGACGAGTTCAAGTCCATCGTGTCATCTGGAGACAGGGATGATAGGCAGGCCGGCCGCAGCCTGGTCCACGTCAAGTTTATGAAGGTGAATCGACAGTCGCCCGAGTTCATGCCCGTCTACGAAGGCGTGGAGACCAACATTACCGCGGCGGTCTCGACCATCAACCTCATCGTGACAAGGAAGACGCTTCTTACGCTGCTAGACTTTATCCTCATCACTTTTACGGGCGGCAACAATGGCCAAGAGCAGACTCAGGAGGCTCTCCCCGAGATAGAGGTCGAAGAGGATGAGAGTGAGGACGACGCTCTCGACGTTGCAAGGCAAAACGCCAATGCGGGGTCCATCAGAGTCAAGGTGGACCTCAAGAGCATCCGGCTCATTCTCAACAACGACGGCATCAGGCTCGCCACACTTTCGTTCAATCAGGCTGATGCGGGCATCTTCCTGCGCGGAAAGACTATGCGCATCTCGGCCAGGCTCGGGGACCTTTCCCTCGTTGACGACGTGAACCTAGGCGTGTCCGAGGAGTCGAACCTGCGGAAGCTGGTCACGATTCAGGGCGACGACCTGGCCGACTTTCGTTACGAGACGTTTGATCCGTCGAACCAAAAGGCGTACCCCGGGTATGACAGCTCAGTCTTTCTCCGCGCCGGCTCGGTCAAGATCAACTTTGTCGAAGAGCCGTTCCGCAAGATCATTGACTTTCTGGTCAAGTTTGGCAAGATGCAAGCCCTGTACAATGCCGCGCGACAGGCCGCCGTCAGTCGAGCGAACCAGATACAGCAAAGCCCCAGCCGGTTCAAGTTTGACGTCATCGTCAAGACCCCTATTGTCGTCTTTCCGCGCCTCATGATTCCCGGCCGCCCGAAGCGCGACCTGGTCACGGCCTACCTGGGTGAAATTTACGCCCAGAACAAGTTTGCTCCCCTGGACGACAGCAAAGACGCCGAGATTGCCATGAAGATTTCCGCTGGAATAAGAAACATCCGACTGACATCGGATCTGCACTACGAAGGGGATAGGTCGGAGGAGCTGGAGATGATTGATCATGTCGATCTCGGGTTCAATGTCACCTACGCGGAGCACAAGCCCGGTGTGAAGCGTCCAGATACCGAGATCGAGGGCTCGCTCTCCGACATCAAGCTCCGGCTGACGCAGCATCAACTCAAGTTTTTGATGGAGATCTCCAAGTCTGTCCCCGCCGCGTTCGCCGGAGAGGGCGGCGACACGGACGAAGAGGCTGCCCGGCTCGTCGACGAAGACACTCTGCAGCGAGCCAGGACCTTGCCGCCGAGTGACGCCGCAGACCAGCACCTCGTCGACCTCTCACCAGAACTCGGCACGGTCGAAAACACGTGGACCAAGCTTGATCTTGTGTTCCAGGCGGGCTCCGTGGGCCTGGAGCTCATCATGGCCAACGAGGACGAGCCGGTCGGTGACCTAGCCGCGTCGAGTCTCTCGCGCTTCTCGCTCGACGGAACCAAGGTGAAGACACGGATGCTCTCTGATGGATCGCTCGAGGCCGAGCTCCTCATCCATTCCTTTACGATCCAAGACAGCCGCCCGCGAGAGTCCAACAAGTTCCGTCGCATCATGACTTCATCCAACAAGGAAGCACAGCAGCTGATGGCAAGCGTCACAATGTCTGGCGGTGCGGAGCGTAGCATCATTGCAATGGCCACCATCGACAGCCCCCGCGTCATATTCGCATTGGACTATCTCTTTGCGCTGCAAAAGTATGCGACGGAAGGATTGGCCGTCGACGAATCGAGTCCGATGGACGACGAGAGTCTGCTCGAGTCTCCGGACGAATCGGACGCAGACTCGATGCAGGTGACTTATACCGGCGCAAGGTCAGGACGGGCCAAGTCCCAGGCCTCTCGGCAGCGGACTGATGCACAGGACATTGCCCCGCAGGAGGGCGGCCCGACCACGAGCGTTGCATTCCGCGTCAACCTCGTGGACGCTCAGGTCATCCTGATCGCCAACCCGCTGAGCGCCAGCTCCGAGGCGATTGTGTTGAACATTCGCCAGGTCCTCCTCTCTCAGCAGCACGCCCTCACGTTCCAAATCTCCGAAGTTGGCATGTTCCTGTGCCGCATGGACAAGCAGGAGACGTCGCGGCTGAGAATCATCGACGACTTTTCCATCCAGATGAACATGGACACGTCGCAGCCATCTCTGACGAATATTCACATCGAGGTGCAGCCCCTGATTCTGCGGTTGTCCCTCAGAGACATTCTTCTCGTCCTCCAGATCGTCAGCAGAGCGAGCGAGCTGTCTGGCATAGAGTCCAACGAGCCCGGCGAGACGCCAGCGGAACAAAAGGCCAGGCAGCTGCGTAACGCAAGCATCAAGAACAAGTCCCTCAGTGGCCGTGGCCATTCCACCATAGCCAAGACCAAGGGCACGCGGACGATTGCCACCAAGAACCCTCAGATACCAGTCCAGAGCCAGCCGTCGGCTCTTGCCAGGCACGAAGAGCTCACCGCCACGATAGAGGGCGTGCGAGTCGTTCTGATTGGCGACCTGCACGAGCTGCCCATCCTCGACATTGGCGTCAAGGACTTTACCGCCACCGCGGAGAACTGGTCCTCTAATCTCAAGGCCGAGGCTGCCATCGAGTTGTACTCTAATGTGTACAATTTCTCCAAGTCGAGCTGGGAGCCGCTTGTGGAACCCTGGCAGGTCGGGTTCGGCGTCGCCAAGGAGCCTGTGTCGGGTCTCTTGTCCGTCGACGTGGCATCGAAGAAGACGTTTGACATAACCATCACTACCGCGACGATTGCGCTCGCGTCCAAGTCGCTCGACTTTTTGACCACAGAGCAAGACGTTCTCGACAAGCCACGCGGTGTCGAGGCGCCGTACCGGATCAGAAACTACACGGGCTTTGGAGTGGTACTTCATTCCAAGAGCCCCACGAGCGAGGAGCCGCTGTCTTTGACTCTCGAGGACGGGCAGGACGCCCCGTGGAGCTTCGAGCACTGGGAGAAGATGCGAGAGAACCTCCTCACCGAGTCTAGCCAAAACGACGTAACCCTCAGGTTGGAGGGCAGCGGGTTCGACCCTGTCAAGAACGTGCGAATCAACCGCGAGGGCGAGTTTCTGTACAACCTCCGGCCAAAGACGGACAACGTCTCGCATCGAATCTGCGTCGAAGTGAGCCTCGGCGCCGACAATGTCAAGAATGTCACGCTGCGGTCACCGCTGTTGGTCGAAAACGCCACGCAGATCCCAGTCGAACTGGGCGTTTACGACGCTCAAGAAGGCCACTTGCTCAAGATTGAAAAGATTGCACCGGGCGACGCGCGCCCCGCACCCGTCGGCGCCGTATACGAGAAGCGTGCGCTCGTGAGGCCCGACAGTGGCTTCGGCTACCAATGGAGCCGAGACCAGCTTTGGTGGAGAGACTTGCTCAAGCGGCCGACGAAGCAGCTGGTGTGCCAGGGCGAGAACGGCGACCCGTTTTATTTTCAGGTCCACGCTGAATACGACAAGTCGAACCCCATGTCCAAGTAAGTCCTCGTGCGCCGTCACCTAGCATATCTAACAGGTGTAGGGTCTATCCGTATATGAAGATTAAGCTATCCGCACCCATCACCCTCGAGAACTTGTTGCCGTACGACTTCAAGTATAGGATATACGACAAAAACACCAAGAAAGACTGGTCCAACTTCTTGCGCAAGGGTGGCGTCAGCCCCGTCCACGTCGTCGAGCTCTCTCACCTGCTCCTGTTGAGCATCGACATGCAAGACACCGTGTTCAAGGCCAGCGACTTTTCCATCATCAATTCTGGTAGTGCCGAGGACTTTCGCAAGGAGGGTCGCATCATCGTCAAGGACGATCAGGGTCTGCCGCTGAACCTGGGGCTGCACTACTTCAAGATCCCCAACAGCGGAGGCGCCTTCAAGGTCACCGTCTACAGTCCCTACGTCGTATTAAACAAGACCGGGCTCGACTTACGGATCCGCGGAAAGAGCTTCCTGCAGCAGGCCAAGCCGGCAGCTGGTCAGTTCCCGCTCGTGGACACGTCAGACCAGGACCGGCCCAAGGCGCTTCCGTTCATGTTCTCGTACGGCAACGACGACAACCGCAACCGCGCGCTCCTCAAGGTCGACGAATCGGAGTGGAGCAAGCCTCAGAGCTTCGACGCCATCGGCAGCACGTCCGAGGTCATCCTCCCGTCGTCCTCGAAGCAAAAGGAGATCCATATCGGAATCACGGTTAACGCCGGAGAGGGCAAGTACAAGATGACAAAGGTCGTGACGCTCGCTCCTCGCTTCGTGCTCGAGAACAAGCTGGGCGAGGAGGTGTTTGTCCGAGAGTCTAGTTCATCCGGCTACATGACCCTCAAGTCCGGCGCCCTCCAGCCCCTCCACTTTATGCAAAAGTCGCCGGTCAAGCAGCTTTGCCTCTGCTATCCCGGCGTCGACAACCACTGGACCTCGCCGTTCAACATTGCCGACATTGGAACGACGCATGTCAAGATTGCAAAGGCGGGCCAGCGGCAGCGGCTCGTCAGAGTCGAGATCCTGCTCGAAGACTCGACCATCTTCCTCCACCTGAGCATGGAGACGAAGAACTGGCCGTTTTCCATGCGCAACGAGAGCGACACCGAGTTCACCTTTTTCCAGGCCAACCCCAACGTCGAGGACGACGATGTCGAGGACCGCAGCGGGTGGAAGCCTATCCGATATCGCCTGCCCCCGCGAAGCATCATGCCCTACGCCTGGGACTTTCCTGCGGCCAAGTTCCGAGAGATTGTGATCGCGACGAACCACAAGGAGCGACACGTCAAGTTGGCGGAGATTGGCAACCAGATACCGATGAAGTTTGTGACGCCGGACGGGCATCAAAAGATTATCGACATCAACGTCGCCGCCGACGGGCCAACGCAAACCCTTATCCTCAGCAACTTCCGCGCGAGCCGCAGCATGTACAAGCCCAAGGCCTTGTCCCGGACCAACACGGGCCCGGAGGCGTTTGAGGTCAAGGACCAGGACACGGGCGCGACGTTCCGCGCGCAGCTTAAGCTGTCTGGCGTGGGCATCTCGCTGATCAACGCGCAGCTGAAGGAGCTCGCTTACGTGACCTTTAGGGACGTGCAGTTCCGCTACAGCGACTCGCCGCTGATTCAGACGGTGTCGCTCGCCGTCAAGTGGATGCAGATCGACAACCAGCTCTACGGCGGCATCTTCCCCATGATCCTGTACCCGAGCGTCGTCCCCAAGAAAGCCAACGAGGTCGACGCCCATCCCTCGCTGCACGCAATGGTGAGCCGGGTCAAGGACGACTCGTACGGCGTGCTGTACATCAAGTACGCCACGATCCTGCTGCAGCAGATGACGGTGGACCTGGACGAGGATTTCGTCTTTGCCCTCCTGGACTTTTCCAACGTCCCTGGGGCCAGCTGGACCGCGGTGGACGAAGAGGGCAAGCTGTGCGATGCGGACCTGGACATTCCCGAGCCGTCTCAGCAGCAGTCGGGCCAGGACATTTACTTTGAGGTGCTCAACATCCAGCCGATGCAGCTCGACCTGAGCTTCATGCGGACCGAGCGCGTCAACGCCGAGGACAAGACGACGACGAGAAACCCCGTCATGTTCTTCTTGAACGTCATGACGATGGCCATCGGAAACGTCAACGACGCCCCGATCCGCTTCAACGCCCTGCTGCTGGACAACGTACGGGTGTCGACGCCCGTGCTCATACAAAACATTTCCAACCACTACAGCCAGGAGGTCATGTACCAGATTCACAAGATTCTGGGGTCGGCTGATTTCCTCGGCAACCCCGTGGGCCTGTTCAACAACATCTCCTCTGGCGTGACGGACATCTTTTACGAGCCGTACCAGGGTCTGATCCTCTCGGACAAGCCAGAGGAGTTTGGCCTGGGCATCGCCAAGGGCGCGGCATCGTTTGCAAAGAAGACGGTGTTTGGCTTCAGCGACAGCTTCTCCAAGTTCACCGGCAGCCTGAGCAAGGGCCTGGCGGCCGCATCGCTCGACAAGCAGTTCCAGGACAGGCGACGCATCACGAGGGCTCGCAACCGCCCCAAGCACGCGCTCTACGGCGTCGCCGCGGGAGCCAACTCGTTCTTCACGAGCGTCGCGTCGGGCGTCGGCGGCCTGGCACGGAAGCCGCTCGAGGGTGCCGAGCAGGAGGGCGCGCTGGGCTTCTTCAAGGGCGTCGGCAAGGGCGTGCTCGGCCTCGCGACCAAGCCGGCCGTCGGCGTGCTGGACATGGCGAGCAACGTCAGCGAGGGCATCCGCAACACGACGACGGTGTTTGACGGGTTCGAGCTGGACCGCACGCGCTACCCGAGGTTCATCTCCAACGACGGCATCGTGCGGCCGTACAACCCGCGCGAGGCGCTGGGGCAGTACTGGCTGAAGCAGGTCGACAACGGCAAGTACTTTAACGAGCAGTACATTGGCCACCTCGAGCTACCAAAGGAGGACATGGTCGTCATGATTACGTTTGCCCGGATCCTGCTCATCAGGTCGAGGCGCCTGACGAGCGAGTGGGACATTCCGCTCAAGGACCTGCAGACCATCGCCAAGGAGCGCACCGGAGTGAGCCTGGTGCTCAGGGGCGGGGCCAACGGGCCCTTCATCCCAATCGGGGGCGGCAGCGAGAGGGCTTTCCTGTACAAGATGATTGGGGTCGCGGTGGAAGAGTTTAACCGGCGGTTTAGGGGCGGGGAGTAGTGGCTCCCCGGCTGCATGGTGAGGTGAGGCCACGCGCGCTGCACGAGTCCGGGGCGGCAGTTGGCTTCAAGCGGCGAAGCATAGCTTTACGTGGGTCGTTTGATGACAGCATGGCATGGGCATGGATGCGCCTCGGCCACGGGTTTCGCGGGGCGCAACGAGCAGTAGAATAGACGCCGCCGGATTCCGGTGCAGGCGGGCAGGCTGGCATCGTTATGCGCGTCTATAGTTACCTTTTCCGTTCATGTATAGCCACTCTTACCTAGCAACGATGACGATATGATCGACTAGTCCTTGAACGGTACGCGGGGATGCGTCTCGGACCGGGTAGTAGCTCTGCATTGCCGGAGCGAGTGTCAAGGCGTGAGAGACGAGCTGGGGCTGCTGGCTCGACCCGATCGACGGCAAGCTGCAGCTCCCGGCGGCGTGGCAAGTGGACCGCCCATGACCAACGCCCAGCGTGAGGCTCCGTGACTTGGACTGCAGAAGTCATAACCCCAGCTTCTCAACGCATGGAGCTGACCGACAATGGAGCGGGTGGCTCCGAAGTTCTGGGATTAGACGCCACGGGGTCAATACGTAGTCTCCCCAAGTGGGCTCATGGTCCGGACAAGGCAACTCTATCGACACGACCGCGGAGAGAGCGTGGAGACGATGTCTGGGGCAGAGCTCGACGCTTTGATGCGGCGCGGCGCGGCGGCGCTTCAGCCCACGATTCCGGAAGCGAGGCTGGCGATGTGACAGCCGCGCGTGGGACGGCATGTCTCTCGCGTGTCCGGGGACCCCAGACCGGTCCACCCGCCCACGGCAGCCCCCTAACCAAAGCGGGAGATCACCTAGATGGAAAGGCGGCGCGACGGGCCTGGGGAGCAATAGTTTGATGAAGGGGCCACCACCTTCCACCCACAAAAGAGAATGCTCTGGGGCGGAGGCTAGGCGCGTAGCATGCCCGTTTCGGGCGACGGGCGTAGGCTGGCATGCCTGGATGAATTGGAGGGCGGCGTTATCGAACAAACACCTTCCTCGCCAAGGGTTCTAGCCCGGGATCGTGGCGCGACCAACCCGGGGTGCTGGGCTGTTCCCGCATCCCGCGTTCGCGTCCGCCTCCGCGGCCAACGCGCTGCTGCAAGACAGCGGCTGCAAGGGCGGCAGGCAAGGCAGGATAGGCACGGCGCGTTGGTCGCGGCGTGGACGGGCTCTGGGAGACACGCTGCTATCTTGATATGAGCCTGGGTGGCGCAATCTTTGGCGAGCGAGAGATATCGCGAAAAATGTCAGCGATCCTCGGCGGGCACCTCCGATGAGAGATTTGCTCGCCAGGGAACTCGGTCAACGAGATGTACCAGCGGCACGAAGTAGCACATGCGAAACACGGCTTTCCCGCTCGCGACAGGTGAATCAACGGCCCCGCGCCGCCGGTGGCCTCACCGCGGTCTGCGTCCACCACCCGTCCGTCAAGAGTCTGGGGATTCCGGGGACGCGCTCCCAGTCGGAGGTGGCCGAAACTGGCCGTCCGGGGTAACGTGGTGGCGCGTTCCCACTGCCACCGTCCGCACCACTCGTATCTCTCCGCACTGCTGCCGCAGCTCTCCACACGGAGTATTCCTCAGGACCGGGGCTGTCTCTTATACACATCTAGATGTGTATAAGAGACAGTTGTCTCCCTTACGTACTGTAAACGTCAGCGACGGCCAGGCGGGCATGGGCAAGCGATGAAGGGCCGTTTGTTGCGTCGTGGAATTGTGCGAGACCCACATGCAAGGCCCAGGCCCTGATATGTCAGATGCTGGTCGCTCGGGGCGAGTTTTCCGTCGCACGAGGCACGTGAAAGGGCGGACTGTGACGTTGTCCGTCGCGGTCGATTCTGCGGCTCTATGCGGGCGAGCGTTGGCCCTACAAGACTCGCCTTTCCAGATAGTCATTGTTTCCTTGAAGCGCGCGCAAGAAGGCCGCGAGGCCCAGCAAGCCTGGCGCCGCAACGGGGCCGCCAGCGAAAATCTCCAGCGGACGTCTGGCACCGAACGGGTGCCGAGGTGGGTGTGGCGCATGGGAATCAGGAACCCTGGCTCCGGACCCGCCAAAGAGGGGGAGGGGGCGAGTGTGGATGCGGCTTGTTGAAGGTTGTCGCGTGCCAGGGCTTGTCTCTGCCCGGGATGCGTCTTCCCCACACTGCACAACAGTTGGATTCTCTCGTCCGGGCACTCATTGCGCTGTGTGACGGACGACAATCCATGACCCTTCTCGGGTATGACAGACACACGGAAGTTAGCTCACTGACGGTGGATGAGACGACTCGCATCGGAACCGTCCTGGGACTCAATCGAGGGTTCCTCGACCGCCGGCGGAGTGCCAAGTGACACCGTGCGACTTGCACAAACTCGACTGCCACAAGCCGTGGCATGCCGGGAGGGGCCTTTGCCAGCCGTCTGCGTCGACGTCGGCTTGGGCTTCGAGAAGGGCCATGGTGCAAGCCACACGCAGCCACTGTGAGAGACCTGCCATCGAGTTGCATGGCGACAGCCAGACATCCAGCGCGCCAGTTCAAGCTGGCCTGCGATCAGCAAGCCTCGCGCCACGGACCAACCACATCGGAGCCGACCGACAAACAGAAGTCCCTTGTCGTCTTTGTTCCGCGATTGTTTGCGACAGCTGAGGGGGGCCGGGGTTCGGATACCAGACGCCAAGGGGGTGCTGCTGCAGACATGCTGCGGGGGCGATATCAACGGAAAACGGGCGCCTGACAGCTGATTAGCATCCGAGCCGTCTGGCGGGCTCCTGATCGTTATCCTTGTCCGTGGCTGCCACTACCAGGATGAGGATGTTTTGCTGATGCTTCGAATCTCCTTATCGAGTCCGTCTCGACTCGGCTGCTGCCAGGAGATTGCGCCCACGCGCCTGGCAGACGCCGACGAGGCAAGGTAAGCGCCCGGCAACGGCTTGGAGCTCGGCGAGGTCCTGGGGGCGGCGAGCTAAGCAGAGCTCAGGCGCGGCGGAGGCGTCGCAGGTTTGTTCTCCTTGGCGAGGCACATCGACGGAGACTCGCATAATCAGCGCGGGGAGCGAATGCGATGCACGAATGCCACAAGATAGACACTGGGACAGTGTCGCGGGCCCGGATTCCACAGAATCCACACCGTGTGAGCGCCAACCCCTTGGCAGGCGGACGCTAATCGCCCGCTGCTGAGTCGCCGGCCAGCCAGAGCCAGCCGGAGGGCTCGCGGGGCAAATTTTCCTTTTCTTCGCCTCTCCACCACTGCCTATTCCGGACCATGTTCCGCGTCCAGCGAGATAACAGCAGCGCTCGTCAGCTTCAGCTACCTGGAAACCTTCCTCAAGAGGCATGCTGCCGCCGTGCTGGGCCGGGCCCGGGCCGCGTGCTGACCACGGCGCGCGCGCCAGAATCGCCACGACATGCCCCGTGCGACTGCGTTGCCTGCCTTGCCTGCGATGCTTCGGCTCTCTCGCGGCCTCGCCGACGACCGCAGCGAGCGAGGTTTCGTCGACGGCCGCCGTCCATTCGTCGCCGCGTCGCAGCCGCCTGCTCTGCCGAGGGACACAGCCGCGGCGGCCCTGCGCTGCATGCCCGAATCGTCGTGGGGTGGTGGTGGTGAGCGCTGGGAATTGGGTGTGCAGGTCCCTGGGCGGATGCGAGAGCCACCTCCATGGCCGCTCGGCGGAATACTGCGCCAGAAGACGCCACCCAACCGTAGCCCATGGCACTTTTTTCCTCCCCGACTCGTCTGGCCCCTCGATTGGGACGCCGGCCCGCTGGGCGCTGGGAACGCCTGTCGTCCTGTGCCTGTGGCGCCGCGAAGCGAGCGTGCGTGCCTCTGGAGAAGGCTCTGTCTCCCGCCGCCGTCGCCGCCGACAAGCCGCCGCGGCTCATCGGTCCTCGAGACCGCATCGCGAATTGTGCTGGACGGTACGGCACCATGTGGCAGGCAGCGACGACGGGCCAGCACGATAGGTAGGCAGAGCGGGCCGGCACGCGACAGGTGGACCGGCATCGTTCGACAGAGGGAGCATGGCGCCCGCGCACACGAGGGCATCGCGCGAGGCCATCGTGACATGCGCACCGTGCCTCCCCACGGGCGTGCCCTCGACGGCGGCACCTTGCCCCAATGTGGCCACCGACGTGGTGTGAGAGGAGGGACGGCAGAAAGCATTGGTGGCGTGGCAAGCGAGCCCCCCCCTGTCCGCGCCTCTGCCCGGCCGCAAGCCACCCATCCGGTGGCCTCGTCCACCACCACCACCAGCCGGGCTCGATGCATCTGTCGGACCCTCACCCTCAGCGGCGATCAGTCGCAGCGCGAGGCCTAGTGGATCGCTAGGGTCCCTCTCCACTTTGGTCCTGCTCTGCGAACCCCACAGTCTCTCTGGTCCGGGTCCCAAGCCCAAGTTCGAACCACAGCGGCGCCTCCGAGCGGATACAAAAAGTCCTTTCCTCGTCTGACCCACGAGAGGGAGCTTTCCTTTGTCTCTTTGCCCTCGTCGCCGCGCCTTGTCTGCGTCCCGTATCATGGTCTTGTAGGTGCGCTGCTGCCACAGCCTGCGTCCCGCTTGATTCCGTCTTTTTCTGCCTGCTGCGAAGCTCATTGCGTGGCCACTGCCTGCCTCGCACCGCACGCCCCGTCTCTTACACGCGCGCTGTGACCGTCGAGCATCTCGACGCCGCGGTTGGAACACACCCCGGCGCTCCAGGTTGACGGAGAAGATCATCGCATAGCGACAGCAGAGCGCTTCAACAGCTGTCTCGACGGACGGAAACGCAAAGCAAAGCTAGGCACATCGCAGCCATGGCGAGCGACGAGTCCAAGGCCGCCGTCCCCGGCGCCACCACCAACACGGCGGCGCCTGAGCACCACCACACGCCGGGAATGGATCACAACCCAGACCCGGCGCTCGATCCCGTGCACCAGCACCAGCACGTACACCGCCATCACTCGCCCCGCGTCAACGCCGCCGGCCACGACGACGTCGTCTACACCAAGGGCACCAACCTGGACCCCACGCTCGTGCCGACGCAGGACCACCGGCACGACCACCTCGGCCACGCGCACGGCGTCGAAAAGGGCGCCATCGGCACGCCGCCCGACTACAGCGACGACCACGAAAAGGGAGAGGCCGGCGTCGTCCGCACCGCCGGCCAGCTCTCGACCGAGTCGACGTCCAAGTACGCCAAGCTCGGGCCCGTGTACCGCCACCGCCGCATCCTCACGCACCTGTTTCTGTTCCTGCTCTTCACCGGCTGGTGGATCGCCTCTCTGATCCTCCACCGCGACGACAAGAACTGGGTCGTCCCCTTTCTGCTGTGGCTCGCCATCACGCTGCGCCTCATCTTCTTCCACGTGCCGATCCGCTACATCTCGGGGCCCATCCGCTGGGTGTGGCATCACACCGCGCTGGTCATCTACGATGCCATTCCCGAAAAGTTCCGCACCCTCTGCGGCGCGGCGACCGCCATCAGCGCGATCCTCGTCGGCTCCTTTGTGTCTGAGGAAAACTCGGACAACACGCGGGCGAACCGCGCCGTCAGCCTGGTCGGCCTGGCCATCATCCTCTTCTGCTTCTGGCTGACGAGCGCGGCGCGCAGCCGCGTCAACTGGCGCACCGTCATCGGCGGCATGCTGGCGCAGTACATCATTGGCCTCTTCGTGCTGCGCACCCAGGTCGGCTACGACATCTTCAAGTTCATCGCCGACCGCGCCGGCGACCTGCTCGGCTTCGCCAAGGACGGCGTCACCTTCCTCACCAGCCCCGACGTGGCCAAGCTGCCCATGTTCTTCTTTGGCGTCATCCCCGCCATCATCTTCTTCATCTCCCTCGTGCAGGTCCTCTACTACATTGGGTTCCTGCAGTGGTTCATCAAGAAGTTTGCCACCTTTGTGTTCTGGGCGCTCGGCGTGTCTGGCGCCGAGGCCGTCGTCGCGGCGGCCACGCCCTTTATCGGCCAGGGCGAGTCGGCCATGCTGGTCCGTCCGTTTGTGCCGCACATGACCAAGGCCGAGATTCACCAGATCATGACCTGCGGTTTCGCCACCATTTCCGGTTCCGTCCTGGTCGGCTACATTGGTCTGGGTCTCAACGCCGAGGCGCTCGTGTCGTCGTGCATCATGTCCATCCCCGCGTCGCTGGCCATCTCCAAGCTCCGGTACCCCGAGACGGAGGAGACGCTGACGGCGGGTCGGGTCATCATTCCTGACGACGACGAGCACAAGGCGGAGAACGCGCTGCACGCCTTTGCCAACGGCGCGTGGCTGGGTATCAAGATTGGCGGCACCATCATCGCGTCCCTGCTCTGCATCCTGGCCGCCGTCGGCCTCATCAACGGCCTGCTCACGTGGTGGGGCCGCTACCTCAACATCAACGAACCGACCCTCACGCTGCAGACGATTCTCGGCTACGTCTTTTACCCGATTGCGTTCCTGCTGGGCGTTCCCCGAAGGGATCTGGCCGATCTGCCCCCGGGGTCCAAGGAGGATCACGACATCTTCCGCGTGGCCAAGCTCATTGCCGAAAAGGTCATCACCGTAAGTCCGCCGCCTCCCCTCTGCCCGCTCCGTGTTTCATGTCCCGTGTTCCCGTTTGCGTTTGTGATTGTGATGAATGACACCTTGCCGTGCAGAACGAGTACAACGCCTTTTCCAAGCTGGCGAGCGACCCGTACTACGCCAACATGTCGAAGCGCTCGCAGCTCATCGCCACGTACGCCGTCTGCGGCTTCGGCAACATTGGCTCTCTGGGTATCCAGATTGGTATCCTGGGTCAGCTCGCGCCGTCGCGCGGCGGTGACGTGTCCCGCCTCGCCGTGTCGGCGCTCATCTCTGGCGTCATGTCGACGCTGACGTCGGCGACGGTCGCCGGACTTGTGGTGACGACGCAGATCAACAACTTTGCCCAGTCCAACTCGTCGGGTTAAGTCAAGGCTGCTCCCGAGCGAGCGGAGTGTCTGGCGTTGTATGCAATGCAAAAGATTTGCGGCAGAGCGTTGAAGCGGTACTGTGTTCTTGATGCCGTGTTGGCCTACATTTTTAATCGTGTACTGTGCACTCTACTCTACGCATGGCGGAAGCCTGCGGAAGCCCCGTCTGTCTAGACGCGGGATGAAAAGATCAGCCATTGTGCAATCGTGGCGTCCACCAGTGACTGCCGGATGAAACTTGACGTGGCCATTCATTGCTGCTGAATGTCAGGGACCTGATTGTGCCCTTGATCGATGTAATCGTGACGTCCCGTAGTGGCCGGCTCTGTAATTGGCGTCAGCTCGCGATCGTGGAGCGTATCGAGCCTCCGTGAGGCTGTCGTCTCCTGCTTCGTGCGGCGCATGCATCAACAAGCCAAGCCAGCCCGCCGACGCGAACCCGCCCTTTTCCATGCCGTGTAACGTCCGACGACCCCAGATTCCTCCCCCGCAATGCATCGGGCCATGGGATGAAAATAAGGTGCGTGCCGAGCTGCCGGCTGTCCGGGGTTGCGGCGTCGGCGGCCGCGGCAGGCGGCGGAGGCGGCATCCATGCATGCATGCCGTGTACTTGGTACGTAATTTCGGCTCCGGACATCGGGCGGAACCACCACCACCACCACCACCCCCGCTCTCTTAACGGGGGCGGAACGCGGGACCTGCAACCTCAACTCTTTCATGCACGACGTGGGCTGGGCTTAGTTGGTAACTTGGTACTACGTGTGCGCTGCACGACATGGCGAGCATATCAATCCGCAAGTCTATCCGCTGGCTGCCCGGCGAGGCGGAGGAGCCGACGTTGACGGTGGTGCTGACGAGTCCGGCGAGGCGGTTCGTGGACTTGCGCATCGTGAAGCCCGCCGCGAGTGCCACCGCCGACGCAGACGGTACGCAGCGCTGTTATATCCCATGCCACACAACGCGTACTACTCTATGCACATACTAGACCTTGGCAATTCAATGGCCGAGGCCACGTAGCAGCGCGGCACAGCTAACGTCTCCGTCTCCATCTAGAGTCGGATGCGCGCCTTCCCTTCAGCCGGCTCGACTGGGCCATCGCGGGGACATCCTCGTCGACGACACGCGACGACGTCAGCGGGGGCGTAATCACGCACGGCAAGTGGACGCACTGGATCGACTCGACGACGCGCAAGGCAAGCGGCGTGGTCGACGAGGGCGACATGGTGACGCAGGCCGACGGAACGACGCTCGAGACGGGCAGCATGGTCAACCCGGCGACGGGGCGGGTGACTGCGTACGAGGAGGTGTGGGAGGACGAGGAGCCCGCTGCGCCGTGCGTCGTCCTGGAGGTGGATGAGGGCGACGGCGACGACGACGGGGGGGAAGGGAAGGGCAGGCAGGGCAGGGTGGTGCGGCTGGGGCGCTGGTGTCAGGGGTTTGTGCGCGAGGGGGAGAAGATTGCGCTGGAGAGGTGGCTGTGGAGCGGGGAGACGAACAAGTGGCGGAGGACGGTGAGGATGGGGGATTTGGATGTTGCGTGTGAGGCGGCGCTGGAGGAGGGGCGTGAGTTCAAGGTCGGGGAGCGGGTTGGTGAGGATGGGGCGTGGAGGGTTGTGGAGGTGGTTGATGGATGAGGCGTGCGAGGCTCTCCAGATATACGTTGCGCGCTGACAACACTCATCTCTGGATACGCAGTCGATGCACTTCGGCGATAGGGTCGAGAAAGGCCCGGCAATATGGTCGGCCGCACTGCAAAGGCGCACTTGGCCGGAGCTTCAGCCGAGCCCCAGGGGACTGCAGCCGTCCTCGACCCCTTTGTACACCGTGCCGCGGATATCCATCACTATAACTGCTAGGATGAGGCTCTTACTACTACATCTAATTCAGTAAGTACGCAAATGTTGAATGGTCTAAAGCTGTTGAACTCCTCCCCGCCATAACTCCGTCATGCACGCAATGCCCGTCTCATGTATGTATCAAAGCAGGATGCTCACCCACGCAGCTCACTCGGCAGTCCCCGTATGCCCCTCTGCTCCTGCGGCGTCAGCTCAACACCAAAATACTTGTTCAGCGCCTTGACCCGCTCCTCCTCCGACTTGAGCGTCTCCACCACCTCGGCCTCACCATCGCCCGCCATTTGCCGCTTAACCGTGTCGCGAAACAGCGTCAGCAGCCCCTCGACGCGGCCCGACTCCTCGTTCAACACCCCGCGGAACGCCAGCACGTTTTGAACAAAGAAGCTCGTCGGGTTGAACATGGTGTGGTAGTTGCTCACGCGGTAGTCCTCGGCGAACCACTCCACTTCGCTGAAGGCGTTGCGCTCGACCCATTCCGCGCCCGGCGCCGCCTGCGACGAGTACACCCACAGCCGCTGCGCGGGGTCCGTGTGCTGCGCGAGGGCGCGGTGCTCGAGCCGTCCGCGCTGCGGGTGCACCTGCGTGAACTCGAAGCCGTGCTGGAGCGGCAGGGGGATGAGGGCCTCGTCGCGCCCGAAGCCGACGTCGACGGCGTATCGCTGACCGGCGATGGTGACGAGGTTGATCATGTGCGTCCTGCCCAAAATAGACGTCGTCAGTCCATGCCCCATGCCACTCCAAAAGATAATGCTTAAGATGGGGACGAGATGCTCACCAGCCCGAGTACACGCCGCCGCCGACCTGCACCCGCGCCCCGACATTAAGCACCGTGAACCCCAGGCGGCGCAGCACCGCGGCAAAGAAGCCGTTGAGCTCCATGCAGTAGCCGCCCCTGCGGCGCACGACAATCTTGTCAAACAGGGCGTCGAGGTCCAGCGACACGACGCGCTGCTGCGAGTAGTGCAGCGCAAAGGACTCGAAGGGCACGCGCGAGATCTGCCGCGCCATGAGCTCCGTCACGAGCGCGAGCGGGTCGGCGGCGTGCCTCTCGCGCGGGTACCCGACGTGCGCGAGGTAGCGCTCGAGCTGCTCGTCCGTCAGGGCGGGAGCAGGAGCAGCAGCCATTGCGAAAGGCTTTAGGGGGTATGTATAATTGGTCTTGACGGGGTATGCAGTACAGATGAGAGGCACGGCGGCGGGATGACGTGAGAACTTTGAAGTGAAGTGAAAAATTTAAGCTTAATCGTGGTATCTTATTCTTGTGCGGGCGATGGCATCTAGAAAATGCCCTCTATTTAAACGCCCTCCAGGGACAGATCGAGTCAATTATAGAACTTGCAAAAAAGGGCTGGACTGGACCCGCGCTGACGAAGGGCCCCAGAGCTGTATCCATCCGAGATCCGGCACGCCAATTCCGACAATGACGCAAAAAAGGCATGCTAGCTTCGCCTCCGTCGTCTGTCCTCTGCCCAGCTCCCCCATCGCCAAGCTTGAGCTCTCTCCGCCACGCGAAACCCCCTGTGGTGTTTCGAATCAACGTTCGAATTACTCAGCCGGTGCTGCGACTGGGCGGCGGTTCAAACCCATGTGGAATCTGCAGGCTGGGGGAACAAATAGAGACGCGAGCTGGCTCGCTGGAGGGCGCCCGATTCGGAAACCCAAGAAACCGCCCAGCTGAGCCGCTGACAAACGGGCCCCAGGGCGCCGTAGCGGCACGTGGCAGTGCCGGCGCGGCGTGTTGCAAGGTTCCGCTTACATGGCGGGCGATGCGGGCTCGGACGCCAAGCGGATGGCGGGTGGTCCTTCGGAGCTGGCAGGGGGTGATGACAACGATGGCATGGAATGTCTCTTGTTGTTGCTCGCTGGATGCTCTCGAATGCTGCAGTTTCTTCCAGACAAATTGCAAATCGACGATGGAGCGAGCGACGACGGGGACGCATTACCGAAGACGTAGCGCTCCACACCGGTTCAACACCGCCCTCCAAAATTGAACACGTCTGCGTCGGGTTCCAGACTGAGAGCCATTTCCCACAATCACATGCGATGGCCGCTGAATATGCTCAATTACAGCCATCCTGTGTGAGACTACCATGTCGAAACACAGAGAGGGCCGAGTGCTGTCTGCGTGGAGGACGGAGCCCCGGAACCGCATCGCCGGAACGGTCCGTGTCCCCGCCGGACTGCCGCCGGCCGCCAAGGTTGGTTTCGGACCCGGGTCAATTGGATGCGCTCCTTGAGCTAGGCCATTCCGTACGACGACATGTCTTGGACATCACGGCCTTGCGTGTATACCGGCAAATAATCTGGCGGCTTGACAGCTTGGTTGCAACGCTGTTGTGCCCCCAGAAATGTACTCTTGATATAGCGGGAGCGTGTTGATGCTAATCAATCTTCTTAGAGCCTATGTTCACATTGCAGTATCGGCCTTCAGCAACAGGTAAATGCGACATGATATGCCCTGAATACTTCCAGATCACAACTGATATGTGCCACGGCGCCTGGATTAAGTCAATTGAACCGCGAAGCCTCAAGTTGACCGTTTTGTCTCAGGTGTACACTTGGGCCCGACACCCTTATACATGCATCTCGACTTTCCGTCCAAGTCGACGTGCCAATGCGTCTTTGCTGCTCCGGATCTCGAGACGAGCACCGGCGTCGACTCACCGAGCACTGTTATCAGCTCGGGCATCTCTACATCAAGTCCGGGGTGGGCCTCTCCGCTTTATGGAGGGGTTCCGTCTCGGCGCCGACTCGCCGAGTGCGCCCTCCCAACAAGATGGACGAAACCGACGACAGATGGCATGATTGGACAACGGAAGTAGTGGTCGCAGCCTTTGTTTGGCGGTTCCCTAAACTTGGCGTTCACTGGCCTCGAGCAAGCAATCGGCCAGGCGGCTTGTGTAGCTGCGGAGCCGATGTCGCCCGGCTTCCGCCTCGGCGGCGCCTTCCCCGGACTCGGCTCATTGATGCGGAGAGATCATACTCCGCAGCTATAGCCTATAACTAGCCACTTGCGCTTGGTTCCTTGGCCTCAGACTGCCAGTGTTCCACTCCAATGATCCATGAGCGTCGCTCGAATCCAATTCGGCAAGCACAGATAACGCGATGAAGAACGTGACGAGCTCCTCCGTTGGCGACATGGCTGAAGACTCGCGAGGGAAGACGGACGGCATCAACGCCCAGCCACCAACAACATCTCACGTCCTCCACCGCTCGCTCCTCTCGGACCCGGCAACCGTCGTCGCAGCTTCGGGCTCATACATCACCTTGTCCACCGGCCAGCGCATCCTCGACGGCTGCACCGGGGCCGCGGTTTCTGTCATCGGCCACGGCAGTGAGGAGGTACAGGCCGCCGTGCGGGAGCAAATGGCCAAGCTCTCCTACGCCCACACCCTCGCCTTCACGACCGGCGCCGCCGAGGCCCTGGCCGATGCGCTGCTCAAGGACACGCCGTACGGGCTGTGCAAGGCCTACTTTGTCTGCTCTGGGAGCGAGGCCATGGACTCGGCGCTCAAGCTCGCGAGGCAGTATCACGTCGAGACGGGCAACGCCCAGCGGACGCACGTTGTCGCGCGGAGGCAGGCCTTTCACGGCAACACCATCGGAGCGTTGAGCGTGGGCAGCAACGTCGCGAGAAAGGCGCCGTATGTAGGGGCGTTGACGCTCCCCAACGTGAGCCACGTGAGCCCTGCCTACACCTACCGTGCACAGCTCGAGGGCGAGACGGAAGAGTCATACGCCGCGCGTCTGGTGCAGGAGCTCGACGACGAGTTTCAGTCCCTCGGCCCGGACACCGTCATGGCCTTTATCGCCGAGACGGTATGCGGCGCGACGCTGGGCTGCGCGACCGCTCCCCGCGGCTACTTTCAAGGCGTGCGACAACTATGCTCCAAGTACGGCATCTTGTTGATCCTTGACGAAGTCATGTGCGGCAGCGGGCGGTGCGGCACGTATTTTGCCTTTGAGCAAGAGGGCGAGGGCGTGTATCCCGACCTCCTCACGCTGGGCAAGGGTCTGGGCGGCGGCTATTCGCCCATCGCGGGCGTCTTGATCCACGAAAAGGTGATACGCGGTCTCCGACAGGGAAGCGGCTCATTCGTCCACGGACACACCTACCAGGCGCACCCCGTCGCGTGCGCGGCCTCGCTCGCGGTGCAAAAGGTGCTGCAGCGCGACGACCTGGTGCGTCGCTGCGCGGTCAAGGGGCGGTGGCTCGAGGAGGCGCTGCGGTCGGAGCTGGGCGGGCGTAGGTTCGTCGGCGACGTGCGCGGCCGGGGCTTCTTCTGGGCGCTCGAGTTTGTGGCCGACAAGAGCAGCAAGGAGCCGTTTGCGCCGGACTTGCATGTCGCGACGAGGGTTCGCGATGAGGCGCAGAGGCGCGGGCTGGCGGTCTATCCTGGGACGGGGACGGCGGACGGGACGCGCGGTGATCACATTATTGTCGCGCCGCCGTATAACGCCTCGGACGCGGAGCTGGCGGACGTGGTGAGGTTGCTGAAGGAGGCGTATGAGGTGGTTGAGGAGGAGTTGGCGGCGGTCATGTCTTCATAGGTGACTTAATACATATCTTGGGATAGGAGCAATTCTTCTCCGAATTATCAAGTACGCCGCTTGCCAGGTGCTATTCTCGCTCCTGCCAGTTTCACGCGCCGTGCGACGCATGCACTACCCCCGCCCTCTTGTGTGAGGTCTTCCCGTCCAAGTGGCCATAGCATAACAGTCTGGTAACTTCAGCCAAGGACTATGATTGCTGGAGATGCCACAAGCAGATTCCGACTGGACTAACACGGGCAGGGCCAACGTTCTCCTCAGATGTGCGCGCACCAACGTCCCGGACAAGCACAGTGTATATTATCCACCGAGAGGTTCACAATACTCACCCACGTGCCTTTAGGACTCTATCAGATGAACGACAGGATCCTGAAGTTATTTTGTTGTTGTTGCTTTTTTCGCGTTCGAGTCGGGGCAGCTGTTCGTCGTGGATCGCATGTAAGTCGCCCCGCGTCTCACCGCAGGGAGTCAGGGACCATGATCCACCAACACGAACCAGGTCACGAAGCGGCATCGAACGTTGACCAGCCACGGTCGCAGTGTGTTGTCCCGGCACATCCACGTTGTGCGATTCCCTTGCCCTCACGTCCAGGCGGCCATCGCAGAAACCTGGCCCGGCGGTGCAATAACCTGTAATTCAGTTGCCTAAAGACTAGCGAGGGCAAGCATCAGGCACCGATTTAACAGCCTTCGCAAGGGTCCACCACCCAGCGGCGCATTAGTTGCTTGGTCAACATTGCCCCCTCCCAATAACACCGCTGAAACGGCGCGCGTTGGAGTTGGCAGCGAATCCCTTCGTTCTTCAATGGTTCGAAAACAGGGTCTATCGGCTCACCAAGCGAATGGGCAGACGTCTGGTCTTCAATCTCGGTAGACGTAGGCAGCAGCATGGCGTGTTGATCAACAACAGAATCGCCGGGCATCGCGGGTTGTTGGGCGTGCTGGCAAAGCATTGCACTCCATGCACTGTCGCGACGACTCACGTATAAATGCGGCCGGGTCACGCTCCGGAATAAGCTACGAGGCCACATCCCACTTTCGAGCTCACATCCCGACACCATGGAAGACTTTTACATTGAGAACGCCGACCGGTTTCGGGCGCTGGTGCAGCGCGCCAAACTTGAGCCTCCACGCCAGCCAACTGGCACCGTGCCGGCGACTCGCGATATGACCGTCGTGGCCCGCATCCGCCCCTTGACCGCCGACGAGATTGAGTTTCCCGAGGCTGTCTTTGCACGTGCGAGGCAGCAGGGCGTTGTAGATGCACACGAGCTGAGAAAAGCCGTTCGCGGGCCGCCTGTGCTCAAGGTACAATACATTCTCTAGCCCGCCAGGATGCACAAATGCACCGTTGACGAGTGCTGACTTACACATCCGAAGTCGTCGGTCTACACTGTCGACCGCGTATATGGCCCCGAGGACACGACAGAGGCCATTTACGACGACGTAGTTCGCGAGCTCGTCCCTTGGAGCTGGGGCGGCGGCATCAGTACGCTGTTCGCCTACGGCCAGACCGGGAGCGGCAAGACGTTTTCCATCAGCGGCCTGGAGAAGCTCGTCGCCGAGGCCATCATGGGAGGCTCCCTCGAGGGCGAGCGCAAGGTTTACGTCTCCATTGTCGAACTAGCCGGGGCGTCATCCTTTGGTGAATCTTCTTGCCCAGCCTTGGCACCACACACAAACTAACATGGTGTTCGCCCACAGATCTGTTGAACCAGCGGAAGAGCATCTCCATCCTCGAGGACGCATTCGGCGTCACGCAGCTTGCCGGAGCGCTTGAGCACCACGTCCAGAGCACGGCGGAGCTCCTTTCTCTCATCGAGACGGCCACCGAGTTCCGCCGCACCGAGGCGACGGCCAAGAACGACACCTCGTCGAGGACGCACGCCATTTGCCGCCTGCGCATCGAGATACCCAGCATGCCCACCGCCGACGACGGCATCTTCTACCTCATCGACCTCGCGGGCTCCGAGGGCGCGCGCGACAAGCAAGACCACAGCCCCGAGCGCATGCGAGAGTCTCGCGCCATCAATGTTAGCTTGTCCGTCCTCAAAGACTGCATCCGCGGCAAGACGGAGCATGACAATGCCGTGATGATTGGTCAAGGACGAAGGAAGCCGCATGTGCCGTTTCGACAGAATCAACTCACCAAGGTTCTCAAACATGTATTCGACCCCGCGGGGACGCGGTCGTGCAAGACTGTGGTCTTGACCTGCATCAATCCGTGTCTGGCAGACGTCCATCCTGGTCGAAACTCCTTGCGCTTCGCCGAGATGCTGCGCGTGTTTGTACCCACAGCCAAGGAGGCGACTTATGATGCCAAGTCGCCCATCACTTGGGACAATGAGCAGATGCGCGCGTGGATAGATGCAAATGTGAGTCTAGAGAACATGCCTCTCACGCTGGGAACTAGCGCAAGCTGACTTGGCGTAACAGTCGGGCTCGCCGGCCATCTCATCGGAGCTTCTCGCACCAACCGAGACTGGCGCGCAGCTGCTGCGTCTGCCAGCCCCTGAATTCGAGCTTCGGTGCCTCAAAACCGAAGGGGTCACGCCCGAGCAGGCCACGGCGTTTCGCTCAAAAGTGTGGCAGACGCACGTCGACGCCCAGCGCGCTCGCGCCAAGAGTGCCTCCCGAGGCGGCGGCCCTGACGGATCGACCAAGTTTCCCGAGAGTACCGACGAGCTTTTGCGATTCGTTAGTGTCGTGGATCGTTCTTCGAGCATTGAGCCTCAAGAAGAGATTCGCGCTCTTGACTTTAAGGAACGAATCCGGCCAGGCATGGTAGTCGCGTGGACACCGCCCGAACGGTATCCCATGGGCCTGGCCGATGGGCTGAAGCTCGTGGTGGTGCTGTGTCCAGTGGCGAGCATGGGTGATCACGGCACATTGGACGCCAAAGGCGAGATGATCGGCCCCAATGACGAGGGCAATACGGACGCCGGTGGGCGGCCGGCAAAGTACCTCTGCGCGCTTGTGAACCCGGGTGTCATGTCCGGGGCGTATGAGGTGAGCATGTGGCGACAGCTCGCTATTGATGTGTCGTGGATGGACAAGGAGGTACTGCTCGAGTATGATCCGGCTACACGATTCTACTACATTGCAGTGTAGAGTGCCGGCGGCGTTGGAATCGGAAGGTTGCCACTGCAAGACCGAACGGCTCTTTGCGCGGTGTGTGTATCTACGTATTTACTGTCGCTTCTGCTTATTATGGCTGTATTCGCATCCCGTTCTTTCCCAAGCTCGTTTCCGTATAGTGCTTCTCATGCCTCTAGTGCCTGAGACTCATCAGGGCATGGTGGCGGGCAAAGGTATTGCACAGGTGACTATCACCTCCTATTACGCGAAGAGGAGCAGACACTTCACTCAGTTGCCAACTGTACTCTCGGAACACCACATTTTCCTGGATGATATAGTCGTCCATTGTCTGTAATCTGGTATTGACACGCCCGTTAATCGTGACCACCATTTCATGCTTCTCGCACCCTTGGACCCCCTCCAAAATTGGAATCCAGTCGAAGGCTTCGGTAGCTCCCGAGCCCTCACTTCATATTAATGACTGGAGACCTAGCATGGCTAACGACCTCTGCCGGAAGCTCATATGTAGTTGGGTCGTAGTACATCTTCGAGGAGCCTGGAGCCTCGTACACAATACCCCTGCCGTGTTGAGGTTGCGAATATGGCGGCATCGAGGTCCCGCCGCCCTCACCAAAGTATGCTTTCGGCACGTCCAGATCAGCCGCCTGGCGTGCATCATGTAATCCGGACTCAACTTTTCTCAGTCGTCGGCGACGCATGATGAGCCAAACCACACCGCCGATGATGGTCACGGCAGGAACACCGACGCCGACGCCGACGCCGACACTGACTCCGAGATTCGAGCTCGACGATGCCTCCTGCGTAGGCACAGATGACGCTGAAATGCTGGCTGCCACGGATTGCGGCCCGGTGCTAACGCTTGATGTTGTCTCTGTGCGTGACGTTTCTGATGTTCTAGAGATTGTACTCGTGATCATGGATGCTGTTGTCGGCGAAACCCCGATGGTCGTGAACGGTGTCGGTTTCTCTGCAGCATCAATTAGTTATCAATGCACGGCCAGCTCCTCGCACTATTAGAAACATGAATCGGTAGTGGACACCAAGCCCCTACTCACCTTGGAAAAGAAGAACATTCTCCTGCTTGCCGCAGTCCACATCATTTCTGTTGATACAGTAGAAGAGCTTTCCAGACCCTACGCTGCAAATCCCTATGCCCTCACCCCCCGCGACGTTGTCATCGTCAGGGTTCGAGCAGAACAACGGGCAGGCATTGCTACGCCAAGTCTTGTCGGTGCAGCTGCCACGAACGTAAAGTGTAGCGCCGTCTTTCTGGAGCTCCTTTCCCGTCGCCATGCACATGTTGTTGCTAAGACAGGCGTAACCTTGCCCGCAGCAAGTGGAATGTTGCATGCTATCTCGGCATGGCGTATCTTGGCTGGCGACGTTTCCAGAAGGAAAGTAGCAGAGGCACCGTCCCGGCGATAATAACCACAAGAAGGTTAAAAAGAGCAGACAAAAACGAATTGGTCGCGAAGCACGCATGGCTCTTAAAGCCTGTCCCGATGCTGGCAAAGAGGATACACAACACCAAAATCAACGATAGAAAAGTTGCAACTGACAGAGTAAACATGAATCGCCAGAGCGAGGTTTATTTCGTTACACTGATGGCAAGAGTGCCCTGTAGACGGAAGCGCCCGCCAATCTTGTGTTGGTTGTTGGTTGTCCGACGCGACAACAGGTGCATATTGTGTCACCAGAGGGCGAATGACAGCCGCAAGGCTAAGCGCCAGGAGTCTTCAATCTTGCCATCAATCGGCTGCGTAGCACAACATCAAGTGAAAGTCCCTTCTTATCAATTCTAATAATGGAAGTACGGCGTACTTTGTAATTCGGGGTTTGCACGCCTGCCACTAGTCTGTAGCCGCCGCCGCCGCCGCCGCCGCCACGATCCACGGACACACACGTAGACATGTCGCATCCTGCAGGTCAGGTCCCTCGTTTCGAACCCCTGCTCGGACGCAGCCATTGGATATCAGAGCAGCACGTGAAAAGCTACATTGTCGGGCAGCCAGCATCGCCTGCCTCCGTGCTTCATACCTTGTCCTCACTCCAGCTCCTTTGCAATCGCAACTCAATTCATCCCTCACATTCCATCATCTCCATCTGCTTAGATCGCTTGTCAATGAACCCCGCCACATAACGCTCAATGTCAGCCGTCAGGAGATACCTGGTCGCCGCGGGACTAGTCATCATTATTATTTCCGTCTGGCAACGATGGGGTGCAGACACCTGGAGCCCGTTGGCAACGCCGACCAAGTCGCATATCCAGCCCATAGACAAGGACTTTTTCTGGCGTACAGTAACGCATCAGTACCCAGTCACTTCTTTTCGACCGCTACCCACGGCTGCTGTCGATGTTCTGCCTCATGTCCAAGCCAAGTTTGGACCCGAGTCTGCCGACCAAAAACAGACTCGCTTAACGCGTCGCGACACCATCAAGCGCGCCTTTTCGCGGAGCTGGAAAGCATATAAAGAGCATGCTTGGCTGCGCGACGAAGTCAAGCCCATCACGGGAAAACCTGTCGACACATTCGGGGGTTGGGGCGCTACGCTCGTGGACTCGCTCGATACCCTCTGGATCATGGGGTTTCGGGAAGAGTTTTCGCTTGCGGTTCAAGCTGTGAGTAACAACATCTCGTTTCGGACAACCGAGGCGGAGACAATCAACGTCTTTGAAACGACAATCCGGTTTCTTGGCGGCTTGCTGGGGGCGTACGACCTGAGCGGTGACACCAGGCTACTATCTAAAGCACAAGACGTCGGAGACATGCTCTACAAAGCCTTTGACACGCCAAACCATCTGCCCGTCACGCGATGGGACATCCACGCGGCTGGAAGAGGCGAAACGCAAACAGCGCACGGAAACACCCTCCTCGCCGAGCTTGGGTCGTTAAGCATGGAGTTCTCCAGGCTGAGCATTGTTACGGGAAACCCAAAGTACTACGACGCGGTTCAACACATTAGCGAGTTACTCGCCGCGTCACAGATGAAGACCAAAGTGCCAGGCCTGTGGCCCATTGTCGTCGATGCGGCGCGTGAAGAGTTTGATCTCGGCTCAGACTACGGCCTCGGCGGCATGTCAGACTCAACATACGAATACTTGCCCAAGATGGCGGCTCTTCTTGGACAAAAGACTGGCATATACGCAGACATGTACCTGCGAAGCATGGAAACATCCAACAGGCATCTCCTCTTTCGTCCTATGACGCCAAAGGGCGACGACATTTTGTTCCCGGGATCGCTCCATGCCAGCCGCAGCAACAATCAGGTCTCTACAACCTTGGATCCAAGCGCGGGCCATCTGACATGCTTTGTCGGCGGCATGCTAGCCGTTGGCGGTCAGATCATGTCCAACAAGACGCATGTCGAGTTGGCGGACAAAGTCACAAAGGGATGCATCTGGGCTTATTCCTCGTTCGGGCGCGGTGTGATGCCGGAAACAATGTCTTTGACGCCCTGTCCATCGCGTTCTGGTTGCGTCTGGTCTGACTCGTCGTGGCATCTCGCCGCTCTATCCGCCCAGTCGGCTTCCAAAGAGGACGATGGGGAAAAGCTCGTCGAGGAGCAGCGGCTCCCCCCGTCATTCACCAAGATCCCCGATGCGCGATATATCCTCCGCCCCGAAGCGGTTGAGAGCATTTTTGTCATGTATCGCGTTACGGGAGATCCCGCATGGCAAGACGCGGCATGGCGCATGTGGAACGCCATTGATGAGTTGACACACACAGAGCTGGCCAATACCGCGGTATGGAATGTGAATCCCAAACATGGCGAAGAGCCAGGCAAGGCGGACTCGATGGAAAGTTTCTGGCTTGGTGAGACGTTGAAGTATCTTTACCTCGTATTCTCTGAGCCTGAGCTGGTCAGCCTGGACGACTGGGTATTTAATACCGAGGCCCATCCATTTAGGAGGCTGAAGAAGTGATGGTGTTTACCTGTAATGCGGCCTTGATGTATGAACGATTGTATAGTGGGAAAATTAATTCGGCGTTGCTCTTTAACTCCTGTGCGAGTTGTGCCAAGTCGTCACTCCAGACTTTTATACAGCGTGTTCGTAATGTGATTTGACAGACTAGAGCTGCGGCGAGACTAGGATGAGTACATAGGCCTAGAATGCAAACTTGAAATCCAACCGCTTGTTTCCATCCTTCTCTCTGTCTTCTTGATTGGTTTGGTATGCAATCTTTTCCTCTGGCGACATTGCGTTCCACGTCTTCTCCTTCTTGTGGTTTAGATGGATGAGAAGCTGCCGCTGAACGAAAAGCACAACTATGGCCAGTGACAATATCGATATGCACACCTTGTTGCCGTTTTTGTAGTAAGGAGCATCCCAAGACCTGTAGATTTGGCTTCCGATGAGGCTCCCTCTGTTTCAAAGTCAGCGTGATCGAGACTCGTACGGGGTGATTGCTTACATCTGTACAATGACATTGTATGTCGCCGCCGCTATGGCACGCTTCTTGACGTCAAAAGAGTTCTCTGAAATCCAACTGCTCACAATTGGGTGAAAGTATGGATAACCCGAGATGAGAGTGATGGTTGCGAAGCGTCCCCATTCGCGACCACCATCCGGGATCGTGAGCAACGCAGTGAAGAGAGGGATGCACCACAGCTCTCCAAATAGGCAGTGGAAAGCGCGCTCATTAAAATATTCGGAGCTGTACGAAAGAGCAAGCATGGTGACGATCTGGAGTGCCGCCGAAGGTGCCGTCAGCAGGTTGCTAGCGAGGGTGCTAAACTTGCCAACTCTCTTCAGCGTGAGAGTCAGGTACGCTTGCACTGGAGTCGCCGGGATGTACGCAACGAGGCCCACCAAATACAAGCCCCAAAGCGACTTGTCAGACCAGGCCGCCTTGACGTCAGCCAAGGTTGCCGGCTCTTTGAGAGCTGTCAAGCCCTTGGACGGGTCGTCTCGTAGGATGCGGTTGATCATGATGACTTCTTGTCGCTCCGTGTACCAAGGACTCGGGCAGAGAACTGACTTGGTGTCGGTAGGGCACTTTGGCAGGTACAGGAAGGACACGATGCCAATGACCATGGTGAGCAGGCCTTCTAAGAGTAGGAGCCAGAACCAGCCTGAACGGCCATTGACTCCGCGCATCTCTAGGAATCCGGCGGCCAGCAGGGCCGAGATGACCCCTGTGGATGTCAGCCTCCGACGCAATTTAGCTTGAAAGGACTAAGACGTACGCGCCACGTTGAGAGTGGACCAGAATGCAGAGAGACGAATAGACAGCTCTTTCGAGGTGTAAAAGTAGGTGGCCATGAGGATGACACCGGGAATAAAGCCGCCTTCAAACAGGCCGATAAAGGCACGGGTTACATAGAATGAGGCCCTTCCTGTCATGAAGGCCTGGAAGGTCGCTATGACCGTTAGTTACAAGTCACAACTTAGTAACAGCTGCACTTACACACAAGGCCCCATCCGCACATCATCTAAATGAAGGTTAGAAAAACGCTTCACAACCATATGCAAGAGGGAGACTTGCCGTTGGCAGAACATATTTGAATCCATATCTCTTCGTCAGGAACTGAACCGGAAACTCTGCAGCCAGGAAGCAGACTAGTTGAATGGTGGTTCCCTGATCCAGTAAGCACTAGAACTATTCCAAGCCTGATGGAACTCACGTTGTTGTAGTCATCGGTGGTGAGCCCAAGGTCACCCAGGAGATCATCTGCCAAGGCATTGCTCAAGTTGCCACGGTCAAGTTGAAGGCCAAAGAACTGCATGCTAGTTAGACATGGTTTTGGTGTTGTGCCGATAATTCGGAACTTGCCATGACACATAGCCAGGTCAAGAGTCGGAGATCCGTCTTTCTGACAACGGCCCTCTCTTCGGCAGCCGTCCACTCTGCCAATGGGTCGAAACGATGTGCTCCTTCGTACGACTCGTGAGGAGCTAGGGTGCTATGCAGGTGCTCGCGACCAACCGCAATGTCGGCCTTGTCTATCTCAGAGACATGCCCCTCATCAGAGACAATCCCAACTTCGTGGTTGCCCATTGGAACACCGCTTCAAAAGGATTGAGAACTAGGTGTGAACAGTGCTGCAGCAAGTAAGATCTGCATGGACTCAGGTAGAGCAGCTCCCGCGGGAAACAGCCACTTATACCTGAGTCGCGGAACGATCACGGACAGACATGATCAAGGAGGTTTGCGCGGCAGTGCCGTTCAGAGTCCCTGCACCCGGCTAAACTAGCGCTGAGTTATTGCGCCAGCTAGTGTTGGAGAGCACGCAAAACCCGGGGTAGCTTCTTGCCATTGGCCTCTGGTGGCTTCAGACGATTGCGGGGTCTCCGACAATTTCTCCGAGGTCCTCAAGTCGCCAATGTCACCATCGGCGGGCCTGATGTCGTCAGGTCTTTAAATGGCCCTAGTTCTGCCTCTCGACTATCGTCCTCTTCAATTAGAATACAACTCAAAGCCGGGCACTCTGCACGTTGTCACTTTGTCTGTTCGCCGACACACTTATACAATGCCTTCCATCGCACCCCTCCCAAACGCCAGTGGCCTAATTGGGGGCCATGCAGACTCCCGGCCCGAGATCCAGGCACCCCTGACTTACACAGGGGGGCTTGATCAATTCGAGCAAGCAGATGTCACCCCTGCAATTGGGCGCGAGATGACCGGGCTGCAAATCCGGGACCTGCTCAAAGCTGAAGACTCTCTTATTCGCGACGTGGCGGTCACCATTTCTCAGCGTGGCGTGCTCTTCTTGAAGAACCAAGATGTCACGCCCTCAGAAATGAAGGATTTTATGCTGCGGCTTACGGCACTGTCGGGGTGCCCGTCCTCATCGGGACTCCACGTGCATCCCTTGACAGAGGAGGGCAGCGAGCTTGGAGACCAAATCAGCGTCATTTCAAGTGAGAAGCAAAAGAAGGGCGGTGGTCTTACTCATCAGTTGAGTGATGTATCGCGGTTTGCAAGCGCAGGCTGGCACAGTGACATGTATGTGCCCGACGCCATCTCGCATCTATCAACTGAACGCTGACTGCATCAAGAACATTTGAAAAGGTCCCGTCAGACTACGCTATGCTGAAGATCCATACCCTTCCAAAATCGGGAGGTGACACGGTAAGCTTGTCTCAGACAATCGGCATGGTTCCAGGCTGATGCACGACAGCTTTGGGCATCGGGTTATGAAGTCTACGACCGCCTCTCTGCTCCGATGAAGATCTTCCTGGAGGGTCTGACGGCAACACACGATGCATCATTCTTCCATGATGAAGCGGCACGCCTCGGAAACCCGCTCCGTCAAGGCGAGCGCGGTTCGCCCCTCAACAAGGGTGGCAACCTCACGGCAGTGCACCCCGTGGTCCGGACCAACCCTGTCACCGGCTGGAAGTCGGTCTACGTCAACAAGGGCTTCACCAAGCGCATCAACGGCGTGACCAAGGACGAGAGCGACGTGCTGCTCCAGTACCTCTTCAACCTCGTAACGCAGAACCACGACGTGCAGGTAAGATATAGGTGGAGCAAGAACGACGTGGCGATATGGGACAACAGATCCACGTTTCACTGTGCAACGTACGACTACGAAGCCGCCCGGGCCGGCGATAGAGTCTGCAGCTTGGGAGAGGCCCCGTATCTAGACCCATCCAGCACTGGGCGTCGGGAGGCCCTGGGGGTGTAGTTGCATGCAAAGCGGATTGGCAATGAAGTCACGCACAGCAGTTTCACCATTATGATTTCACGTTACGTAGCCGTGGTAGCAATCACATCACTGCAATATTTGATAAATCAAAGTCAGGTCAGATTGTGCAATGCGCGTGGTTCTCAACCCCACTGCTGTCAGCACTTGGCCTCCAGTCGCTTTGCCAAACTCCATGCCCACACCAATACGGTCGATGGTGTGCTGAGCAGCTCCCGATCTAGGCCACGCACCAATTCATGTTAGTGCAGTCCAGTGGGGCGGAGCTCCAGCACTGCTTAAATGCTGATTTACCCGGCTCGTCACGCACTTCTCGACTCATTCGTCATTCTTCACAAGCCTCATTCAGTGCTCCAGTGCAAGCCATGACTTGCGTCTGGCTGGTCTCCCCATGCCTGGCAAGCGGTCGCCGCGAGAGAGGCTGGCGCGAAGGGCATGCGACCCTTGCAGGGTGAGAAAGATTCGCTGTACGGAGATTCCCCCTTGCACAAGATGCGTCGCGTCGGGCATCGAGTGCACGTTCAAGACGGTCCAAAGCAGGAGGGGTCCAAAAGGCCTCCGCGAAGACACCGTCAAGAAGATTGAACAAAGACGGCAATCCTCGGAACTCGACGGGTCAAAGACAGAAGACGAGGACATTTCCCAATTGCTGGAGATTCTGGATGTATACGCGTCACGCCTCTACCCTATCTGGCCCATCGTCAACACTGCGGAGCTGAAAGAAGCGCTCCTAGCCAGCCCGGGAAACTCTAGCAACCTGCGCCTGGCAAACGCCGTTGCGCTCTCGACGGTTGCGCAGCTCAAGCTCACGACTGCTTGGAAGGGGTCGGCCGCGGCCTGCACAGACACCGTGGACAGCGACGACGACGCGCTGGACCGGCTCCGCGTCTCATTCTTCTTGCACATCTACTACGAGAACCTAGAAGGCGGGGGCAACAAGTCGCTCCTCTACCTGCGCGAAGCGATTACGCTGGCTCAAATCGCACGACTGGAGCACGAGTCCACCTATGCGTCTTTGCCCGAACGAGATCAGCAACTGTCCCGCCGGGTGCTCTGGTTACTCTTCGTTACGGAAAGGTCTGCTTCCGCCTTCACCTTGACAATTCAAGAGACTGACAAGAACAGAGGCGTGGCGTTGTTGCACAGGCTCCCGGCAGTGCTGAAGCCGAACATCCTGCTACCGTGGTACGGCGTCGCAGACGACATTGCACACATCCTACCCGAGTTCCTCAAGCTGGTGAATCTCTTTTGGGTGTTTGACCAGTCCGGCATGTTTGAATGGCTGCGAAGCGCAGAGTCGGGCTCAGGGGCGTCGATTTCGCAGAGCTGTATAACCATGTTGCAGCAGACATTGGAGGACTCGACCAAGGGCGATTACTGGGGCGGCAACGACATTCAGCGCGCCGACATGTTGGTGACGCGCCAGTGGATGCGCGCCGTGCTCTGGCGTGCCGCCTTGCGCTTTGGCATCTTGATTCCGATAAATCCTCTCGATATCGCGCAAGAGTTTCTCACTCTTATCGCAAGCATTCCTCCGGCGGCTTTGGAGTCTCACGGGCCAACAGTGGTTAGTCCCGAGCATGATATCTGGCGTGATGTGGCAAGTGGCTGATCAGACACAGGAGTTCAAGACGTTTGAAATAGCCACGGCCGTCATCGACGCCATGGCGAGCGACTTTCGCGGCATCTCGGACGACCAGCCGAAACGGGTGCTCCACGGGCTGCGCAACATTCTCATGTCGTCTCGCGGCGGCAACGAGAAGCTGCTGTCGCTGCTCAACGTCCGTATGAGTGCCGTCACCACGACCAGTCTCCTCCCGCAGCCGTACAACATGGAGCGGTTTGTGGAGGATGTGCTGCTGAGCATGGGCGAGGATGGCAACTGGCGGTCCGAGGACTTTTTCCCCCAGCTGCATCTGATGGGCTCGCCACCGGCCGATCCGCCGGCCGAGTCTCTGGACGTGCCGAGCTTTGTGCGCTCGCCGTCGCCGCTGACGAGGTTGCTTCTCGAGGGCAGAGGCCAGCCTGGTGGCTCGTCGAGTCGTGGGATTGAAGTCGACGGGGCATTGACTTAGCAACGTGAGAGGATCAGCATTTTTGTTAACTCATTCTCCCGCTTGTAGTTGCCGACACCTCCTACTCGTGCTCGCAGATGACCAAGGTTCCAAGCCTTGGTGCTGCTCAGAATTCCTGACATGTCTGTTCCAACTCGCACTAGCCACATGCGAGGCCATGCAGACCCCTTGCCGATTAGGCAATGGCCGACGACCACAATCTCGCATCGCCGACTTGCCCATCCATGTCTGTTCTCGCATCCGCCCCACCGATGGTGCCATATCCCCAACATCAGTGAGGCCGTACCCCTCGCCGGCGTAGTCCCATCATCGGCAGTGCCTCTCTCGTCGAGTCCCGGTCGCAGATCGGAAGCCTTCCAATGCCGCGCAAGGGTATAGTCAAGGTCCGCACCGGCTGCATAACATGCAAGTACGACGCCTTCCGCAGGAGGTGTAGCTGAAGAGCATTTACACTGACTTGTTCAGATCTCGGAGAGTCAAGTGCGATGAAGGGCGGCCGACGTGCTTTGTCTGCCAAAAGGCCGGCAAGCTGTGTCGAGGCTACGCACCACCGCCCGTCGGCTACTACTCATGGCAAGACTTGCTCCTCCTCAGCAAGCCCGTCCAGCCCGGGCCGTCCCACATCCCCGGCGCCTCTGTCCTTGAGCTGCGAAACATTGCCTTCTTCCAGCGGGTCGTGGCGCCGTCGGTCTGCGGGCCGGTGCCGCACTCGCTTTGGACGATGGTGGTTAATCAGATGGTGCACGCCGAGCCGGCGGCCAGACACGCCGTCATCGCCATAGGCTCGCTGCACGAGAACTCAGCGCATGTCCTGGGCAGCGATCCGATGGCGTCCGGGCCTCTGGACGCAGACCGGCACGCCATCACGCATTACAACAATGCGATACGATGTCTTACCGCGCCAGGGCTGCGCTTCTCCAACGACACGATTCTCCTCATTTGCGTCTTGTTTATTGCGATAGAGTTTCTTCGCGGCAACGTCGAAGCGGCATCTACACACATCAGAAACGGCATATCGCTGCTAAACTCCGTGGGCAGCGCCAACGAAGACCTAGTCTTTGCCCTGCTGCATCTCGCCATATTCCCGTACTACTTCGCAATGGGTCCAGCCAGCAGTCTAGAGGTTCCGCTGTATTTAGACCGGTCGCGCTTCCCACGGATATTCCCGAGTTCATGCCATGCGCAGGCCTGGCTCGACCTGCTCGCCTTGCGCACCGTGCGACTTGTCCGCCAAGCGAAAGAGCGCCGCGCCGGGGTCACAGCAGCGGTGCCCCTCGAGGAGATTACGGAGGCGGCGCGGGTCCTCGACGGGGATCTGGACGCGTGGTGGTCTACATTCTGCACCTCGCGCGCTGAAATGCAGGGCGACCTCGAGGTCATGGCCCGCCTGCTCGAAGCGAGATTCCTTCATGCAAAGATGAGAGTCGGCACGAACCTAGACCAAGACGAGCACATATGGGCGACCCAGGAGTCCAAGTTCCACCGCTTCGTAACGGTCTGCCAGGAGGTGCGAAACGCATGGCTGTCTGACAGCGGCAAAAGCAGGAAGTTTGCGTTTGGCATGGGCTTCTGTCCGCTGCTGTTTAGGACCGTGCACAAATGCCGCGTGCTGGAGCTGCGGCTCGCCGCGCTGTCGCTCATGGACGAGCTCTGCTGGGCGCGTGAGACGGTCTGGGACCGGACGATGCTGCGGGCACTGGGCAAAAAGATAATTGAGGTCGAGCACGGCGTAGTGCTGACGCCGGAGACGATGAAGGCGTGGCGGGAAGTAGACGCGACAGAGCTTGCCGTGCCAGCCGACGCGCACCTGATCCGGGATTTTGTTTTGCACCCTGGGCCGGACATGACGATGAACGCTGATGGCTCAAAGACGTGGAAGAGACGGGTGACGCTCATTCTGACGGGTCCAGGGGGTAGCTCAGAGGGGCGTTTGGAGGTGTGTTTTGAGATACGATGACTCGGCAGGCGAGAGTTGCCGTCTCTGAGCCCTTCCATGTACATTTACAACCATTCGTAGCAGGGTAGCCAATGCATTTGCCATTAACTACGTAGAACGACCTCGCGATGTTGGTGGCACCAGGGTCGCTGCCCACCATAGTACCACCAGACATGGTGATGCAACCAAGCACATTTGTCCCTATGTGACTCGCACAGCTCCATGGCAGACCGAGTCTTCCACTTGACACCACAACCAGGCTCACGTCATTTTCAATAGACTTCAAAGACAAAGAGTATGCATTATAGCTCAATCTATATCACACTCAACCCGATGGGCCAATCCGTATTTGCTGGCGTGCCCGACCGAAAGGGAAATAAATGACACCGGCGCAATTCAGACCAGAAAGCAGCAACATTCCATTTATACCCGTCTAATTTATTGACACGCTGCAAGGGCAACAAGGAACAGGAAGCACCGACGCGGCGCGGCACGCTTGGCTTGCTTAGAACAAGGCAAGGGCGCCGACCATGACGGCAACGCCGGCAAAGGCAACCCCAGAGACCTTCTGGGAGGCCGCACCGCCCGTGGGCGTGGCGCTGGCGCCGGCGGTGGTGCCAGAGGCACCGCTCTTGCCGGAGCCGTTGCCGGAGCCGTTGGAGCCAGAGCCGCCGGAGCCGGAGCCGGACGTGGACGAGGCAGTGGGCATGCCAGTGGCGGTGCCGGAGCCCGTGCCCGTAGCGGTCGCGGTGCCCGAGACGCTCGAGCTCTCGGGCTTGGTGTCAAAGGTGGTGGGGCAGGTCAGGTTGAATCGGGGCTTGGTGGACAGGTTGTCGGTGATGGCAAACTTCATGGTGTTGTCGGGGTTGGAGTCGCGCAGGGTGTACCAGAAGGTGGGAGTCTTGTTAAAGAGCTTGCGGCAGCCGACCTCGTCCCAGTAGTACTTGGCGTTCTCGACGCTGGCGACGGCCTGGTCCCACTTCTTGCCGGTGTAGGGCCAGCCCGTCTCGGTCACCCAGACGGGCTTGCCACCGGCGGCGGCAATGGTAGCGTCGTAGGCCTTGTCGAAGAGGTGGCCGGCGTTCTTGATGTCGTTGCCCTTGTCGTTCTCGTAGTAGGGGTACTCGTCGACGCCGATCCAGTCGACGGCGTCGAGAACGGGCTTGTTGGTGGCGTTGCCCCAAACATCCCAGGTGTCGACGTGGCCGACGGGGACCTTGCTGAGGGGGTTGCCGTCAAAGGCCTTCTTGAAGTCCTTGATGAAGCCAACAATGGTCTCGGGCTGGGCGCCGACACCGGCCTCGTTCTTGACGCCGGTGGCCGAGTTGCGGTACAGGTCCTCGCTGCCAATGGAGATGCCGATGACGAGGTCCGTGAATTTGCTGCCGTACTTGGAAACGGCCTTTTTCAGAGCGCTAATCTCCTTGTCGATGTTGTCGGTGCCCGACGTCCAGACACCGAGGAGCATCGACGTCTTGGTCTCGACGGCGGCCTCAAAGGCCTCGATGGGGTCGTCCTTGGAGTAGGCCTGGATGTTGGTGTAGAGGCGGACCGAGTTGAAGGTGCCGGGAGCGCCGACGAGGCCCTGGGCCGTCTTGAACTCGGCCTCAAAGTCCGCCTTGAACTTGGCGCTGCGGTCGGCCTTGGTGGCACCCGAGTTGAAGCCGAGGTAGTTCTTGCCGTCGGCGGAGACGCCAGCGGCGAGGGCGCCCGCGACGAGAGCCGAGGTGAAACGCATGATGACGACGACGACGCGTTTCGTGCTGTGGGTGCTCGCGGATTCGGTAAAACGGTGCCGTTGAGGCTAAGTGACGGGTGTTTCGAAGCAGGGAACGGATGTAAGTGAATGAATGAAGGTTTTGGAAGCGGCCAAATGAGCGAATGTGCCGTGAAAAAGAGAGCCTCGAGAAACGCAAAAAATGAAAGGTAAAGAGAGAGGCCTCGAGCTGTGAAGTTGTTTGTTTGGACGTCGAGGAGAGCGAGGAGGTCGATCACCGCGCGACTCGGACTCAGGAGAAGGAGGCCATCACGTGATGGTGAACCCAAGGGGGCGCAGCGGGACGCGCCGGCCAATCTAAGTGCCAGAGCGGGAGGCCCACGGTTCATCCCCCCCACTCGGTGGCAGTCCAGCGTGGCACAAGCGGCACAAACCCAGGAATACCCGCCAGTCTGAAGCTTGCCCCTGACGCCAGATGGAATGCCGAACAGCGCAGCAGGCACAGCAAGCGGCCAGGCCCGGTTTTTTACCACGTATTGAGACGACGGTAATTTGCCAGCGCTTCGTACCTGCGTGCTGCGCCGCGGCCAGGCCGGCCAGACTGGCCAGGACTTGACAGCAATTTACGGCCTGTCACTGCAGAGTCGCATGGCCAGCGCAGGCCCCTAATAATAGCGCCCCTGGCAGATCCGATCCAGGAACCGTGGGCGGGGCCGGGAGCAGCATAGCACACAGCACCTCGGGCAGGGCACTCCTTGTTGTGACGCCCTTGCATTCCTGGGCACGGCACGGTCCTGGTTCGAACAGCACAATGGAAGCAAAGCCCCTCATAACACGCGACGTGAGGGCATGGTGCAGGCGAGCAGGCGACGGGCCCCCGAAGCGCGTCCAGCTGAGTCTCAACGTCGTCATTGTTTGGCGGCGCAGATCGACTCGCAGGCCGGGTCTCACCGGCACTGACTCGGCGTGAAACAGCCACATCTGCAAGGGAAACACGGGACGCAAAAACTATACTCCGAGAGGCCCATGGTTGGCAGCGGGCCAAGGAGTGCACAGACTGCCCGTTCGTGCAATGCCGAGCCATCTCGCCCAGCTCCAGCCCCTGGACTTGGCGCCCCAGATGCAACACTGAGATGCATCTCTCGGCGCTGCGGCATCAACGCCACGGCGTCCCGCCAAGTCGGATTGTCGCTGGGGATTTTTGAAAAGGACAACAACGCACGAGTGCCGCGTGACGTCGTTCAAAACGACGGAACCGCGGGTTCAGCCTCCCGAGCGCGCGGACCGGGCGCGGCGTTGGCTTTGTTTGCTTTTGCCATGTTGGCACACCGAGTGCTCGTGTCGCCCGGTGGCCGTGGATGCTTCATTGGGCGTCGCCGTCACGGGGTCAGCCGTCCCGCACGCACAACCACCTGCTCGCCGCCACATGCAATTGGATGCGCAACACGGCGGATGATGTGCCCAACACTAGTCGTTGGATTTGAGTTCAGCTGGATGGCGTCCCGGTTGACAGGATGCAGCCGCGGTATGCGGTGAGGCAACCGCGGGCGCGCGCGGCAGCTGTCTCACCTCCAGGGTAGGCTGCGGGCGTCGAAACTCGAGAGATCCCGGTCTGCATCATGGTCCACGGAGACGCTGAGATGAGAGCGCAGAAGCTGAAGCGACAGTCCGGAGTGCAGTACAAGTATCGTGAGGATTTTTTCGCGGCCGCAGACCACCCGATTGTATGGGCCCCGTCGCGGCGAGGTACTTGCGTGGTCGACCGCCCGAAGCAGGGCGGTCCGTCGCTGCTTGGCCTGCATATGGCGTCATCCCCGGGTTGGGATGTCAACATCATAGGGGCCCATGCTCCTCACCCTGCCACCCGGGGACGCTGAGATTCAGCACAAACAACGGCCTGCGCTATCGAATCACGACAGACAGCCACATCCTTCCTGAGCGCCTCGGGGCGTGCTTTCGTCTCTTGCCATCCCTGGTGGTGATGGGTCTGGGCCGTGCTGATCTACCCGTCTTTGAATCTCGCGGGGCGGCCGCCGACCCAGCGGCTCCAGCTTTTGCTCCGTCAGTCTGCATGGACACGGTGGAACGTGTGGACTCGGCACCTGAGAAGCGCTCCGTCGCGGCCGTCTGAATTTTCGCCGTCCTGCTCAGCTCGACCGCATGTATCAAACGCGAATGCAGCATCAAAGACGTGCGCCCAAGGCACAACCGCGCAACCACCACGTGCGATGCACTGTCGCGGCGGCTGTGGCTGAACCCTGGCACCTTATCCCCCGCGCATCGGGTCTAGGCTGGCTGAGATGGAGGCGGCGAATCTGCGCCCGAGGCGTCGAAGCAACCCACCCATGCCCACAAAGCTCGGGGACACGCACGTCACGCCCCAGTTGGTTGGCTGCTCGGCTCCGCTTATGATTTCAGAGGCTAGCACCCATCTCTAGTCGGGAGCACGCAATTTGGTGGCTCTCTTGACCAAGCGATCGACCCGCCTTTCCCTTCGAGATGCCGTGCTTGCTGTGCGTATGTTGCGTTGGGCGGCGCGGCGCCCCGGGGGGGCGTTGCAACGGGCGGAAAAGGTTCGAATGCGCGCCTCGACGAGGGCTTTCTGCATCTCACATAAGATCTGCCTCGTTCTTCCCCTTTCCCAACTCGCACAGGATGGACCCGACTTCTGCTTAGAGTTGCATCCCGTTCCGCCGCCTCGCTGCATACCTGGAGCCCGCTGATCGCATCGTCTGTGTGCCCGCCTGTCTGACTGTGTATCAGACAGACCTCGCCGAGACGAGACGAGACATTTGCGGACGCCGCTCGGTTGCACTTTTCCTCCCTGACTGTCGCCGAGATGGTCAACGCCACAAAGGACCGGCTGGCCAAGCTGTTTGGCGCCGACAAGTATGACGGCGACGACGACATTCCGTCGATATCCAACGCCGACATCTTTATCGAGCGCGAGCCTACGGTTCAAGAGTTTTTTGCCGAGTTGACGCCCTCGCTGCACGACGTCGGTCGCTACATTTACAATCTGTTTCCCTTTATCCACTGGATCGGCAAGTACAACTTGCAATGGTTTATCGGAGATTTCATTGCCGGTATGTGAAGTCGATGGCGATGTACCTTCCTAGCTGACCCTCCCAGGCACGACTGTTGGTGCCGTCGTCGTGCCCCAGGGCATGGCGTATGCCCAGCTGGCCCAGCTTGACGTCGAGTACGGCCTGTACTCTTCGTTTATGGGCGTCTTGATTTACTGGTTCTTTGCCACTTCCAAAGATATCACCATCGGCGTGAGTATCCCAGCCGTCCACGGGTGATCGCAGCTAACCCGCGCAGCCCGTCGCCGTCATGTCCCAGGTCACCGGCAACGTCGTCCTCAAGGCCCGCGACACCCTCCCCGAGGTCGAGGGCCACGTCATTGCCTCGGCCCTCGCCATCATCACCGGCGCCATCATTGTCTTTCTCGGCCTCGCCCGGCTCGGCTGGCTCGTCGAGTTTATCCCGCTGCCGGCCATCTGCGCCTTCATGACGGGCTCGGCCATCAACATTCTCTCCGGCCAGGTCTGCAAGCTCATGGGCATCAGCGGCATCAACACCCGCGACGCGCCCTACATGGTCATCATCAACACCCTCAAGGGTTTGCCGAGGACCAAGCTCGACGCCGCCCTCGGCCTGACGGCGCTGTTTATGCTGTACCTCATCCGCGGCACCTGCTCGTACATGGCCAAGCGCCAGCCGCAGCGGGCCAAGATGTATTTCTTCATCTCGACGCTGCGCACCGTCTTTGTCATTCTGCTGTACACGGCCATTAGCGCCGGCATGAACGTGCACCACAAGAACAACCCGTCCATCAGCATCATCAAGAACGTGCCCCGAGGCTTCAAGCACGCCGGGGTGCCCGAGGTCAACATTGAAATCATCAAGGCGTTTGCCTCGGAGCTCCCGGCCGCCGTCATTGTCATGCTCATCGAGCACATTTCCATTTCCAAGTCGTTTGGCCGCATCAACAACTACGTCATCGACCCGTCGCAGGAGCTCGTCGCCATTGGCGTCACCAACCTGCTCGGACCGTTCCTCGGCGCGTACCCGGCCACGGGCTCCTTCTCTCGCACCGCCATCAAGTCCAAGGCCGGCGTGCGGACGCCGTTTGCCGGTGTCATCACCGCCGTTGTCGTGCTCCTGGCCCTCTACGCGCTGACGGCCGTCTTTTGGTACATTCCCAACTCGGCCCTCGCCGCCGTCATCATCCACGCCGTGGGCGACGTCATTACGCCGCCGCGCGTCGTCTACCAGTTCTGGCGCGTGTCGCCGCTCGAGGTGCCCATCTTTTTCGCCGGCGTGCTCGTCACCATTTTCAGCACCATCGAGAACGGCATCTACACGACCATTGCCGTGTCGTTTGCCGTCGTCATCTGGCGCATGTTTCTCAGCCGCGGCCGGCTGCTGGGCCTCGCGCGCATCCGCACCGTCAAGGCGACGACCAACGGCAAGCTGGGGCCGGGCGCCAGCGACGAGGCCATTACCGAGGAGTCGGACCTGTCGGTGCGCACCGGGTTCCTGCCGCTCGACCACGAGGACGGCTCCAACCCGCGCGTCGTCGTGCAGAGCCCGTACCCTGGCGTTTTTATTTATCGCTTCGCCGAGGGCTTCAACTACCCCAACTCGTCGCGGTACCTGACGCACCTGACGGACGTTATTTTCCGGGAGACGCGGCGGACGGACCCGGCGACCCTGGGCAAGCTCGGTGTATGTTACTCTGCGTCCATAAAGAATTCCTTGCGTTCATGAAGCTGACTTTTGCAGGACCGGCCCTGGAACTACGTGGGCCCTCGCAACCAAAAGGACCTCGACCTCGACACGCGGCCGACGCTCAAGGCCATCATCCTCGACTTTTCGTCGGTCAACAACATTGACGTGACGGCGGCGCAGGCGCTCATCGACGTGCGCAACCAGCTGGACCGGTACGCGGCGCCCGACACGGTCAACTGGCACTTTGCCAACATTGAGAACCGGTGGACCAAGCGGGCGCTGGCGGCGGCGGGCTTCGGGTTCCGCACGCCCAAGCCGCGGCCGGGCGAGGCCACGGGCCACTGGAAGCGCATCTTTAGCATCGCGGACCTGTACCGCGCCGACACCGAGGAGACGGCCGCCGCGCTCGAGGGCAAGGCGGCGGGCGACGGGGCCGTCGTCTACGACGTCGAGGAGCAGGACCCGGCGTCGGACATTTCGCGCGCGTCGGACAAGGACGTGCCGCGCGACCCGGGCAGCGCGCGGCTGGTGGCCGTGCAGGGCCTCAACAGGCCGTTTTTCCACTTTGACCTCCAGGAGGCGGTCGACGCGGCGCTCTTGCATGTGGGCGAGCGCGAGGACTGATTTAGCGGGTTTTTGTTTCTTTGCTTTGTGCTTTAGTATACCAGAGACGAGTCGAACGGTGAATACAGGATCACGAGAGGCCAGACGGCCAGCCAGTTTTGGCAGCAGTTTGTTTTTGTGTCAAGATGTGATGTTGTAGTGTGCAGCTAATAAGGCACCGGGGTGCTCTGACGTGATGGTGGCGTCACGTGCAGACAAGGAGGATCGTTTGCTTTCGATGTGATTGAATTACGTGCAGATCAAGTAGTACCGGGCACAAGTCACTCTGTTGCTCAAATTGGCAGTCGCGGTGTTATTTGTCCGGCATTGACTCGGCAACCGTCTCGTCGCGTACAGGCAAACACTCACTGGTGTTTGTGATGCACGTCCTCGGAAGCACCGCCGTACGTGAACCGGAAAATAAAGTCCACTGTAGACGGTCGCTGGGCTGAGGGGCTGTGGCGTCGCATGCTGACACAAGCGCTTGTAATGAGCGGCGCTGGCTCACTCACGGTGACTGCTTTGCGACTCTTCGGATCGCCCGGGAGCGGCACCGGGCAATTATTAACCACCAACCAGCCATGTGGCACGCGGGCTCCGTCCCATTCCAGGCGGCCGGCGGGGGAAAGAAGAAAAAAGCCAGTCAAACGGCGACTCAATCGCGGCCAACAGGGCATCCCGTTTGTAGTCCTGCCCGTACAGGCCGTGGCATGGCTGCCGCGTCTGCCGGCACCAGTGGAGGGAGCAGCTTGCGCGCAGAGTGAAACATTGTGACGCCAGTCCTCCGCTGCATCATGATTGATGGTGTCCAAGACACCCTACCCAAGCCCCCCCGGAAACCCACCCGCGCGCGCTCCGTGGGTGATGGGAACATTAATCACAGGCTCCCCCCCGCCGCCGCCGCCGCCGCCGCCGCCCATTGCCCCCGTAGATTGCCACATCGCCGCTGGGCCACACCGGCTATCAACCAAGTTATTGGCCGCGGACGCCCTGTGGCTGTTCAGTGCTCAGCACGAGCCGGGTTTTTCTTCACAAGGTTGGCTGGACCCCCCCAGCCGCCCGCCGAACCCGCCATCCCGCTTGGCCGCTGGACCCGCCATCCCTGCAACGCACGTCCGCCCGGTTTCCCGCCGGCCCCAACTTACATTACGTCGTGCAGGCCCTTGTGCTTCTCAACTTTTGCAACAACATTCTGCAACGCGTTTCCTTGTGAATAGTTGAAAGGGCCCTTGCTTTTGGCCCGTGTTCGCTCCTGATGGATCCAGGCCGAGATCACGATCCTCAGCGGTCGCACGCGCAGTCGCATAATGGCGGCAACCGGCGGCAACAACACCTCCTCAGCCCGCCCGCGTCCCGCGCAACCTCGGTCGCCGGCCCTTCGACGCCAGGACCCTCGACGCCCCTGGCGGAGGGCTCGGCCGACGATTATTTCGACCGCCTGAGCCAGGCGCCCTCGCACCTCTCGCGACAGTCGGTGCAGTCGCTCAGTCGCTTCCCGAGCCTCACCAGCGCCACGAGCCGCCCGCGCCTCGAGTCCACCACCAGCCGCCCGAGCATTCGGATTCGCCGGCGCAGCTCCGTCGCGTCCAACATCAGCAGCAATGTCCCGCCCGAAGCGCCGGTTGCTGCGCCCGCGCCGACGAGTTCCGAGGGTGGTTACCACGGCGGCCGGCCGCGAAGTATATCGCAGCCCACTTCGGGTGCGCGGGCCGTCGACGCGCCGCCCGCCGCCCGCATTCGACGCATGCCGGCCCAGGCCGCGCTGCCGCGCCTGACGGAGGAGGGATCGCGCCCGACAATGGCCGAGCTTGGAATTCCTGCCTCGCCGTCGCCGTTGTCGCCGTTGTCGCCGACGGCTTCCATGCCCGAGCGCGCACATAGCCTGGAAGAAGCGCCCGAGCCCGCTGCGGTGAGAGGAAACCGCCTGCGAAGGGTCAGCCGGCTCCTCATGCCAGGATTCTCCAGGAGAGAGTCGCAGGCCGGAGAGGTACCCGCTATGACTCAAGCCGAGGACGAGTATCACGATCAACTGGTCGATTATCTCGACACGATCGGTATATTTCCCTTATGTCCCTGCATCATTGTCCAGCACTAACATTATATCAGATCCGGAAGTCCAGATGCTCTCGACACTTACAAATGTCCAAAATTCTCTTTTTGTCCCCGATCTCGGCAGTTGGGTCAATCGCAGACCAACTTATACGCTCTCGCCGCGGGACCTGCAACATATCCGGCCCGCATCTGCCGAAGTCCCGCCACCACCACCACCACCACCACACGAGGAGCCGCAAATACCGGAAGAAGTCCCCGAGGAGCCAATTGAGGAACCCCCGTCTATTCAGCGTTCAGATACCATTACCTCGCGACTGACCGATTCTCACTTTGCCGCGCTGCCACACGGAAGAACCCTGGAGGGTTGGACCGCCGACGAAAAGTGGGAGCTCGACGACCACGTCCGCCATATGTTGCACTCCAGGCGTTCCAGGTGGAAGCGAAGGATGAAGGGCTTCGGTCAGTACGTCCGACGTCCCCTCGGTTTCTTCGTCACCCTCTACGCCACCCTCATCACCCTCTTCGGCCTGGCTTGGGTTCTCTTCCTCATCGGCTGGATCTACGTTGGAGACAACCAAATTTACGTTATCCATGTTGTCGATTCAGTGCTGGTAGCGCTGTTCGGCGTAGTTGGCTATGGAATGGCTCCCTTTCGAGCTGTAGATAGCTACAGGCTCTTCTTTATTGTCCGGTACAGTCGAATGATCGAAAACGCCGACAAGAGATCGCGATCCAAGCCCTCGATATCGACGGGAGCCAGCGGCGATAGGAAAGTGGGTCCCCCGCCTGCTGTGGCCAATGACGATGGGTCTGTGCTCCGGCACGACTACGCCAACGACGCCACACGTCCTGCAGTTGGTTCGGGGCAAGGGGATCTTGACGACGTCGAGGATATTCCCGACACCGCTTCTGATACTTCCCAGATGAGCGGCTACTATGTGTTAACAGCCAAGCAGCGCAAGAGGCTTTCACACCATCAGAAGAAGCTTGCTAGGTCACACAGCTTTTACAAACCCGAGGAAACCTTTACCCATTACTCATTCCCCCTCGGCTATCTCATGGCCGTCGTCATCCTCCTCGACTTTCACTCCATCCTGCAGATTTGCCTTGGATCAACAACGTGGTCGATTAATTACCGTCTAAAGGTTCACGACATCGTAACCAGCTGCATTCTTTCAGTCTCAATATGCTGCAATCTGGTGGCTGGGCTGGTGATCACGATTGGTGGTCGCAAGACGCGGAAGAAGGACATCCACGACTTGATGAGTCGGCAGGAGCTAACGGGAGATGCCATCAAACACCTCGAACACAAGCGGAAGAAGCAGCAGAAAAAGGAGGAGAAGATGAACCGTTCAGGGAGTAATTCGGACCAGGAAGGGCTCAACGGGGCGAGCGGCGAGGCGAGCGGTTCAGACAAGGGCATTCCTGGCCATGAGAAGGAAATGATGGACTACAAAGCATTGGCTGAGCAAAAGTAAAGCATGGCTTATGCTTACTTGGCGCTTTGGCTTTAGTCTTGCATTGTTTTGCGCTCGCATATGTTACCGGGCCCCTGCGCAAGGATTCGCCAAACAATGGGGGGTTTCCGTGTTGAACCATGCTAGTGAGCTGAACAAAGGAGAAGAGCTTTCTTACTTTACATTTTACTCCTAGGAGAAGACACGTCTCGAAGCTGCAGCGGCTATACCAGCAGCAGTAGCAACAACAGCAGTAACGACCGCAACGATAGGAACGATAGCATTGACAGTAACGATAGAAACGACAGTAACGATAGAAACGACAGTAACGATAGAAACGACAGTAACGATAGCAACGACAGTAACGATAGCAACGGAAGTAACGGCAGCAACGGAAGTAATGACAGCAACGGAAGTAATGACAGCGACAACAGTGGCGGCAGCAATGACGGTGCCCAGACAGAGAATCGCTGGTATTTAGATAGCGCGTTCAAAAACAATCTTTCTCGAGGTGACAAGAACCGAGCGTTGAGTGGACTAGTATGCCCCTCGCTACTGCATTCGAGTGCATGGCTGTTCAAAGTGCGTTAAGCGCGTGGTGGTGGTTCCCAGACTTACATATAAGAACATGGAGCTGTACAATTAAGGAGACAAATCTTGCTGGCTGAGTGCAAGCGGGAAAGAACTTTGAGCTTCGCAAGACACCAAGCTACTCACGATTCAGCTGCGTGGCAAAAATCGCCCGACGGGCAATTTGTACCGTCAATAGATGCACGTGACTAGGAAGGTATGAATGGGTATGAAGCAGAAGAGATGAAAGCAACGCTTAAGTTGATTGACATATGACGCGATTGCTCTCGTGACTCTAGTAGCCGAAGGTTGTCATGGCGTCCGCAGCAGCAGGTCGCCTAGGCCCTTGCCTCATTCACGTGGAAAGTATCAAGCAGGTGCAGCTGCATATCGTGAGCCGACACGCCATGTACTGCGCCACGCAGTGATGCGTCGAATAGGGGCTTAGGCTGCATCGCCATTAACATTCTTTGGCCGTCTACAGCCCCTACTCATGAACGTGTACTTTACGACTGCCTTGCTGGATCCAACTCCACCTTGTTCTTGGTAATGGAATCAATCTCAGCCATCACTTCAGGCGTCAGCTTGTCTAGCACCTTGAGTGCCGCAATCGTCTCCTCCAGCTGTTCGGGCTTGCTTGCGCCGGTAATGACGCTGCTGACGTGCGGGTTCTTGAGGCACCACGCAATGGCGAGCTGACTCTGCGAGACGCCCAAGCGATCGGCGACCGGCTTGAGAGCGCGGACCGTATCAATCTCGGTGCGCCAGTCGTCCGTTCCCATGCGCTTGCGCATAAAGTCGGCGAAACCGTCCTTGCTGGCCCCGAATCGCGAGTCCGCTGGTGGCGGCTTGCCGTCGACCACATCGTTGTACTTGCCCGACAGCATGCCCATTTTGATGGGCGAGAAAGTCGTCAAACCAAGTCCGAAGCGGGAGTAGAGGCGCTGGAATTGACCCTCGACCTTGTCCCGCGCCAACATGTTATACTGAGGCTGCTCCACTATGGGTGCCTGGAGGCGTAGGTCCCGGGCGATACCGACCTGAACCGCGTTAGTCACGTCTTCCTCGATGACACAATTACCTTTGGGGTATTGGTGTGACTTACTGCTTCAGCAATCTCGTCGGCGCTCCATTCGGAAGTGCCCCAGTACAGCGCCTTGCCCTGGTCAATGACAAAGTTGAACGCCCGTACCGTCTCCTCCATGGGCGTCAGCCGGTCGGGCCGGTGGGCGTACACAATGTCGACATACTTGAGGCCGAGGCGCTCAAGCGACGCGTCGAGTCCCTCGATAATGTGCTTTCTCGAAAGGCCGTGGTTATTGACGAGGATCTCGCCGTTGACGGCGCCCCAGTTGATTTCTGTTGACAGTTAGCTTAGAGCCTCAACTAGCAGAGACCAGTGAATGCTCACTCGTTGTGATGACTAAATCTGAACGTTTCCAAGCAAAATGCTTGATGGCCCGGCCCATGACCTTTTCGGACTCGCCGGCCGTGTAGTTTTCCGCCGTGTCGAAGAAGTTGACGCCCAGATCGTACGCCTTCTTCATGCACGCAAAGGTGGCCTCGTCGCCGGTGTAGCCACCATACGTCATCCAACCGCCAAGGCCGATGGCAGACACGTGCAGCCCGGACCGTCCGAGGCGACGGTACTCCATCCCCGTGTTTCGCGGTTCCGGCCAAGCCATCGTGGAAGAGTTCGGTGAGGAGGGGTAATATTCGGTGAGGGGAAACGGGGGAACACTTCTGGGTGTTGCCAAGGTTGAGTTCAGAGGCGAATGTCGACTACACGGCGTTTTCTTGGTCGCTTTGAGTCGATGCTGGGCCGCTTAAAGACTTGATGGCATGCGATGTCTTTGCGACAAGATGCGCCGTTCAATGATGTCTGAGCGGGAATTTACTTGGTGATTGCTGGTAATTGTGAGTCTTACGGCGTGGTGTGATGCGGATGAGACCCCACTCGGAGTATATCTCGGGGGAATCTCATTTACCCAGTTCTCGGGCGGTACAAGAGCTCCACCGCAGGCTCCGGACTCCGGAGGGTTGGATTCCAAGTCTGGCCTTTGGCGCCAAAGTCCAAATACGTTGAGAGACGCTATCTGGACACTGTCCTTTTCTGTACAGCCACGGGCGTTGCAGGCGTTGCTGGCGTTGCTGCAATGAAGGGAACCTTGCCTGTGGTGTCAAACATGAGATAGAACGCTGATGTCCAAATAGCCTTCTCTCCAAATAGACCTTCCGGCGCGGGACGTTTTGCACGTGCCTTGCGCGCTGAGGCAAGTGCAGCTGTCTGCTCTTCTCCGCATCTCCCCCGCGATTCCCCGCGCTCGGTGTGCAGGAAGGAGCACCCTAGCCGTGGGTGCTGGAGTCTGGAGCGGCCGCACGTGGGCTTCGAGACGAGCGTGAATCGCTGAACCTCGTGCAACGCGCCAATGACTGAGCCTTCTGTTGGGCAAAATATGTGCCTGGTACAGGACGATGGTATTTCAGAACTGCCATTTGCCCGACCGGACACGCCCGCGTGCACAGTGGAGGACGCCAGTCCACTGCGCCCCTGACCCGAACGTCAATTGAATTCATGTTGAACTACAGACGCCCGCTAGTTACCTTGAAAGATCCAAGCTTATCCCAGAAGCGCACGTACGAATGCGAGCGTTGGTTGTGGAATGAGAGAATGACCATGCCCAGTTCAATTTTGATGTCAACAGTGCCTCCCCCCTGCCCTGGCGCCCAGTTCGCCGACACTCCCCGGCTCTGCCACACCCCGCGCCCCATGTTCACACCGCTCGCGGAGTGAGGCGCAGGTACAACGGAGACTTGTCCCATACGACGAATACTCGCTGCTTATCCTGCCAGTCAGGTTGCGGATGCGCCAGCTCAAAGTCGAAACGATAGAGGAGCCGGGCGATGATGTACCGCATCTCGACCTGCGCGAGGTTCTTGCCGATGCAGTCGCGGGTGCCGTGGCTAAAGGGCTTGAAGACGGCCTTGTTATCCGTCTCGAAGCGCTCCTCGTATCTCGGGTGCGACTTGGTGAGCCACCGCTCAGGCAGGAAGCTCTCGGGCTCGAGAAAGTTGTCGGGGTTGTGAAACGTGGCCCACTGGTACACAGAGACGCGGGCCTGCACGTGCTCGTCAGCCAAATGCCGTGTAACGTCACGGTTCACGGTAGACTTACCCCTGCAGGAATGTACCTTCCGTCGACCACGGCTCCAGGGGACACGCGAGGAGGTGTCTCGGCCGCCGGAGGGTATACGCGCAGCAGCTCGTCAATGACTGCCTGCAGATACTCGATCGTTGCGGTGTTGCGCAGGGTTATGTCGGACTCGGCGCTGTAGGTGGACCGGATCTCGTTGGCGAGTATGTCGTAGACGCGCGGGTTCTTGCTCATGAAAAAGGTGAAGCCGGCAATGGCAGTGGCGGTCGTCTCGCTGCCTGCGACGACGAGAACCGGCGTCGTGGCCAAAATCTCGGCCTCGCTCATGCCGCCGGTGTCGTCGCGCGTCTTGCGCGTCATGTACCCTATAAAATCTTTGTGGCCTGGGACTGGTTGCTCGTCGAGCTCCATGCGCGCCTTGGCTTTTGACCTGGCGTAGCCGCGAACCTGGAGGGACGTCTTTGACGACGTGTTGAGCCCGAAGAAATCGGTCATCTTGGCGATGGTTGGGTAGAAGTGATAGCCGCGACGCAGGGCGAGTCCGCGGATGCCCTCAAAGATGGAGCGCACCCACGGGTGGTAGCCGTTGTTCTCGAGGCTGTGAAAAGACTCGGAGAAAGTCAAGTCGCCGATGATGTCAAAGGTGGTAAAGTTCATCCACTCGACGATGTCGACGACTTCGCCCTTGGTGGCTCGCTCCGTGAGCCGCTCCATCAGCAGGTTGACGTACTTGCAGATGGTGGGCTCTTGCTGCGCGAGGGACCCATCGCTGAAGGCGTGACTCAACTGTCGTCGCTGCCGACGATGCACATCCTTGGGAGCGTTGATGAGGCTCTTTTCGTCGCCCGGGTAGGGGCCTGGTGGCTTCCCAAACTCCTCCTGGCCGCCCTTGCGGTGACCGTACACTTCTGGCCAGCCGATGGAGCCGTCAAAAGCAATGTGGTTTGGCCCGATGCGAACCGCCGGGCCGTACTTGCGGTGCAGGGCGGGCATGCGCCGAACCCATGTTCCGCGGGCATGGTTGAGGTAGACGAATGGGACGTAGGTGGCAGCGAGGAGTGGCGGGCCGGGGAACTTGGACAGCGGATGGAACCAGATTCTATAGATGGTCTGGGCGACGCAGTACGCCACGAGCTGCGAGTGTTGGAGCGGGACCTTCAAGGAGGCGTCAGAGACTTACCAGGGAGGCAGCGAGGGCGATCGTGCTCATGACGTTGCCAAGGTCAAGCGTGGCGGCGAGCGCGCCGAAGCCAGAGCCAGCTCTGGAGAGGTCGACGTGGGACATTTTGCCAGGTTGCGTATAGAACGAGTGAAGAATCTTGATCCCCCCGAGGACTAGCTACACGCCAGGTTCTTATACCGTCGCTTGTGCTCCGCGACTCTGCACCGCGTCACATCCTACGGAGATTCCATGGAGCACGAGCCAGCGTATGGCGGTCGCATCACCCGTGGCGTCATAAGCTGTTGGCGGAGATGACCACGACGATCGGACAAAAGCCCTCTGCGACTCTGGCATGCACGGCGTGTCGAAACCTGCGCGACGTGCAGTCGGCGGGCACACGACGACGGGCCGAGTCGGTGATGTGAGCGGCCGACAGCCTCGCTTAACCCCCCACACGGTACTTTGTCCCACGCCCGGCACTTGGGCATCCGATGTGCAGGTCATGCAGACGAGCGCGGGGGTGTGCAAATTCGCGACAGGGTCGCACTCGGGGCGTTGGCCTTTCCGAACGCCGCTTCGGGGCCGCACTGCCCGCTGTATGGTCGAGCTTCTGGACGTTCGTTGGTCTGTCCTGTTGGGAGTCACGTCCGCCGTGCGGTTTGCAGGTGGCTGGCGGCGGCGGACATGAGCGCAGCTGGACAGAGCCGATCGTGTGCTTGTCGAGCCAACAAGTCCTAGGCAGGCTAGACGAGAGCCGATCGTGTGCCTATCGAGCCAACTCCTATGAGCGGAACGAGAGCCGATCGTGTGCCAACAAGATGTCGGCAGGAGTTGGCGAATTTGAAGCCCGACGCCGACTACATGAATCGAGGCCATGTCGCACAAGACGACCGCGCAGTGTATTGCGATCAATGAAGCTTATACAGAAGCATAACGGCATGAGACATTCCGGACTGAACAAGTCCGCAATTATGTCGAGCGGAGGATCGGAGCGGTCGAGCGTAGATCACCGGTGTCAATTACAGGTGGCCCGTGCCGTGCGAGGTAACACCCAGTGGCCGTTGCGTGACAATCACTTTGCGCCGCTTGAGGCAACGGTGACGGCCCGTCTGCCGCGTCATGGACCTTGACTCTCATCTGTGCCAGCGCACAAGCCGCACGCAATTGAGCGGACGAAGTTTTGTGACGTGACCGTGAAAGGTCGGGAATCTCAAGTTCATGGTACCAAAACTCCACTAGCAGCTCCCAAGATCATTCACCTTGGTAAACCAAACCTTCATTCTATCGTCGTCGGAGCGGGACACCGGGTCCAGGTGAATGCCACACTTGGACACCTTGCCGTCGTGGCCGATGACAAACTCCGCTCGCAGCCCGGACTTGATGAGGACGTTGGACGTCTCGGTGTCGGTCCACGCGACAAAGTATTCGCCCGAGATGTGTTCGAGGTCGAGCGTCACGTCCAGCAGCCGCCGGATGTCCGCGTGCAGCACCTCCGTCGTGCCGTCCGCCACGGGCACTCCCTCGCGCGGCTTGACCACTTTAAACTCAATGGTCCGGTACCCGGGGTTGTGGTACGAGCCGGCGTACTCGGCGAGGGGCAGCGTCAGGGGCAGCGGTTTCTCGGGGACGTTGGGGTACAGCGTCTTGCGCACATCAAGATAGTCTTGCACCATGCCCTCGAGCTTGTTGTCGAGCAAGGACACGACGTCTTGTCGGTCTCCCGCAGGGATCTGGAGAAAGTCGTTGATCATGCGCATGATGACGGCCTCGTTGGCGAACGCGCCGCCGAGATCTGAATTGGCGAGGATGGCGATGCCCCATTTCTGGTCGGGCAGGAACTGGAGCTTGGAAGCAAACCCGGCGATGCCGCCGCTGTGTGAAATCATGCGCCGGCCGCGAAAGCTGGAGACGCCCCATCCGAGCGCGTATAGGAGCGTCGACATGTGCTCGTACGAGGGCGGCGAGACGATGCTCCTCGGCTTAAAGAGCTCGGCGAACCGATCGTCGGAGAGCGGAAAGCCCTTGTGGATGACGGCGCGGAGGTAGGTGGTAAAGTCCTTGATGGAGCTGATGATGCCACCATCGCCCACGAGCGGATAGTCGTGCGAGTACGGGGCGTCGAGCTGCTTCTTGTTCAGCGGATCCCACGTGTACCCCTTGGCGAGGACCTTGTCCGCCCGTTGCGCGTCCTTGAGGCTGATAAAGGTCGACTTCATGCCTAGCGGCTCCCAGATGTGCTTGCGGTGGGCATCCTCAATCGGCTTGCCCGTGAGCGTCTCGATGACGTGCTGGATGACAATGTAGCCGAGGTTGAGGTACTGGTTCTTCTCGCGGAGCTCAGCCGTCATGGCCAGGTGGCGCAGCGAACGCACGGCATCGAGGACGGTGTATCCCTCGCCGCCGTAGCTGAGGTTGTGGTTACCGACGCCGAGGAGATGCGACAGGGCGTCCTCGAGCGTGGCGTGCGCGGTCGCATAGTCGTCTTGCAGGGCGAAATCCGGTGTGATGGAGGCAATCTTGGTCTTGAGGTTGGCGGGGTCGCCTAGCTCCTCGAGGACAGAGAGCAGGGCCGTCGCCGTCATGGACTTGGTGCACGAGGCAATAAAGTAGAGCGTGTCCTCTGTGGTCTTTGTTTTTGAGGCCTCGGAATCTCCGAATGTCTACCAGGGTTAGCTGCGCCTGGAGGTACAGACGTGACACTGACGTTGATGAATGTTTCATCGCCGTCGACGATGCCGATGGAGAGGCTGGGGACGTGGTAGTGGCGCATCACATGGTCGATGAAGGACTTGAGGTCGTCTGTGAAGGGGTTGCGGCCTCGGCCGGCCATGGGGCCGTCGCCCTCGAATAGGTCGCCCATTTTCGTCCTTGGTCTTCAATTGAGGTGATTGAGTTGTCGAGCCAGTGGTGGGATGCGGCTATTTTATCAACGGGATGTAAGCGGGTGGATCGTTGATCCTGGCTCGGGTAGGGCTCCCGGCTGGTGTTTGGGGTAAGCAGGCATGCATGGTGGGGATGAGGTCCGAGTCCAGACTCCAGACGAGGTCTGTCATGAAGCTGAGGCAGTCGGCATGGCGCATGGATGCTGGAGATTGGAAAGTGCGCCTTCGTACTACAGTTGTTACGGTGGGTGGGCGCTCTTCGAAACTGTAATTCCTCACGACTTTGCAAGCACACTCGTTTATGCTTCCCGAGGGTAGAAGTTGGATCGGTGCAGAGATGCCATCACATGCAGCTGGGCCTGCCCTGCAAGCACAGTCGCAAGGGTCCTGGAGTCACGGCTCGGCCGTGTACATAAAAGGCAGGTGGGCTTGCTGCCCCTCATCGCTGTCTGTAGACAACGAGGGCATTGTCAATGGCGGGGCTCCGCCTCAAGTGTTTTGCTGACAGATTGTCGAGCTGTGGAAGCATTGGAAGGGCCTAAAATCACCTGACAGTTTGGGGTATTCGTTGGCCAGACGTTTTGGCTTGAACTGGTCGCCGCATAGGTTCGATGTGAGTGTCGAAATAGGCACATGCTGTGCCGGTTGTACGCAGCTTGGGCTACATGCTCAACAGACCACAAGACGCGCCACATCTCAACATTAAGGAGTGCCCCGGTCGCCATTATTGTCAAGACCACATTCACACGTTCCTCGCTCACTCGTTCGTCGTGAAACGAGAGTCACCGGCAACGCTGGCTGGACTCCGTCTCCACGTGGCGCGAAATCGTCACTCGTGGCTCGTTGGCTCGTCCTGGCGGCTCAATGTGTTGCTTCCGTCCTTGACATCTGGCCCTCGGCGCATCAAACCATTACATACCGGACAACTGACACTCTCTGAATGCTCAATCGGAACCTTCAACATCGGAAAGAGCTCGCGCGCAGCACGTCATGCTTTTAAAGGCGCCGGCGGCTTGAGCCGGAACAGTGGAATCGGGATTCCGGCGCGGGGCATTTCCGCCACTTCATGTTTGGCCCCGCAGCCCACGGCCCGGCGGCTTGCACCGGCCTCGCGGCGGGGCAGCTGCGGAAGCGGAAAGGCAATTGAGCTGTCTCAGACGCGTTGGCGGGGGAGGGGAGCACGGGGGAAGAGGGCGGTCGATAAAAGTTGACGGCACACGTCATGCTCAACCTGTCCTCGCTCGCCTGGAAGAAGCTCCTGCTCGGTTCTGCACAGCTGTTTGCGATACTCGATCCTGCCGGCGATTTCACTGACGGTAGCGACCTCTCGAGAACCTTCAGCGACATCACAGACACCACACACGCCAGCATCATGTCGTGGCTCAACATCGCCCCCGAGTCGCACTTTAGCATCGCCAACATCCCCTTTGGCGTCATCTCGACGCAGGGCGATGCGACGCCGCGCCCTGCCGTGGCCATTGGCGACTATGCGCTCGACCTCAAGGCGTTTGCGGCGGGCGGCGGCTTCGACGCCAGCGCCGACATCAAGAAGAGCGCCGCCGTCTTCTCGTCGCCGACGCTCAACGCCTTTGCCGCGCAGGGCCGGAGCTTCCACCGCGCGGTGCGCGCCCACCTGCAGGCGGTGCTGAGCGCCGACACCAAGCACCCGCAGGCGCTGCGCGACAACGAGGCCCTTCGCAAGACGGCCCTCGTCCCGCGCGCCGAGGTGACCAACCACCTGCCCATGGCCGTCGGCGACTACACCGACTTCTACGCCGGCAAGAACCACGCCTACAACGTCGGCGTGCTGTTCCGCGGGCCCGACAACGCCCTGCAGCCCAACTACCTGCACCTGCCCGTCGCCTACCACGGCCGCGCCAGCAGCGTCGTCGTCTCGGGCACGCCGCTGCGCCGCCCGTGGGGCCAGATCCTCAAGGACCCCAAGGCCGAGCCCAAGGTGCCCGCCCTGGACACGGCGCAGAAGCTCGACCTCGAGCTCGAGATGGGCATGTTCATCTGCCGCGAGAACCAGCTCGGCAGCCCGGTGCCCGTCGACGAGGCCGACGACTACATCTTTGGCTACGTGCTCATGAACGACTGGAGCGCGCGCGACCTGCAGGCGTGGGAGTACGTCCCGCTCGGTCCCTTCACGGCCAAGAACCTCGGCACGAGCATCAGCGCCTGGGTCGTCCTGGCCGATGCCCTCGCCGATGCCAAGGGCGCCGGCATCCCCAACGACACGCCCCTGCTGCCGTACCTGCAGGAGAAGAAGAAGGACAATGTGCTGCAGATTGACCTCGAGGTCGACCTCATCAGTCAGTCTCGCCCCATATCCGATTTACCTTGGGTTCGCTAACACGCAGCAGCCGCCAACGGCAACAAGACCACAATCTCCAAGACCAACTCGAGGAACCTGCTGTGGTCGTGGCCGCAGATGATTGCCCACCACTCCATCAGCGGCTGCAACCTGCGGCCAGGCGACCTCTTTGGCTCCGGCACCATTTCCGGCACCGAGCCCAACACGCAGGGCAGCATCCTGGAGCAGACGCAGGGCGGCAAGGTGGCGATGCAGCTGGCCGGCGGCGAGGAGCGCAAGTTCCTGCAGGATGGGGACACGCTCGTCATCCGCGGCTGGGCGGGCAAGGAGGGCGCGCTGGTCGGCTTCGGCGAGGTGTCGGGCAAGATTCTGCCCGCTCACCCTTTGTTTTAGTACGAACACTGGGATCGAATGGGTAGGATCAACAAAATAGACGGCAATCACGACATGAAGAATGCAATTTCGTTGTATTGTAAACTGTCCTAGTCGATGCGTAGGTTGTCGGGCGTGTCGGGCTGCCTAAAGTAATGCGCCTTCTTGACGGCCGGGTGCTCCTCCAAGGCGGCCGCGACCTTGGCAATGGTCGGAAACAGCCCCTTGACATCGACGCCGAAGCGCTCCGCGTTCCACACCGCCGGCATGAGGCAGGCGTCCGCAATGGTCAAGCTGTCGCCATACGAAAACTTGCCCGCGTGCTCCCGCGCGACGGCCTCGTACGCACGCAGCCCCTCGGCCATGAGCTCCTTGTTCCAGTCCTCGGCGCTGCCGCCCAGGCCGCGCACGCGCCTCATGATGCGCAGGTTCGTCACCGGCTGCGTGTCGGCGGCAATGATTTGCGCGAGCGCGCGCACGACGGCCCGGCCGCGGAGGTCACTAGCGGGCGGCAGCAGCGACGCGCCCTGCGGGTGCGCCTCGTCGAGGTACTCGAGCGCGGCGACGGACTGGCCGATCTTGAGGCCCGTCTTGTCGTCGCCCGTGCGGACGACCAGCAGCGGGACGGTGGCGGACGGGTTGAGCGCGCGGTGCGACTCGGAGAGCTGCTCGTCCTTGAGCAGGTTGACGGGCACGAGCTCGTACTCGATGCCCTTGAGGTTGAGCGCGATGCGCAGGCGCGCCGAGCACGAGGAGCGAAAGTAGCTGTAGAGGGTGTAGTCGGGCATGATGCTGGTGTAAGTCGGCACTCGAACAGGCGATTGGTGATGATCGTCCAGCAGAGTTGATAGACTCAGGTTCACGATTGACATGCACTGGGCTTTGGCACTCTTCTCCTCATCTACGCCCTTCCATAGTCAAGACCTCGAGTTGACGTATGCACCTCCGTTGGTAGCCATGGCGTGGCCGTGATCGTGCTCGGCCGGAGAGCCAATCACCAGCTCCAGCGCCCTGACGGCTTCGGCACACTGCTGGCGGAAACGTTCCGGTGCGGGGATCGCATCTGTGCCGCTGTGGTTCTTTTATGGGGAAGGGGGCGGCAAGCCAAAGGCAACATTTCAGGGCGTTTCAGACGGACCCAACAAGCGAGTGCCGGCTCTGTTAAATCTCGACATCTCATGAACCTTTGCTTGTGAACAGAAAAATCAACGCTTCTGCTGGCACATTTCGTGGTCACACTCGCGATGGCCGCGCAGTCAGTGGGCTACATGTAGGGGGTGCGGGTATGAGACCCGATGACTTTGAGCCTTGCTTCTTGAAGATTCCCGCACAGAGACGCCGTAGTGAGCGTCTCACGTCCACTTGCGCGTCTCGTGGCGACAAAACATGGAGGATGAGGCCAAATAGGTTTCTGGTGACGGCGTCGCCAGCTGGCTGATAAGTCGGCGTCAGTCTTGCCGCATTACGCGGCAAGCCCCACCAGCTTCTCAATTGAGATGAAGTCCGTTCGGTGCTGTCGTCTGACAATGAGTCGAAGCCAAGGCGGCTACGGTAACCGCTAGTCAAGCGCCCTCTCGACGCCCAGCATATATACAGTGACCCTCACCATGCTCCTCGTAAGCAGCCAAATCCAAGTCATCACGTCGCTTACATGGAGTCAAAACCCGCCACGGTGCTCTCCACAGAGCAGCTCACCACGCTCGCCAACGAGGCCTTCAAGGGCTACATTGGCAACCTCGTCAGCTTCACCCCCGAGGCCCTCACCAAGTGGCTCAACGACAGCTTCATCTCCCTGCCCCTCAGCCACATTTTCTTCTCGCCCGAAAACCCCGATGAGCCCATTGCCTTTGGCCTCATCGCGACGCACGATGGGCGGCCAGGCAAGTCCCGTCTAGGCGCCATGGGCGTCGTGCCCGCGTTCCAGGGCAAGGGCGTTGGCGGGCGCGCCCTGACCACGATTATCGAGGCCGAGCGCCGGAGAGGGGTCTCGCTGTTTGAGCTCGAGTGCATCAAGCAGAACACGCGGGGCGTGCAAATGTACAAGCGCGCGGGTTTCGAAGTTCACCGCGAACTGGTCGGCTGGCAGCGCGATGCGCCTGCGAGCGGCGAATTTCAAGACAGCTCGGAGTTGACGTTGTGTTCGTTTGAGGATGTCGACAAGGTGGTCAAGACACACGGTGCGGATGACCTGCCGTGGCAAGCTTGGGGGTTCACGCAAGACAGCAAGGCGCAGCGCGCGTTCCGCCTGGGCGATGCCTACTGCGTCATCTCCAATCCGGAAGACGACGAGAAAGACACCGTCAGGATGCAGTGTCTCATTGTCGACCCTTCCTCAAGAGGCAAGGGCGAGGCGTCGCAGTTGATCAAGGCGCTGATGGGAAGGTACCCGACCAAGAAATGGGCCGCAGGGGCAATATTCCCGAAAGAGTACGGGGCCAATATTGCTTCGAAGCTGGGCTTCTCGCAGCCGGACATGTACCAGTACCAAATGTATCTCAAGCTCGACTAGCTCGATCGCGGGCTCATCTTCATGTTGACCTTGAACGGCATCCTCCTGACGGCGGCCTTGTGAAGGACAGGGTACTGGTACGGCGGAACAATGCAGTAGAAGAACAGGAGAAGCCACAGATATCCGAGGCCTCTTTGCAGGACCCTCCGGCCTCGTGAACGGCCGCCAAATCGATATAAAACAAGCTCCAGAAGCCCGCCAGCAAAGTTGAGCTGCAAAAACCACATGTCGCTTAGTGGACCAGCTTCCGGCTCCGCCTTGTGCGTGACAAGAGCATGCACGACTCCGGAGATGGTAAAGACCCAAAACGCCAGAAACGTCTTCTCTGAGGCGCCCCTCGGTTGAAGCCCAAGGACCTCTCGGGACACGAGTCTGCCGTAGCGAAGCTGAGACTCGGTTCCAAGACGATGCCAAAACGACCCCCAGAAGCGCCGGATGGAGTATGCGTTGAGAGGGTTTCCATATAGCAAGGGCCACTCCCGAGGCTCGTCCAGTTGCAAGACTGCGACAAACAGGATTGCCAGTGCAGCGTGTGCGGCAGTGAGGATGAGATATGTCAACCACGCCCAGTGCAAGGAGAATGCGGCTCGCAACACCGTTGCTCTGCCCCAGCCCAGGTGAAAATATCGTTGCTGTGGCGGCCCAAAGTCGCGTGGCATAGGCGTAAGGAAGAGCAATAGTGACAACTCAACAGCGACGTATATAAAGCCGAGTACAATCAGGGGGACAAGCCTCCATAAAGCAAATATGAGGCGCTGCGTCCACGTCGCTTTGGAGCTGGTCGGATCAACCAAGGGAAGCCGCCGCGGGTTCATCCACGCTTTGAATGCCATTGTAGTCTCCCATCGCGGGGATGCGCCTGGCGGTCGTGCAGGTAGAGTCCACCGCTCGATGTATAGGGCGGAAGTGCTGTGGATGATGTATATGAGAGTCGTAAATGCCAGAAGCCAGTCGAGGCCTGGCAGGTGAGTCGAGAGCTGGTCGACTGTGCGATAACACTGCACGGCGGGAAAGACGTTGATTGGCAACAGCCACCACCGTAACTTGGGGGCTTGACGGAGGGTAAAGACAAAGATTGGGGCCGTCAGGAGGAACCAGGCAATTGGCTCTGCCAGAGACAAAGCCTCGAATGCGCTCAGGTTGAGGAGCCGCCGGACGCCTGGGGTGCGCAGCAGTCTCTGGACTATCGTCGCCATCTTGCAGTCGCCGATTCTGGGCAGTTTGTAAGACGTGGTTAGAGGGTGAGGTTCATTTATATCATCATGCAAGTTGCCTATATCACGGTACAGCCTAGGGCCAAGGCGGCAGTAAGCACTACAATGGACTGGGCTGTAAAGCGTAACATGTCGGTGGAGCTCATTCGCCAAGGGCGTGCTATCGAGGTAGCATCCTGATGCTACGCAATACAACCGTCTTTGAAGCTAGATCCTGCGGCTTGGCAACTCTACGTACTGCCACCTCTTGTAACCCGCGTGAAAGTCACCTCCTGAACCAACACTGCCCGATTCTCTCCAGTCCAGAGCCGTGAAGTGAAGCTTCTACGCCGCAGCAGCATTGAGCTTGTCGACAAGCTCGTTAAACTGCTGCTCGTTGAGGTCGGTGTAGTGCAGGCAGTCCGAGCCGCAGGGCAGCGCGTAGGGGCCGTTGACGGGGTCGCCGACCAGGACGTTGGCCAGGTTCATGCAGGCAGGCGGAACGCCCATGAAGCGGACCTCTGCGTCTCGTTAGAATTACACGCCGTAAAGATGATCAGGAGACTTACCCCCGGCGCCGGGAGAGTCGGCGTTGACAGAGACTCCATTCATCTGCTCGTAGCAGCGGTCAAACTCCTGCTGCGGCACGCCGGGAGGAGCACGGCCCATGATGGAGCGCGTGTCGAAGAAGGCAGGGTCAATGTCGCGCTTGCTAAAGATGTTGACAAAGAGGTCCGCGATGCCCTGGCAGAAGAACTGGCAGAGCAGGTCGGCGGCCTTGCCGATGCTCGCCTCGCCGGGCTGGCCCATGGTGGCCGCGAGGGCGAGGGCAACGCCAAACTTTTTGATCTGCATGATTACTGAAAAGATATGAAATAGCTGAAGCTGAGTTTACAGTGTGATGTGCGTGTAGCGTTCTGGCGAGATGGAAGTTTAGGAGAAACTTTCTGGCTCTTATATAGACAAAACCGCGTCTTCATGTTTGATGCGCGGAGGCCATCATCACCAAGTCCTGTGTTCCGACTTGGCAAAGGATGCAAGTGCGACCTTGAAGGCAAGATGATATCACAACACCAGACGGCATCTACTGAGCGGACGAGGACATGAGGTTCCGTGGACCTCTGAGTCTGTCTCCAGCCCGAACCCGCAAAGCGTGGATTAGAAGAAATAGACTTGGCAGTCAAAACTAGCTGTTGACGGTTTGTCTGCAGTGAGATTTTAGCCGTGGGCACCGCTGTACCCTCGTGCGTGTTTGGGGAGAGTTTCAAAGAGTAGACTGGTAGGCGGTTGAGCCGGCGACTATGGTTTCCAAGGATGCGAACTAGTAACTACCCGTTCGCGTTCGCTGCAAGTCCTGCAACTAGGCTCGATGGATGTTCTCGGCATTACTCCATAAATCCTTCGGGTTGCGGGCAAGGCGAATATAGCCGCGCTTATGGGATCCCCGACATCCGGAGCGAAGTCATGGCCGTCGCGATGGTACCACGTTGAGTGCCGATGCCGTAGAGTGGTCCTACTATCCCGCCTCACGCGTTGCCCGCACTCCCTCGGTCCGTGCGTGATCAACAAAGATCGCTGGGATCGAACTGACTTGTTGGAATCTCCATGTCCTCTTGCCGCCGGCAGACACGAAGCTTGGCCCACCAGAGCACATGCAGTATACATGTCAAGACTGCAAAGTTGGGCGGATTCGTTACCATGGGCGCCATTTGTTAGGCTGAAGCTGATAGCCACATGCACATTGAATCTGTGCAGTGACTGACGAAGAGGTCTACGGGGGCACAATGGTCCTTGTCGTCGATGCCTACTCGGCACCTGTGAGCGTTCTGAACCTGCCCATACTTGTTGCATCAGGGGCATCTGAGTGGCACGTCTTCACCAGGCTCTACATCTACTACATGTAGGCAATCCTTACGGCTTTGAAACAAATGTCGTCTTCCCTACCACTTCATCGTCAATATGTGAGGCCGCCTTCAAGCTGCACCTAGTCGACCCCCACAACATTTGAAACGAAATTGACCTGTGCAGTCGTGGTGCAGCGAGGCAACATGCAGTCCACCTCTACATGCTCCAGTTTGCGAAGCTGCAGTCAATGACGTCTGCAGACAGCGACGCCGTAACATCGCACTCGCCAAGCGCAATGGTTTCGGGGGGCAGGATCCTTCCGGATGCTGCAACGTCTTGGCCGCCCGACCGCCCGAAATACTTCGACCACGCCAGGTGCATCACCCACGCGCTTGGCGGCCGGGCGATCGTCGATCGTCAGGCACCGAATCCGAAAAGTGCCGGCGTGGAATGTGGTGCACTGGCAGCAATTGTTCGATGAAAATGCTCTAGTGTCTGGGCATTGTATGTTCCGGCACTGGTCGGCTTGGCGGGTGTCTTTGGGTTCATCGGACCGCAGTGGCGCAGACGGTCAGCCCTGGTCGCTTGGCCGACGTCGTGTACCCGTTGCGACGGCTTGGCCGACGGCATTGCATAACGTGCCGCGTTGGGCACTTGCATGTCAGAAGTCTCCGTCGATAGTACGCTTAAACCTAACCAGAGCTCGTCCCAGAGACCGCGTTAACGTGTGTAATCAGGCCCTCTTCTTGCGACAACGGCAGGCGCAGGCGGTTCGTCACGTTTGAGCGCCACGCATCATTATCATGATCCTTTCTCGCATTGTCTTGCTGGCCGCGGGGGCTTCCGCAGCTAGCTTCAGCGTTCCGTTTAGAAGATCGACGGGTCTCTCGTTGGACTCGTTCACAAAACGCGATGTCGTCAGCTTGACCGCGGACAACAACATCACTGGTGGGGGATACTACGCTGAGATCGAGGTGGGCACTCCCGGGCAGAAAGTCAAGGTCCACCTGGATACTGGCAGCAGCGACACCTGGGTCAACTCTGCGGACACGAACCTCTGTGCCGGGGGCCGTTACACTGGATGCGACAAGTTTTGTGAGTTTCCTTACTGCATTGTACAGATGGTCCAGTCATGTTCACTCTTTTCCCTTTCAAGCTGGATTATCTGTGTGCTCATGCTACATGTAGTCATTGAAACAACCTGCTGACAGAGAGCAGTCAATCCCAACGAGAGTAGTACATTCAAGACCGTGGCTCAAGATGCCTTTAACCTCTCCTACCTGGACCAGAGGGCGGTACGAGGCGACTACTTCAACGACACCGTCACGATAAATGGCAAAGCCCTCAAGAACCAACGACTGGGACTGCCCAGAAACACAACGCCTGGATCTGGCGTCATGGGCCTGGGTCTCAGCGCTGGAGTGGCGGCCGAGAACCAGTACCCTGCAATCGTCGACCACATGGCAGCCGAAGGCGTGATAGGCCGCGCGGCATTCAGCTTATATCTGGTGCGTCTGTTGATTAAAGTGAACGAGCACTCCTGACCTTGTCCAGAATCACAGCCAAGCAGACTCTGGCGTCATTCTATTCGGAGGAATTGACACTCGCAAGTTCATTGGCAAACTAGCTACCGTTCGCCTGGTCCCGGGCTTCAAGCCTGGGTCCGGCATCCAAGCATACGCCGTGCGCATGTCCGGCCTAGATATCAGCAGCCCGGACAGTCAGGGCAACGCTAGAGGCGACGCCTTGAACGTCACTGTGGTATTAGACTCCGGCTCTACACTCACGTTTCTCCCGGATGGGATTGTCGAGCCAATCTGGAAACGATTCGAGGTGGAAACGTTCCAGAACAAGGCCTTTGTCGACTGCAAGCACGCATCCAACGACGACATTTCACTGGAGGTTTCATTCCCCAGCAAGACTATTACTGTGCCGATGAGTGAACTTGTTGTGGACTTTCCGCAAAAGAGCTTGCTTAAACTTCTGGGCCTCAAGCTTGACGACCCGTGCATCTTTGGCATCCAAGGGACGTCGTACAACAACATCACCGGCGACAAATTTGGCATCATAGGAGACACAATCCTCCGAAGCGCTTACGTGCTCTACGACGCCGAGAACAAGCAGGTCGGCATTGCGCAGGCCAACGTTGCCTCAAGCGATAGCATCATTGTTGACCTTGAGTCTGGCGACTCGATACCTGACGTGTCTGGGGTGAGCGAGGAAGACGCAAACAAGAGGCCGTCTGCCACTTCCAGTCCACCGGAACCAAGTCAGACGGAAGATAGTGAGAGCTCGGCTGATGTCAAGGCTTTGGAGTTGTCTTTGTGTTTCAGCCTATTTGTCATGGCTCTATTTGTTGTTTAGGTAGCTTGATAGCCCGTGCTCTTTCTATCAGGATTGCTATTCGTAGAGCTATATTTTGCTAGTTGTAGAACCGTCCTACATCTTTCTCGGCCGCGCCCTACCCCCATACTGCGCCGCAATTTTACTGCGCAGGCATGGCAAGGTAGCGGCGCGCTATTTATTGCTGCTTTTCCTGCCCTTCCTGTCGTTGCTGTCGTTGCTGTCGTTGCTGTCGTTGCTGTCGTTGCTGTCGTTGCTGTCGTTGCTGTCGTTGCTGTCGTTGCTGTCGTTGCTGTCGTTGCTGCCAGGGGCTGCGCGCTGTCTATCCTCGACGTCATGGCCCATCTTGTTCTTCTACCGGCCTGACGGGTCTATGAAGGGACTGCTTCTTTTCGAGGCGTTCGTGTGCGTGCTTGTCATAGGAGCAGTGATTTGCTTCTGCATTGAGCTTTCAATTGCTTTCCATGTTCACTAGCACCGCTCTGTTGTGCAATGCCAAATACACTGTTTCATGTGCGGCCACTCTATACAAAGAGGCGCGAATCAAGTCTTGGTTCTGCACCTCATTCACAATTTCTTTCCACCCCTCTCGATTTAGGCCCATTTAGTCTGGTGTCCCTCCTGTGCTGCACTGGGCAGTCTTTGGCCCCCAACCACTGCCTCGCAGGACTGCGCGGCGGCAATACAAATGCGGCTGAATCGATAGTGCAAGGCGGCTGGTATGGCGAATGGTCACTTGGACCGTCTGCGCAGTGTCTAGATGACAAGACTAGCTCGCCATGGGTGGCGAACAAATATAGTAGATTTAAAGCCTGCCACCATCACCGCACCGTGCATGCTGATCACGGCTTTTCGACTTGTCATGGCCATGCATTGACCAAGTCCCTGTCGAGGACTTCGCCAAACGCCAAGTGTCGAAATGCCATCCGCACCACGAGGATGCCAGGTCGTTGGAGAATCAGGTCAAGGGCTCATCGACATTGTGTACGTCCATGGCATACGGGGCGACCCGCAAAAGACTTGGACAGCGCGAGGAGTGCCGCCTAAGCGCGCTTCGCGATTCTCCTTGTTTCGCAATCGCCAGGAGACCACAACCCCGGAAGCACAGAATGATGCGGCCGGCCGCGACGTATTCTGGCCACGAGACCTCTTGCTCAATCAGCTCAACAACGTCCGCGTCGTCACTTTCGGATACGATGCGGATGTTTCATCCTTTCTCAGTAAAACGTCTGATAGAAGCATCTTTTCCATTGCTCAGGATCTAGTCACCCGCTTGGAGATGCTGCGAGAGTCGACGGACAAGGTATGCGTCAGTAGACGATTGCAAGCCAGCCAACTGACTGTGACATCAGACAGGGCCCATCATATTTGTAGCACATTCATTGGGTGGAATTGTTGTCAAAGATGTGTGTTTTCTCCATGTCTAGACGTTATATTGAGGCGTGTCTTCGGCTGATCAGCATAGGCGTTAAAATTCTCCCAGGATCAGCTTGACTTCCAAAACCACTTGTATTCCATCTTCAACTGCACCTACGGGGTCATCTTTCTCGGAACGCCTCACCGCGGTAGCGAACTTGCGTCTGTTGGAAAGATTGCAGCTCGGATCGCTGGCTTGGGCCTCGCTGAATCTGATCACAAGCTCCTCACGGCCCTTGAGCTTGGCTCGACCGAACTTGAACGAATCGCCGACTCATTCAGTCGGATGCTTCCCAAGCAAAGCAAGGGCATGAATGTGTATTCGTTCTTCGAGGCATTGCCCCTGACCGGATTAAGCCTTGCTGGAAAGGTTAGTCCGCACTATAGCGACTCAACGTAACCATTCCTCACTGCACATTCAGGTGGTAGAAGACTACTCGGCCATCATTGGCGACGCCTGCGAAGGCAAAGCAACCTTGCAAAGAGATCACATGGGGCTCAGCCGATTCAGCTCCCTCGATGATCCCGACTACCAGCTCGTCTTTGGGGTGATCCGGCGATGGGTGCGCCAGGCGCTAGAGTGGGACAAGGCCGTCAAGGCAGATGGCGGTAGACATGCCGACGCAGTGCACATGCAACACAAGGTGGGCATGTAATTAATCCTTACGTGGATAGCCTTGACGGTGTTTTGCAGAGTGTTGAGCAAACAAGAAGCGTGCCGCTGAACCGCGATGCGCCCGAGCCGGTACGTGCAGCGCCGCCGAGCGATGCAAGTCAGTGAAATACTTACACTTGAACAGGTCACGCTGGCATCAGGAACCGCACTGTCCATGGATCTTCCCGAGGCCTCGGCGAGGCAGTTTTGTGGGCGATCTCAGGAGCTAGCTCAAATTAGAGAGGCGTTCGAGATTGAGAGAACGCACGGCAGACACCTGCGTATCGTCTGCCTCTTTGGCCTAGGAGGCGTAGGGAAGACTCAGCTGGCCCTTCGGTACCTGCAAGAAAACCGCCGTTTATACAAAGTGGTCTTCTGGATCAACAGCAGCTCGGAGCGGCAGATCCTCGACCGGTTCCGCCAGATGGCGCAATCCCTGATCGACTGGACGGCGCAGCACCACGGGGCCGACGTCAACTTCCGGAGGATCGCACTGGATTTCGGTCTCAGCCAAGTCGTGTCGCCAACTACGGGCGAAATTGCCCCCGCAAGCAATGAAAAGATAGTTGTAAACGCCGTGCACTCCTGGCTGGGTCGGGAGGGAAACAGTGGATGGATCATGGTGTTCGACAACGCCGACGATCTTGATGGAGTGGACCTTTCATCGTATCTTCCCAACACCGCCGCAGGAGATGTCTTGTTGACGTCTCGGCGGCCAGAGATTGGCCAGATGGGTCTCGGGATTGAAGTCAAGTGCTTGGGGCCAAGTGATGCCCGAGGGGCTTTGATGAACTATGCGCAGATGGATCTGGCCGATGCAAGTGAGTGGGAACCAGCTGCCTAAGCTACATGTCTTTCAAAAATGGAGTTGGGCTCACGACACACAGCTCTCCATCCAGACTGTGACAAGCTCGTCGAAATGCTGGGCCGATTGCCATTGGCTCTGGCTCAAGCTGGATCCTACATTGCAACAGCCAAGATGAGCACCAAGGATTACATTGCCAGGTATAGGTTGCAAAGAGAGTATCTGTTACAGCAGAAGCCCCCAATGGCCCTGTGGAAATACGGAAAGACGGTCTTCACGACCTGGGAGATGTCTTTTCAAGCCATTTTACAGACGCAGCCGCTTGCAGCCAAGCTTTTACTTATTTGCAGCTACCTGCAGCCGGACGACATCTGGTTTGCCATATTCAGGCTTGGGCTCGACCCCACTGGATCAAGAGCAGATACCTGGAAGAGTCTCTGGACCGCGACCAACTCTCCGAGAGGTCGACTCCGAAACCTCCTGCTGACGGTTCGAGCCAAATCCAAGGCAAATGGGGAGACCTCCAAGTTTGAGACCATCCCATGGCTCAAGGCTTTGTGCGGAGAAAACGAGTTCGAGGCCGCAGTAACTATACTATTTAGTTACTCCATCGTATCGTTCAACGCTACACGCGACGGGATGTCGATGCATACTTTGGTGCACGAGTGGTGTCGATATCGAGCCTCGGCCGACGAGACTGGTCTGCTAAGGGACTTTTTGCTCATTGCAGGGAGGGTTTTTGACAAGACATTGAACGAATGGGTTAATATGGAATGGGACACGACGGTGCGACTGACAAGACACGTGCCAAGCACGGTGGCGGCTGTCCGTCAACTTGGAAGCTTGACTGGGCGACCAAACCTCGCCACGATCGACGTTTGCCATGCTCTAGAGGCCATCGGTGACGCTTCAGGCTTGGTCTTTACACAGTTTGTTCCCAGCGAAGACACGCTTTTCGTGTACAAGCAACTGTACGATGCCTGCAATTTGGCTTTGAAGCCAGGCCACCAGCTTTGCCTGGTAGCAATGGGAAGCTACTCATTATGGCTGGAGAAGCTGGGCAGATATGACGAGGCGGTGCCGCTCGCAAAGGCGAGGCTGGATCTTTACATCAAGTCGCTGGGCTTGAAGCATCCGGACACGTTGTCGGCCATGAATGACCTTGGGAAATGCCTCAAGATGAGCGGCGATCAATTCTCGGCGGAGCCAATATTGCGCAAGGCAGTCCTCTTGCGTGGCGACTCATCCTCGGCCGCGGCTCCAATGATTAACCTCGCAATGGTACTAGTCGACAAGGGTGAGTTTACAGAGGCCAAAGGCCTCCTCGAGGCAGCGCTCGGCATGGTGAACAGCTCAGGCAACCTGGTCCTCCAGCTTGAGTGCACTGGCTGCCTAGCATGGGTGGCCTCGGACATGGGTGAGCAGCGTCTGGCTTTGAGTTATTTAGAGCATGCCGTCAGTCTTGCGGAACAACAATTCGGTCCCGATTCCCCCGCCGCACTCGAGTGGAGTGGTCAGCAATATTATCACCTCGTCGACTCAGTCGCCTTGTCTTCTGCAGAGGACATCCTGGCAGCCGAGCAAGGGATCAAGGCCCTGATCGAGCGACTAGGGACGACCGAGACTCGTTCTGTGAATAAGGTCAAGATGATGCTTAGGCTTGGTGACTTGTACTACCGTACCGGCAGCTTCGACAAGGGCATCGGCATAGTGCGAGAGGCTCTCAACGAAGTGGAGGCGACGGAAAACGCTCAATCGATGGCGCAGAAAGAAGATGCTCTCATTTCTCTGGGTAGGATTTACTGGGACTCTGGGCATCTACGCGAGGCGGTCGCTTGCTACGACAGATGCATCGGCTTGGCGGCGTCGAGTAAGTCCGACAATGCACAGCTCGCAGAACTCAACAAGGCAGTGGCGTTGCGCGACGCAGGCAACCTGACCGCAGCCGAGGAGTCCCTCATGCGATGCGCGAAGCCGGGGGATCACTCATCGTTGGATAGGACCAACGTCGCCAGCTTGTACACATTGCAAGGAAGAACAGCCGAAGCGAAGGAGGTGTACGAAACGACACTGGCCGCCATGAAAAATGCGCGAATGGAATCGCGCGCCGAGTATCTGCTGACCCTACATAGCCAAGCCATGCTTTTTGAGAAGCTGGGGGAGGACGGCAAGGCTCTGGGTAACCTCTTGGTCGCCCTGGAGGGGAAGCAGGCGCTCCTGGGCATGTGTAGTACAGCGACGATGAAGACGGCAATCGCGTTGCGAAGGTTGTTGGTGAAGGCCGGTCAACTCGACGAGGCAAGGGCCTTGACGGAAACAATGTCTCCGTATCATGACTACGCCTGATGTTGCAGTAGAGCTAGCAAACTGTTTATTGCGAAGGAACGAAAGGAACGAAAGGAACGAAAGGAACGAAAGGAACGAAAGGAACGAAAGGAACGAAAGGAACGAAAGGAACGAAAGGAACGAGAGCAGACAACGCGCCAGGCCGCTGCCCTCCTATGCCTATACGCAAAAAATAGCGGGCGCGGCCCTGGATCAACAAGAAACATCTATATGCATGCGACAAGGCCTTTCTGTCTGTGCGGATAGCACTACTCCTGTTCAACAGGCTTGTAGCTTTGTCTCTGAGGACTGCCTTATCGCTAGATAGTCTAGATATACACCACATGCGGTGGGTTCTTCAGATGCATGCCATCCGGAGACATGCACGCAGCGTTGACAAAGATCCCCGACTCAACACCGCCGACAAGCCAGCTGCACGCAACCTGGTAAGCTGAGCCTACCAAGAATCTCATGAGTGCTACCCATCCGTGAGTCTCGGCCTGGACAGATAGGTTTTTGCCCTCTGTCAAGGCCGACGAGAGCATAGGGAGGCTATCTGCGAGCGTGTGATCCCAAATCACCCTTCTGATGCCAGCTGCTGGATGGATGTGCCCAAACACGTGTAGAAGCGGGCGCGTCCGCTGGACCTCCCGAAGCAGTGATGCACAGCCCTCCGATGCTCCGTCCCACTCGTCAAGGATGTGCTTCGGCGGTGTATGGGTTATGAGCACATCCGTCCCAGGCGGTATCGAGTCGCGCCAGTAGTCTTGGTCCGTGTCGTATTGGAACGCTTCCTGCCCGTCAGGGCCGCAGCGCGGGACGCTCGGGTCGCCGTAGATGGTCAAGATGCGACGAGCTCCGTGATCTTCGAATGCGAGGGTCGTGGTCGAGCGTTCAAGGTATCGTACGTCTCCCCAGTCCAAGCCCCCGTCGATGCGCATCGCATCATCTGTTCGTGACATGCCCGTCGCGCCCCCATCGAGACAGAGGTCTGCATTGCCGGCAATGACGATCTTGTACCTGTGAGGCTGCGAGGAGAGCCATGAGATGGCTTGTTGGATCTCGTCCGCGTGGCCAGAGCGGGAAAGATCACCGGCGTGGATGAGGATGTCGCCGTCCGGAATCGCAAGAGTTTGCGAATGAGTATCCGACAGGCAGACGATCCGAATCCTCGGCTTCTGTGTGCGCCGTCGCTTTGCCAGCCTGAGGAGGGCCTGCTGGACAAAGACTGCCGCTGTTCTGAGCAGGCGCCACATGCTGTTTGGTCTCAGTGTACTGTATGCTGTCGCCAAGTGTGGGTATGGTCACCCGCACTCTCGCTTCTCGTAGGAGAGATTCCGATCAGTGGCCGAATATGCATCATGCTAGGCAGTAACGGTGACGCTCAACTCCAGTGTCTCCATGCGTCGCCAACCAATTACGCTGAGTGCGTACTGAGATAGCGCAGGGAAACCAAACCCGGTTACATGATAGCTTGAGTGCCGAACGTGGATACGTCACCTGGCGGTTGCCTCAATGAGTCGTAAGCCAAGGCCGTGGAGCGCTGTCGGACGCATGCTGATCCTCGCATGCAACATGAAAGTTGAGCAATGTGAAGCGTCCGATGTCGTCTAAGCGCCCCTGTCAGCACAAAAGATGGACCAAATGCAATCACTTCCACGGTGGCACGTTTTGATTTGATATAACAAGTGGATATCACTGCTAGACTAAACTGGTATCATCACTCTCTTGACACATGATTACATTCCATACAGGCCATGCCTTACACCTCGCTGCCCTCGTGAGCCTTTCCGAGGCCGGGCTGCTGCTTGCCGATAAACTCGGACTTCTTGAGCATGTTCCACTTGTCCTCGTCAGAGTCGAGGTGGCGGAAGCAGAACCAGAACGCGATACCGCCGACAAAGGCGATGCAGGCGACGGTGGTGTAGTTCCAGACCAGGAGCGGGTCGTCGGACAGGGGGGTGAAAGCCTGGCCGAGAGCGGAGGAGACGGCGCTCATGAACAGGTTGACACTCATGACGAGCGACTTCATGTTCTCAGGGGCCTTGGAGAAGGCATACTCGTAGGAAGTGACGTTGGCAAAGATCTCGGCAATACCAATGAGAATGTACGGCAGGCACTGGGCCCAGACGTTAATGGGCGCCGGGTCGCAAGGCTTCTCGCTGCCATCCTCGAGCTTGAAGATCTTGTTGGCGTACCAGCCGCAGGGGCTCTTCTGGTAGATGTAGTACTGCATGACGGCGGCGGCAACCATGGAAAGCGCGGCGATGATGAATCCAAAGGTCATACGCTTGACGGGGGTAAAGGCGAAGCCCAGCTTGCGGAGACCGGGGTAGAGCAGGTGGTCGATGATGGGAATCATGATGACGATGGAGATGGGGTTGAGGTTCTGGATAATGTCGTTGGGGACGCCGTGGAGCTCCATGGTGCCGGCTTGGATGGTGAGGTTGCCCGTCATCTGGTTGTAGGAGAGGAAGAAGATGGGGAGGAAGAGGAAGACCTTGCAGGCCATGAGACCACGGCGGACCTCGTCGACCCAGGCGTCGTCGTAGGTCATCCACGAGGGGCGCTGGTCGATGGGCACGTTGGAGGGCTTGGCGACCTCCCAGCTGAACTTGCGGAGGCTGGAGCGCTTGCGGACGAAGAAGAACATCTTGAAGAACTTGGAGAGCAGCGAGCCGGTCGGGGGCTTGAGCTTGTACTTGCGCTTCTGCGACCACAGGACCAGGGGGGAGATGAGGAAGAGGATGGTGGGGATGAGGAAGGCGACCCAGAAGCCGACGTACTTCTCAACGTAGACCATGCCGATCTGGCCGGTGAGGGAGCCAATGTTGATGCAGAGGTAGAAGTAGAGGAAGATACGGGTGTTGGTGACCGCGGGGTCAACGATGACGCGCTCGCCCTTGCGGACCTCGATGCGCGGCTTGGTGTCCTCGTTTTGCTCGGCGAGCAGCGGAGAGACGTTGGCCTTGAAGAAGCCGGTACCGACGCAGAGCGTCAGGAGACCGATGATGAAGCAGCCAAAGGCGCCCTTGTTGTTGGAGATGACGGCGGGGGAAGAGGCCACGACGAGGATGACGTGGGCGATGGTGGAAATGCCAATGGCAAGGTGAAGCGTCCAGAAACGACCCATGCGGGCGTCGGCAATCCAGGCACTACGTTTGTCAGTCGCCAACTCTTCAAGTGTCAAGGCTTCGGATACTCACCCGACAAGGGGCATCAGGTAGGCAAAGAACATGTTGAACAAGCTCAGGCCCTGGGCGGCCTTGGGACCCATGCCCAGCGCACCGGGGTGGGCGCCGGCACCGGTCGTAGAGCCCGGCGGCAGCGGGCGGTTGATAAAGTTGGTGTACAGGACCGAAGAGCCGTAGTACGAGAAACGCTCGCAAAGCTCGACAAAGGCAATCGTCCACATGCTCCACATGATGCGGCCGGAGACGCGGCGCAGGGTGTGCATCTCCTCCTCGGTGGGCTTGCCCTCGTAGTCCTCGTCGAGGACCAGCTCGACGTCCCTCACCGAGTGGCGGGCGACGGACGCCTTGCGGACGTCCATGGAGCCGCGCGCCGGGTTGTTGTGGATGCCATGGTGCTCGGCGTCGGTCAGGCCGGCATTGGTGATGGCATCGTTGTCGAGTTGCACCGCGCTCGTCATCTTGGGCGATGTCTGCGCTGCGGGGCAGGCTCTACAAGGAAACTGGTTGCGATGTTCCCGACGGGAGCCCCCTTTTTCAACCTTGAGGTGGAAGAAGGGTCTGGTGTAAGTTGGCGATCCGGAGGGCCAACGAGAGACGGGAAAATAGGTCGCACAACAGGAAAAGGAAGAAAGGGTCGTCAGATGCCCCATGCGGGCGAGACGCGTTTAAATATTATACCACGTCTCTCTCCTGGAGGTCGCCATCTGGCACCGGCTCGCCCATCTGCGACGCTTCGGTCCCCATCCCGCGCATCTGTGGGCGAGGTGGCATCCATCTCTCGCGAGTCGCCGTGGTGCCACCCCGGCTCGCATGGCATGCTCCGCTCCCGTATCTCTGGCAGAGCTCTGGGCCCAGGGATATCGCGGGGCCAAGGCCCCAAGGCTGGGACGACCCCGGAGCACCGATGCCTGATTCGGCAAGGTTGGCACACTTGGACAAAAGATCCCGGCCCACTGCCGCGGGCGGCGACCCCCTGTCCACTCCAATAAATAACCTTAGTCGGGCAGCGCACGCTGTTAGCCTCGGAGGGGAAGGTCGACGGCGGGTGGCGACGCGATCAGGCGGGGATCCCAAACGGGGGGGTCATGGTGAATGGATGTTGGGCGACTGGGCAGGCAGGCAAGCCCAGCCAAGGCAACCTGATCTTGTGCGATCTGTGTGATGAATCAAATCACTCGTCTCGTCGACCAGGCACTGCAACGGGTGGCACGCACCCTCCAATCGCGCCCGCCCTGACGGATGCAGCAGGATCAGGGCCTTCTGTCGTGGCGTCGGCCACCGCAAGCCCTAACACGAACACGTCTGATGCTGCTCGATTGCGCCGTCGCAGCTCGGGTGACCGGCTCGAGGGCGAGTTCTGCTGCACTGTGCCCTCTGAGTGCCTGCTGTCGATCATCTCGCCGCCGCCGTTGGCCAACACCAGACGGTGACATGCCGGCTTCGCCCGCGGGCGTCCAGAACCTGCTGCGCCTGCGAGAGCAACGGCGTGTCCGCGGCGGCCCCGGTGACAGCCGGGCCAACCTGAGGTGAGACAGCCGGGTCCGAGGCTGAGGGCAGCTCGACTCGGTGGCCTCGCGCGCGGCGCCCGAAGCGTCTCCTCCTCACCTGCGGCGCGTGGAGCCGTGTCGAGCCACACCCAGACGCCCAGACGCCAAGAGCGAGTGCCAAGTCGGTTCGTTTCGACGTATGATACCCGGCCGAATTCTGCCCCCACCACAGGCAAAGCTGGTCCCCCGAAATCCGATACCGTGCGCGGTCAATCAGTGAGCACGGGTGAGATGACACCAACCAAGTGATGCCGCCTGCCCTACGCAGACGCAGACGCCGTCGCCAAGGACAGCTCGCTGCCCCTCTCCAGCCAATTCAGGAACGACTCCTCCGCAGTCCACACATGCACCGAGCAGCACGCACCAAGCTTAAAAAATAGGGTCCGGACGCGGGTTGGGACGCGGTGGGCCGCCCCCGTTTCTCGGTCTGCCAGGGCCCAGGCTGGGCGAGACCCGGCCAGATAAGGATGGGCCCGTCCAGTGGCCTAGGAGAGCACGCCATAGCAGCGAGTCCTCTGGTGATTTTGTTCTCTCACGGCGAGGCCGTCCAGATCGCAGTTCTGCGTGCCTTCTCTGCAGCCCGGCAGCCTCTCCCGTCTGGCCCAGGACACGGTCCCGCCCCCCCAAGCCACAAGCGCCATTGTCTCGACTCCCAGTAAGCCCATTACGAGGGCCCTGGACCACCGTCCCGCGGAACGAGAGGCAAAGGCTGCTGGTCGGCGATTCGGCGTTTCCCTGAGGCACATGCTGGGAAGGAGGTGCGAGTGACACCCCGCGTTGGCTCGCCCTCCACGAGCCGCAGCCGCAATTCTCACTGTCGAGTGAGGCCGAGGGACTGGGAGAGGCATGCTGCACTCGCAGCAAACGCTGCACGGTTGCCAAGATCTAAGCGTCGAGCAGATCCTGGCGCCGTCCCCGCCAGCCGCCACCCAACAGCCACCAGAACGGCAAGCAAGGAGACTTTTTGCGCGGCGCCAAGAACGAGGCGTGCTGACGCCTCCCTGTCGTTGGTCGCGTCGACGAACTTTTGCCCGTTTCCGCCAATGTGGCTGTCTGGCGCCGCCGGCACTGCGTCGAACTGCCATGGGGCTGCTTCTGTTAGGTCGTCGTCGCCGTCCACGGTGTCGATGACTTGCTTCGAGGCGAGGGGGCAAGGGGCAGCACCAACCGCCACGACGGTAATCATGACGGCGGGCGTGATTATGTTTGGTGGTGTTGCGGCCGCCGCTGCCACCAACCTCTAATCGCTCGTGTCCTCCGCGCTCCCGTCGCCACTGGCGCTTCTCCTCCCCGTGCAAATCACACGGCAGCAACCCATGTGGGGAGGCGAATGTAACCTGGCCACCCACGGCGATGAAACGATGAGCTCGCGACTGGCAGGCTGTCCCGCCGCGCTGGGTCTTGGCACGCGTTTGCGATGCTGCTGCTCTGCGCCGCTTGGGGATGGAGGGCTGCCGGTGCACGTGTTGGGCTCGCAGCGTCGGTGCCAATGCTTCTTTCGGTTTAATCATCTCCGACGCAGATTAGCCTCTGGCACTGCTCGCTGGCGGATGCGGGGAACCATGGCCAGGGTGGGCTCTCTGGCTCTGTCTCTGTGCGCGGCGCAGGTGGTGCTCACCATCACTGGCGCTTGGTGGTTCCCAATCCGGAGCGAGTGGTAAGCCCAAGGAACGGATCCCCAGTCTCGCGACGATAGCTCCCCTCAGGTGCCTCATCGCCGTACATAAACATTACGTTAAACTTTGGGGACGCGTCTGGGGAGGTCTGGAGAAGCGGCGGGGTGAGCCTGGGGGAGGAGTCGAACCATGGATTCTCCAGCCCAAGTTGACTATCGACATGAGGATATGCATCCCTGCGTCGTTTGACATCCATTCCGCACGCGCGACATGCCACTGCGGTCGATCAACGTTGATGCCGCTCCCACGGCTACAGCACCCGTGGCCCAAGACGGGACATCACTTTCCCCAGCAACCTTTTACCTTATGCTTATGTGCCTCCCCTGTCGCCCAAGACCCGTGGCGCCCTGGGCATCGGGGCCATTGCCTGTAAGTCGCCCTCAGGCGTCGTCGACTCCCCGGATCAGGGACAGCTTGGAATGTTGCTCTCGAATCGCCAAGCCAGAGCCCTGCCTCGGTCAGAAGCGGGTATCAATGGCACTGGGGCCCGGCCGAGTTGGAGGGACGGACACACCGCGCGCGTTGTTCTGGCGCTTCCAGGTCCCCCTGCTGTGCAGGAGGCTTGCTCGAGTGAAGCCACTGGCGGGCGCCACCATCCTCGACTGCCTGTGAGGACGCTGCCGCTGCTTTACATGTACCGAGCCCGACGTCAGGGCTATTCTTAGCAGGGGCCAGTTCTGCGACCTGCAGTATCGGGAACTGAAGTGACGGTACAGTACCCGAGCGTCTCTGTGAATCAAGGTCATCTAATCATGGCTCTGGGGTAATCTAGTGTCTGAGTGTTTATGTTTAACCGCCAACATTGAAGGCGCAAGAACACTCATTCACAGACGCCTCTCCATCCTATCCTGTGGAGCAAGCAACACGAGGTGTCAACGTTGAAACGAGCCATTGCGCGACCCTCACCCGTCCGGGGCCCCGGGTTCCTGCACCACGCTTCGCGGTCCCCGTCTCACTCAGAGTACACATCACTCGTGCCACATGCCACCATCCCAAGTCCAAGGCCGCCAGCCGTGCCAAGCTCTCACACGCATGGAAGCCCCGTCGAACGTTCCGTCCTGGGTTAGCGCCCCCTTAGCCAGCGCTTGAATCAGGGAATCCCGAGCGTGCCCCCACCCTCGCCCACGGCCATCGGGCAAGCCACGGCGATTCGGTGGTGCAGTGTGCCTCCCCTTGCCTGCTCCCCATCAACCTGCCCACTTATCAGGCCAGGGCCTGTGCCAAGCCCGTGGACGACCACCCATCTCATATTTGCCCGAACGGCGAAGCCTGCTGTCGCTGTAGTGGATGGCCCGCCAGGCTTGCCTCCAGGGGCGAACCGGTGCTGCCCCCTTCCAGACCTGGTGGCTTGTGAGAGCCTCTGCACCTTGCGAATGGGAGCCGTCGGCTCTGAAATTTCTGCGACGCCTCAGTTCAGACGGCTGAGTCGGGGTGAGCAGTGCGAGTTGGCATGGGTCAGACGAGCCTCTGCCGGCTGAATCCCCTTGGAGGTTGGATGATGCCTACGACCTCGGTCGCCTCGTTCCGGCTGCAACGACGGGAGCTTGTCTGAGCTGCACGAGTCGACGATATGCCGCCCCGTATAGTCTGACAGCTTGATAGGCTACGGGGCAGGGCTGCAGGTCTCTCGCATGATGGCAGTCCACCGTTTAGCGACGAATTCTCACGACAACTTGACCGTCCGATATTACTTGCATCTTGTCCTTATCTCGACACAGCTCTGTTCCCCAAATTTCTGTTCGTGTCGGTCACTTGCCGGTCTTGAGCCCGTCGCAGCGACGTTCGCCTAGGCCAGTAAGACGTCGACAGTAGCGTCAAGCCAAGAACCATATGGATCCGAGCAGCCCCTTTCGGTGTCTCGCAAATTGCCACTTCGTAATGCTCCGTAAACCGTATCAGTAGTGCATCCATGGGTGACTTCTTTGGCCCTGTTGTCTAAAGCGCTATAACGTAAAGGCCGCGCGTGCCAAGCTGCCCTGTCAAGTCAAGAACGATTCTACCCGTAGACTCCAAGCGCCTCCATTTCCAGCCCCGTCGATCAAGCTGTCAGTCGGATGCTAGATCCGTTTTGGCACTGTCCTCTCCGGCCGGCAAGAAGCGCACCCTGACGCCCGTCAACATGGAGAGAAAGTAAGCCCTCTGCTCCTCCTCCGGTGGCATCTCCGTGACCTCGACGTCAAAGTGCCTCAGCAGCCCTGTGACGACCTTGAACACGACGAGCTCAGCGAGGTTGCGGCCTGGGCAGGATCGTGAACCCCCGCCCCAGCCAAGGTTATACCGGTCCATGGCCCGGAGACGCGCCTCGGCTCCCGCCTCGGCGCCGAGCCAGCGCCCCGGGTCGAAGCACGCGGCGTCGCTGCCGAATATGGAGCTGTTGCGATGCAGCGCGACGGGGTTGCACCCGACCGTCGTGTTGGGAGGGAACCAGCGCTGGTCCACCTGCAGGCCACCCGCAGGCGCTTTGCGGGGGAGGGCCATGGAGACTACGGGGTACAGACGCATGGCCTCTTTGATGGTGGCGCGCGTATACGCCATCTTGGCAGCGTCGGCGTAGGGCGTAGGTTTTGACGTTGAACGGATTTCGTCGGCTACGCGTCGCTGAACCTGGGGATGGGTTCCAACCATGGCGAGTGTGGACGTGAGTGTGGACGCCATGGTCTCGTGGCCGGCCCCAAAGTTGGTCACGGCCATTTTCCTCAGGTAAAGCTCGTTAAACTCGGGTTTGTCCTTGTGAAGCTGGATGAGGTCCGCGAGGAGGTCCTGGCGGCTGTCTTTGGGCGGATTCGCCCTCAGTGCAGCCTTGACTCGCCGCGATACCCGTCTCGTTACATCCTGGCCCGCGTCAATAAAGTCCTTGGTCAAGTGGCAGCACGTTGGAGGTACAGACAGGAAAGAATGGCCGAAAGTTGTCGGGCGTCTTGTACGTGACGCCACAGAGCGCGGCGAAAGCCCTGCCGACATCCGACGACAGGAGTTCCATCTTGATCATGATGGGAAACAGGCCAAAGACGCTCTTCCTCCGCCAGCCTCTGTAGCTGTGCTCAATCGTGCCCCAGTCGGTGCCATCTTTGAGCAGTCCCGGCGACCAGGACAGGACAGCGGCGCCGAGGCATTCGACGGCAATGATGTGCATCCATTCCTTCAGGTCAAGCTCTTGGCCCTGCAGGGAAACAAGCTTCGTAACAGCGCGGTTCACCACATCGTCGATGGCATGCTCGTATTTCGCAACGTTTGACGCGTGATATGTGCGGCCAATCAGTCGCCTCTGCAAGCGATACCGTTTCGTGTTTAGCTCAGAGAGGAGATCCAGATTGTCGGGGAAGTGTGTCCGCAAGCGCCAGTCCAGCTGAGGTCTACTGAGACTCGTGGCCACTGGAAGGTTAGCCGTCTGTTCCTTCAAGCCAGAGTAATGTGCTTACAATAAAAGTCAGACTTTTCGCAGCCTCTGCCAGTGCCTTGGTCGTGTCAGCGGGTGGCATGTAAGGCGTTTGAGATAGCAATGCTCACTATATATCTGATCGAAGGCTTCTTTGCTGTTGAACCACACTTCATTTGTTCCGACTCTCACGCAGTCGCCGTACTTTTCATGCAAAGTCGTGGCCAGCACTCTTACCCGGCCGTTTCTGACGTGGTAGGCGTGCCAACAGCTCGAAACTGCAGCTAGTCGGGGTCCTGGTACGCTCGCCAGCGGATGAAGAAGCAGGCGGTAGATGGCAATACAAAGAAGACTGAAGCATGCTCCGGAACTGATTGCAACGACGAATGCGATGCTGAACCGGCTCAATTCGGCCACTGTTGTCGAGACTGGCAAGGACACCATCTTGCCATCTGTTCCCGTTTGGGGTCGCAAAGCTCACGTCTGGGATGTGAAATGCCACGCCTGCATCGGACAGGAGGGCGATAGATGCGATGATCTGGTGCACATAGCGATGAGAGCGCCCTGGAAGATCACAAGACGGTTACGGACTTATGTCAGAGCGAGATGATGTTCCGTCTAGAGAGCGTGAACTTGAAGCCAAAAATTTACGCTAGAGCCCCACGCGAGGTTGGTGCTACAGGGTAGGTAGGCTACAGTCGTGGGCACTGTGGGACAGGTCTGGAGACGGAACAACGGCCCCCTAAACGACATCGGCGACATCGTACAGGATGAACAGGTTGACGAGTTGACTCTTTGCCTTGACTTTCGTCTGGTATCCTGGCTACTTTGGAGGCCGCATAGTACCTTGTCATTGTAGGTCGTCGAACGTAATCGAGCTGGCGGATGGTTGCGATATGGACAGCCGCGTGGATGGCAGCACCAAAAAATACTATTGAATGACAATCACTAGTGAGATGCAACCGCTCTTGAAGGGAACTGGATAGTCAGGGTTTTGCGCGTAGCCTTTACGTATCGATGTGACGATCCTTTGAACCATCGGAACGGGCGACGGAGGAGCACGTCTTGGACGAAACCCCAAAGCGGCAGGGGAAACTTTGTGCATATCATCTACTTTGAACGTATCATGGTCCAAGCCGATTCAGATCTCAATGTGTAATTAAGGTACATTTCGGTTCGGGAGACCTGAAAAGGCCCTGCCGCGTTACTGCTCACCATGGCTCGAGGATGCCACGCCCAATCACCTTGACCCCCCATTGTGCCGTGTGGAGCGCGGAGTGTATTGGCGCATCGGTCTCGGCCAAGGTTGCGAATGGTGATTTTTGAACGGTTGCTGGCGGAGAAGATTTGTCGCCAAGCCCTACCTCCAGCTGCAATGCGATGCAACGCGAACGAATCCAGTGTGCTAGAGAACTAAAGTATTTTGTCGTCAACAACCTCGCACAGCAGGACCAGGCGCCAAGCGCGGCTCTAATACGCCAGCGATACAGGATACAGGCGCCGCCCCCTGTCACGGCCACTGGGATGTTCCGAGCCCGACCACCATCAGGCATTTCGTAGGTGGCCTTTCCACGTGAAACCCTCCACGGCGCACGTCGACAACACGGTTGCTAAACAATCGCCCGATTGCCTTGGGCAAAAGAAGCTATTCGAAATGGTGAGTCTCGTCGCAGCTCGGCGCAGCTTGCCCGACCCAGGCTGACAGCCCGCCACCTAGAACGTGCAGTACAACTCTGCCCTGCGGCAGAGCAAGGCGATCCGCAGCGAGCTGTCGAGTCTCAACGACAAGAGCGCCCCGACGCCCGCCGAGATCGGCAACGTGTCGGCTTCGCTGGCGTCCTTTACCAAAACCCTCGACGAGTACAACCACCTGGCGCGGCAAGAGATTGTCGCCAAGAAACAGGAGGAGGCCTTTGAGCGCGTCAAGCGCTTCCGCGAGGACCTGTCCGACTTTCGCTCCCAGGTCGACGGGCTGAAGAAGGCGAGGGAGGACGCGCAGCACCAGAACAACAGGACAGAGCTCCTGGGCAGGCGGCCGTACAACGCCACGCCTGAGAACCCCTACGCCAACGCCACGACGACGACGACCAACTCGGCCTTTCAACCGCGGAGCAACGCGTACGGCGGCGGCCCCCTGACGACGGGCTCGGCCGACGAGATGCGCGAGGCGCACGCGCTGCGCGAGCAAAACTTCTTCGCCAACACGCACAGCGCGCTCGACGACTACATTGCCCGGGGACAGGCGGTCCTGGGCGACCTGGGCGACCAGCGCGAGATGCTCAAGAACACGCAGAAGCGGCTGTACAGCGTCGCCAACACGCTGGGCGTCAGCGGCGACACCATCCGCATGGTCGAGCGGCGCGCGCGCGAGGACAAGTGGATCTTCTTTGCCGGCGTAATCATCTTCTTCCTGTTTTGCTGGCTGGTCCTCCACTACCTGCGGTGAAGCGGCGAGGCGCTGCCCGCCGCCGCTGCACGAAGCTACGTCGTCACGGCACGGGATGTTCATTTCGAGCGCGGCGTTTTTGGCTGTCTCTTGCAATACTGTCCGATATCTGCTGGCATCTGGGGCCTCAATTTGAAACACACGTGTCACGGGCCTATCCCACGTCCTCACCTTCAACCTGTCGCAACGCTATTGTGAAGAGTACGTCCCTCGACGTCTGGACCTCGACACACTTAGTGTCGGGTAGGATGTGGTTGCTCGTGCTCAGCTTCCCGCCGACCTGCGTCTCCCAATCGGTCACATCCCATTCCAGGCCCTTGGTCGAGATGATGCATGGCCCTTGGAGTGGGAGGATGCCGACGTGCTTGCCAAACGCCACATCCTCGCCGTCCTCCCTGACGCGGATGAGGTGCTTCCCGGCCTTTAGGAGAAACGTGAGGCTCGACCCGGACAGGAGAAAGAGCCGGCCCAGAGCGTAGTCGGGTCCCGGCTGCAGCAGGTAGAGGTGATGCAGCTGGCTGACGCCCTGGTCGACGCGCCCGCCAATGCCACCGAGGGCGACGACGTCGAGGCCGTCGGGCCGCGTCTTGCGGATCCAGGCCACCGCCTTGGCAAAGTCAGTGGACTCTTGGTCGGTGAGATGGACGACCTCGGCCGGCGTGGGCTGCGAGGAGTAAAAGTCTCTGACCGACGGCGACAGCGAGTCGAGGTCACCGATGATGGCCTGAAGGTTGGACTGCGGAGCGTCAGCGGGCGGGAGGAGGGCAGTGGGACGAGTCGGGCCATACGAATTTGCCTTGGAACGAGGATAGTTCGAGGAGGCGGTTGGCGCCGCCGTCTGCGGCGACGCGGAGGGTTGCTAGGAGCGCATCAGCAGGGACTCGCGGGACGCACGCTGCCGCAGACACGAACCGTTCTTCCACAGCTTGCGGAGGTTGGCACCGTTCTTGAGGGGCTGGTTCAGCACGAGCAGGGCAAAGTCGGAGGTGCTGTCCTGGTCCTGGAGCAGCTTGGCAGGCTGCCACTCAAACGTCTGCGAGGCCATGGTCCTTGCTTTGTATCCAAGAATGAGACGGGAATGGATCAAAGGGCTGCCGGGCGCGTGAAGCCGTCTCAATTGTTACGAGGACGAGTGCAGATCAGGCGGGCAGCGGACGGCCGAGGGTTTGGTAACTTGGTCACCGCCGGCCGATCATCCGATGCGCAGCAGAAGCGAAACCCTCGCAAAATGCCCACTCGGGAGAGCGTCCGGGGGAGCCTCTGGCGTTCCGCTGTGATGGTCAATGCACGCGGAAAGGCTTGCGGCAACGTCAAACACGTGGCATCTCACTCGGGCAGGAAGGCTGCGAAGCCTCTGCACGTTCGGCTGCGTGTCGTGGTTGTGTCGTGTCGTGTGAGTGCTCAGCTCAGCTCTCGACATGGATGGTCTCAGGCCACGAGCTGCGCCCGCCCGATTCAGCTCAACCTTGCTTTTTCTGGCTGCTACCCTGGACGGATGGGGGAGGGTCCACCACGGCTAATCATCGGAGCTGTCGTCATACCCAGGTGGGTGCCCTGGCTTGTGCTCCACGGCGCTGTGGCCCGGCGTGCGGGTGTTGCGGTGCCTGTGGTGGTGCACTGGTGACGCCTGGATGTGGCTGACCAATCCGGCCGGCCTTCAATCTTTTTTGGCGACTCCGGGCAACACCCTGATGCGATCATTCCCTTCTCACCACCGCGCCTTTTCCTTTCGTTCCCCATCCTCACATTCGGTGCGCACCATGTATCGCGCGGCTGTGCGGTCGGCTTCTCGCCAGGCCCTGGGCGGCATGCCCAGGTCCGCCGGGCGCCTGGCCCCCCGACGATTCGCCTCGACGGCATCCCCTGCAGACAAGCCGCGGAGCTGGAAGAGCTCTGCGCTGCGATGGGGTCTGGCCGTCGGTGCCGTGTACTACTACAACACCAGCTCCGTCTTTGCGGACGAGGCTACTGGTGCGGACGGTTCCTCTCCCGCAAGAATTGACCGCAGCTGACGCCGGAACCAGTGCAAAGAACAGTGCCCGCGCCGTCCGCCTTTGCCGAGTCCGACCTGCCGACCGTCGATGCCGTGATCGAGGAGAAGCGGAAACAGGTCAAGGCCAAGGCCGAGAGCGCCGCCCCGGCCGCGAAGCAGACGACGTCAGAGAAGCCCGCGGCTGAGACGCAGAAGCAGCCCAGCTCCGAAGCCGCGCAAAACACGGCAGCCCTGGAGGGCGGCCCCGCGGCGCTGGAGGAGGAGGCCGGACAGGAGGGAGCGTTCAACCCGGAGACGGGCGAGATCAACTGGGACTGCCCGTGCCTTGGCGGCATGGCGCACGGGCCCTGCGGCGAGGAGTTCAAGACGGCCTTTAGCTGCTTCGTCTACTCGAACGAGGAGCCCAAGGGCATGGACTGCATCGAGAAGTTCCAGTACGTCGACAGTGGACAGAGCTGGCACGGCGAGCGAAATATACTGACTGATTCGACAGGGGCATGCAGGAGTGCTTCCGAAAGTACCCCGAGATCTACGGCTCCGAGCTGACCGACGACCCCGCGGACGAGGAGGCCGGTAGCGCGCAGCCGGAAGGCGATGTACAGGCCCTGCGCGAAGCGCACCCTGAGTCTGCCGCTCAGGAGACCAAGGCACCTGAGCCTGCCACCAAGGCGCCCGAGTCTGACACGCATGCGGCGCCCGCAGTGGAGGCCGTGGACGACCCGGCGCCGGTATGGGAGGATGCACGTGCCGCCAACGATTTCGTCGAGAAGAAGCACGAGGAGCAGGCCCCCAAGAAGGAGGAGGCCAAGGAGGAGGCCAAGCCCGAGGCCGAGAAGAAGGAGTAGAGCCTGGGTAGGCTGGGAAAAGAGACTCGGAGCACACTCAGAGTTGTGCCATGTACTAACGACATGCCACGCATGTCTGTATCACCAACGCTGTATGACACGGCTAGCGTATATAAAGAGGCTACAGAATAGACGGCTCAAACCACTCTTAACAAACGAATACAGTCATGGACGGGTGAACAAGCGCATCACAGAAGGCGAGTGCATGTCACAATTGTGATCGAGGCAAGGGCGCACGATTGAGGCGGTATTAACATTGATACACAAGAGCAGAGACAAGCCGTTTACACTACCAGACCCATGGCCGACCCGACGCCGAAATAGAGCCCACACACTGCAACTCCCGCATCCGCAGATTCACCAGCCCCCTAAGAGGAGCCGCCCTTCTTCTTGCCCTTGTACAGGTAGCCGCCAAAGACGGACTCGAGGGCGCCCACGGCGGCGAGGATGCCGACGCCGACACCGGCCGTCTTCCAGTCGAGGCGGCCCTTCTCGTAGAGGCCCCAGGCGCGGTAGCCGAGGTAGGAGCTGAGGCCGACGACGGCGGCGACGTTTGCGAGGGCGAGGGCGCCGGCGCTGCCGTCCGACAGCTTGGAGAACTGCGCCGTGAGCCAGTTGTCGGCGCGGCGGGCCTTGGCGGCGGCATCGCGGCGGGCCTTTTCGGCCTTGGCCTTGGCCTCGGCGGCAGCGTCCTCGCGGTCGCGGCGGGCGGCCTGCGTCTCCGTCTGCACGTCCTGCTCGAGGAAGTCGGACGGCACGGTGTGCACGCTGGGGGCGTCGACGTCGATGAGCGACGACGTCGAGGCGGACTCGTTGGCGATGATCTCGGGGGGTGCCGGGGCGGCGGCCTGAGCGATGGCGCGTGAGCGGAGGGGGGAACCTTGGAGGGATGAGGAGGGAGGGAGGGAGTGAGGGAGTGCCGCTGTGTCATGTGCGACGCGCGGGCGGGATCACGAGGGGATGAGCCCAGCGACAACGACAGCGACGACGGTCATGGGCATGCGTGTCTTTTCTTACCTCGGAGGGAGACTGCTTGGGGCCACTGGCGGCTACGTCTGCGTACGACACTGCTCACGACGTCAGCGGGTTGCGAAACAGAGCCTCGTCGACGGGCAAGCAGCCTAGGTAGTGTCAAACATACTGGCTGCGAGGGTATTGTACGGTTGATGATGATGGGGCGGAGGAAGGTGGTATGCGAGAGAGAGCCGAAGTGCGGAGGGCGTTTGTGTACGCGCCGGCGAGATGTACGGACGAGAGGGTGGTGTGTGTGTGTGAGAGGGTAGAGAAGATGGATGGATGGATGGACGGATGCGCGGTGGGATGTGGATGTGATGGATGGGATGGGGATGGGGGGAGGAAAAGGCAGCTCCCGTCGTCACGTCAGGTGGGCAGACCAGACGGCCGGAGCTTGCTGTCCAGCTTGGTCGCGGCCGGCAATCCACCTCACCAGCCAGCCAGCCCGTTGCGCGGTAGCAGCAGCAGCAGCAGCAGCAGCAGCAGCAGCAGTTTTGCGGCGGTGGTGCACGCGCTGCATGGAGGGAATGACGTCAGGTACGCCTAGTGCGGGCCTGTTGCTTGCTTGCTCGCGCATGTTCCCGCCGCAGAAAAAAAACGACCCGTTTTGCGCCGAGGGGCGCGAACAGAAACCACCTAAGGCGAGGGAAAACAGGCCCCCGTCGGTAGCGGGCGGGACGCGGTACCCGCTCGCACATACGCCCATGATACGATTCGATTTCTTCGAGAATCTTCCCGCGTTCCTGGACTTGACGTTTGCTTTCACTCGGCCGAGAAGTTGCGTCCTCTTGTTGGGCCGAGGGGGGCTGGTGCGGGCTGTCGACAGAGGTACCTGTATCGCCCGCGGCACGAACCGTCTGGAGGCCGCATGCGAAACACCACCACCGCTGTCCGGGGGACGGTGCCGAGGACCAGCACACGTCCCGGACTCCCGGCAGGCTAAGTGCAGTCCCGCCGTCGCATGCCGCCGACGATTGTACATACCTTACATGCTGTAATAATGACGGAGTCACCCTACTGGCAGGCCGGCGCAGCCCTCCGAGATATTGCTCAACCGTCGACAACGCTGCTCCAATACATACGTATGTACGCAGTCTCTCATGCCTAATAAGGATGCGGGCAACCAACAACCAACGAGTTGAGCAATCAACTCCAACCGTACTAACTAGTTATTACACGCATTGCGCGCCCCCCCTCTGCTCACACCCACTCCCCCAAAACCCCTTCCCCCCCGAGGTAGCGTACCATACCTAGGATATCATCAAGTCCCGACAATGCAAGACCCCCTTTGCCCCGAAAATTCGACCTCGCTTAATGCAACAAGTTTCCAACGCCTCGCCAAACGGGTATCATCGTATCGCGACACGTCCTCTGTCCATGAGCTCATCACATACCGATGCGCCGAGTTAACCCCTCCTCCTCTTTCGTTCCGCGCTGCTCAAGTTCCTATTTGTACACACGCTGTGCGCCGTGGTGCGTCGTGAGTTGTGACCACGCGCGCGTCCTTGACGGAAGAGCCCGCAGGCCCTCCTCGCACTTTAACCGGTCTTGTGGTGGGCCTCGCTGAGCCGCTTCACCCAGTGTTGCCGCACTCGCCAGGGCATCTTGCAGAAGACGAGTGCCCTGTGCTCATCGCAGAGCACCGTCTCTGCAATCTTGACCTGCAGGTCCAGATCCTGCTCGGCAAACTCTTTGAAGAAGAGATCGAGTGCCAGCTCCTGCCACAGCGGGGGAGCACCAGACTTGACTTGCTCGATGCCGTCCGGGCTGGGCTTGGAACCCAGAATATGCCCGTCCGGGCCGGACAGCGGCGTCGTGTTCGCGGAGCTGGGGGCAATGCCCGGCACCGCGGAGACGCTCAAGGTGGACGACGTCGCGGGCAGGAGAGTGTCGCTGTGCAATGACATGCGCCGTCTCTTTTCTGGCGACGACGCGGGCTGCGACGTAGCTCCGGCAGGCGTGCTCGACGAAGATGTCATGGGCGGCTCGAACGGACCGTCGGTACCCATGGGCAGGGCGCGCTTCTTGGCCTGATTCGCAGACTCGTCCGGCGGCGTCAGCGCGCTAGCCTGCGAGGACGTGGTCCGGGGCGGTATCGCCGCCGAGGTCGGTCGTGCCTGCGGAGCGGCGGCCGAGGGCGCGGAGCCGGTCGGCGTCTGGCTGAGCGAGGCGCGCTGCCTCTCGGGGCTGTCGGGCGCTTGGCCCGGCGTCGTGTCCGTCTGGAGGTTGATAACCCCCGTGCCGGGCATGTCGGGCTCGTCTCCGGGCTGGCCGTCGGTCCGCCGACGCGGCTTCATGATGCGCTTCGGCGCGCCGCCGGATCCGATCACGTCGGGGTAGAGAATCTCCATGAAGTCTTCGTGGTCAAAGGGCCGGCCACGAAGGGCTCTCGATAGCGGCTCTTTCTGGGAGTCGGTGTCAGCACCACAGCAGGTCGCCATCGGGGGCTTCATGCCTATGCCCATGCTCATGGGGGGGAGGGGTTTACCTCGATGTGCGCCCTCCATGCGTCCTCGCTGGCCGTCACGGTCCTCGTGATGGGGCTGTACAGAAAGTCGGGATCCTCGCGCAGGCCGCGCCACAGGCGGAAGCGCTTCCTCGCGTTGTCGCTCTTGTTGATGAGGTGGCTCTTAGCCGGGTAGGCGCCGTGCTTCTCCTGCAGGGCCTGGGCGGCGCGCTCCCAGGCCTCGGCCTTGAAGCTGCTGTTCTCGCGCAGGCCCAGCTGGACGCTGTCGCAGAGGCTGCGGAAGAAGGTGGCCTCGTAGGCGGGCGTCCAGCTGAAGCGCGGGGCGCGGCGGTCGCGGTCGACGCGGGTCGAGCCCTGGCCGTCCGGGCCGAGCATGTCGACGTCGTCCTCGGACATGACGGGCGACGGCGACTGCGACGGCGACGGGGCGCGGACGCGGACGACGCGGACGGGCAACGGCGGGCAGACAGGCGGGCAGGCCGGCAGGGCCGATAGGTAGGTAGGTTAGGTATTGGATGAGACGGGACGGGATGGAGGCCGGTCGGGCGAGCCTCCTGTTTCGGCGGGATCAGCACCTCAGCAACCCTGAGGGAGGGCGCGCCAATGCAGCATGGCCTGGGCCGTGTGTGCGTGTGCGTGCGTAAGGCTGGGCTGGGCTGGGATGGGGGAGAGGGAAGACACCTCGGACAGAAGCTGTGTTGCTAGAAAGACGGGCAGGGTACCAGGCAATAGGCCCCTAATAGATTACGAGGCGCTCGCGCTCGAGTGCAGCTACCACGCGAACTGGAGAGAGAAGGAGAAGGCACGCAGTTTGCAGACCCTCTGGCTCCAATTGCATGGAGACGAACCGCGAGCCCGCAGTCAGCAGCAGCGGGAGCGACAGCGGCACCAGTCCCGACTCCCAGGCTTCTGGGGGCCGCCCGTCCAGTCTTTCCTCCCCAGTGGGGAAGAGTCGAGAACTCTGAGGCGTCACGTGGACCCATCCGCGGATTGGACCCTGGGCAGCCACAGAGGGCCCCTGCTGGAGAATGGACGGGCGGCAGAACCGGGAGGAAAAGTCGGGGTTT